CTTTAATGAAAGGTACGGGTATATACAAGTTCTCTCTTCTATCCTTCGTGGCGATGTGTTTATTATCTACACCAAATTCGTTCGTTTCATTCATTTCATCCAGAGACAATGATCTAGAGTGTCAGGGTATAGTGAGGAGAGAGGAAAAGGCGTTTATGCATGTGCCTCCAAGTGCTTGGAGCCAGCCTTGTCGCCGTAGGAGTCGTCTCTCGCCGGGTCGCCAATGACGCCGTGCGCGTCCGTGTTTCCAATCTTGGACTCGCTGAAGCTGTCGAGGTCCTTCTTCCAGATGGTGTTGAGGAGGATGGGGTAGGCGAGGGAGACGACGAAGCCGGCGAGGGGCACGACCATGGCGATGTGGTATCCCTTGGTGTCGGCGACGAGACCGGTGAGAGAGGGGAAGAGAGCACCACCCTGTTTGAAAGGAATTAGTCACATGTCTTGGATGGAGGAGTACAAAAGTGGTGGATAATGGGGAACCTTACACAAACGGATGCGACGATCCAGGAGCTACCGCGCTTGGTGTGTCTGCCGAGACCGCGAATGGCGGTGGTGAAGATGGTGGGGAAGATGCACGACTCAAAGAAGAGCACGAGCGAGAGCATGGCGATACCGGCCTCGCCCTTGACGGCGATGGCGCAGGCGATGAAGATCATGATGCCCGTCATAAAGACCATGAGGACGAGACGGGGCTTGATGACCATCATCAAGCCGGCGGCGGCGAAACGACCAATGGCGAACAGACCCTGGCCGATGGCGTAGCGGTCGCTGGCCTCGGAGTGCGTCAGGCCGGCGGACTCGACGGCGTACGAGATGAACTGGGAGGCGACGGCGACCTGGGCGCCGACGTAGCAGAACTGCGCGGCGACGCCGAAGAAGAGGCGGTACTGCTTGCGCAGGGGCTTGTCCTGGCCGTGGCCCTCTTCGCTGGCGACCATTTCGGCCTGGAGGGCCATGTCGCTGTCGGTGATCTCGGGCAAGGGGACGACGAAGAAGACGACGGCGAGGAGGAAGACGAAGGCGGCGATGCCGAGGTAGGTCCACTGCACTTTCGACAGGTCGTTGGGCTCGGTGTGGGAGAAGAAGACGCGGGCGGCGAGGAGCGGGGCGATGACGGAGCCGACGGCCTGGAAGGACTGGGAGAGCTCGAGGCGGAACTCGGAGAGGCGGGGCGGGCCGCAGGTGGCGATGAAGGGGTTGGCCGAGGTCTCGAGGGTGGAGAGGCCGGAGCCGACGATGAAGAGGGAGCCGCAGAAGCCGGGGAAGGAGCGGTAGACGGCCGAGGGCCAGAACATGAGGGCGCCGACACCGTAGATGCAGAGGCCGGTGATGAAGGTCCAGCGGTAGCCGAACCTGCGGACGATCCAGCCCGAGTAGGTCAGGGGACCGATGAAGTAGGCGCCAAAGTAGGCGCCCTGGAGACCGCCGGCCTTTGCGGCGGTGATGTTGAGGGCGATTTGGAACTTGGAGTTGAGGACGTCGAGGAGGCCGTACTGGAAGGGAGGAAATTCATGTCAGTATGATTTGTTTCTAGTGGTATTGGGCTGTTTGAAGGTGTGTATGAACTTACAGCGAAACCCCAGAGGAAGAAGAGGACGGTGACCAAGGTGATGGGCAGGATGGACTGCTTGACGGTCAAGGCCGACGCGCCGGTCAAGCCCTTGTTGGAGACATTCGTGCGGTGCTGGTGCGCCGTCGCCTCGGCCGTGCTGGGCCGGCGCTGCTCGAGGACCTCGGCGACATCTGGTTCCTGCCTCTTGCCGAACATTGTGGGCGATGTGGTGATCGGAGTCGGGAGTGTTGGACTGTGGTGATGATAGAGTAGGAGGGAAGAGAGGAGGGTATATATAAGAATAAGAATATAGGCGAGAAGTCACTCAGAAAACCCCCCGCTGGATTGGCGAATGTGTGTATATATGTGTGAGAGTGAAGAGAGTCAGATGCTTTACTGCTCAGGAAGTTCCCTGCTGGCTGATGGAGAAATTCTTCTTCTTCATCTTCGGTGCGGCTGTCGCATTGTTCATATATACTCATGAAATCCCCGGCCGGGGTGGTGAGTACCCCAGGCCCCATGGCCCATGGGGGGGACGACTACGACTACGACGACGACGACGATGATGCGGAGAACTAGCCGAAGCTAGAGAGAATATGGGTGAAATCTCCAACTCGGCGAAACCGTCGTGCCCATCATCCACGCCACTGGCTTGGGGGGAAGAAGGGCCATACCTAGACTGGGTGACCAGGCCTGGCTGGATCCGACGTCGTGGTTAAGGTGGAGTTTTCCCTGGTCCGAACTAGACCTTGGTCGCATACGACTCACCTCGAAATTTCTCGGCGCCTTGGGGCTGCGACTACGGAATGTTCCCAACGTTGGCACGTTTTCCCAGGCTTTTGGCTGCCACCACTGATAACCTTCACGGCATGCGAGAAGGGGGGTGAGGGAGGGAGGGAGGGAGAAAAGGGAAGATCCACACCACCCACCCTGACACGGCACATATCTCGCTCAAACACCAGAACAAGCTTCATCGATCAACTCGGTAATAGTCTCTGTAGCTTCTGTAGCTAGCTCGCAGCCGCTGCCATCGATTTGGTGGCCGGACGGGCCTAGCTAAAGCAAGAGCACGCAAGTGATCATCAACTCAACTAAAGGAACTCGGAGTGCACGAACCCTCGAGTGCTCCAGCCTCCCCCCTAGAGACAAAACTGACAACCTACAAAGCTCTCTAGTCGTTTTCTTGACGGCCTTCAAGATGCGAGGCCACGATGTTGATCACCCGGGGCAGACATACCGTAGCGGTAGCGGGAGCGGTTGGTGGTAGCGGACTGAGGCGGGAGAAGAAGAGTCCGCAACCCTCTCTCTCTCTCTCTCTCTCTCTCTCCCATGGCCAAGCAGAATCAGCTTCGCGCTTCTTTCCGGGCTTCGTACCCACGGCGTGAGGTACACCCCCCGGGTGCACTTGGGTATAGGCAGGTATTCTGTCGAGTTACGGAGTATTCCAAGGACCAACAAGCAAAACAAAAACTAGTAAGACAGACGTGCCTTATCTTGGCCTGGGCAGCGGCAGCGGCAGCCAAGCACGCAGAATGGGAAACCGGCCAAGGGGGCACTAAGGTAAAAAGGCCGAGAGACGCCGCAGAAGCTTGACAAAAGAAGCGTCGCGGGAGGTGGGCGGCCCACGCCGCTAGTTCGAGTCCCCCCCATGGTCAAGAGGTCGAGAGGTTCCAGCTTTTTCGCCCGCAGAGGTCAAGAGTCCACAGCAAGTTTGGGGTTTGGGGAAAAACTGGCGCTGGCGTGCGGGGGTGCGGGGGAGACATCCAAAAACATAAGCTCGCGTGGGGACGAGACATTCTCCGCGCGCGTCGCAGTCAGAGAGTGCCAGAGTGGAGGGGCGGGCCAAGACTCGAGGACGGGGCGATGATTTTCAGCGAGTATATCGACGGTTCGACTGTTGACGCGGGGGACTGGGGGTTGGGGGAGCGAGGACGCGGGGGAGCGATTGGCTCGCCCTGTCCGGATCTAGCATGGCGCTACGGGTACTATCTCTCGCGGAAGGAGAAAAAAAAGAAGAGACGGTCTAGTCTATTTTACGACTGGAGTTCTGGAATTATTGGGTTGCCCCGCGAGTGGGCTTCTTTTTGGGTTGGAGGTTAACGGGCATGTATCATGTATCATGTATCATGTATGACTGTTGAGGCTTTTTCTTGGTGTTTTCTTTCGCTTGCGGTGGGATGATGGCGTTATTGAGAAGATTTTGAGGGTAATACAGTTAGTTACACACGAAATGTCATGAAAGCGTTGGGAATGGCAGAGACTCGGCCGAATCCTGTAAGATACGTCTCGTTGGAGGGAGGTTGCGAGGCATGAGGCTTTAACAGGGCCCTGCCGGTCATCTCTCCGAGGTCGTGCGATGTTTTGTGCATATCACATTAGTGCCTATCAGATCTTCTCTGTAACACCGAGTTGGTGAGGATTTCTTTATCAAAACAGCTCTTGGCGATGGGGACCGCTCCACCGAAGCAGTCCTCCCAAGTTCCAACTTCTCAAAAAGATGGAGAGACAGAGAGAGAGAGAGAGAAAATTCAATGACGCGATTCATCATGTGACGAATTGACAATGGGCCTCGAATTGGTCCTCCCCGCTAAAGAGACATTTGACAGCGCGGGGATGATGGGCATTCTTCTCCTTGCCTGACGTCTGCCGATCATGGGGTTTCCAGGAACTCCAGTATTCCAGTTTCTCCAGAGAACGCGCCTACGGAGTACTCCAGACTCCTCCAGACTGCAGAAAGGGCCGACGCAGAATCTGGAGTCTGGAGAACGAAAAAAAAAAAAAGGGACCCCAAAAAAGTGGCGAGGTGTGGTGGAACTGGGGTAAAACCCGTAGACCGTAATTCAGTGGCCTAGACTCGACGTTCCAGTCCATTAATCCACCCAAGCTATCTCACTAACAAGAAAGAGCCCCATAATGATAACCCCCCAAAATGATTTGGATTCCTTGACTCGACTCGCGCGCAGACCAAACAACCATACAGATGGACCTCATAGAGAAACAGAGACCGAGACTAGCCTCACCTGACGTAAAGGTAACGCCGAGACTAACGTCCCCTTCCCCACGCGAATCCAGGTGCCGGCGCCGTGGATATTCGGTCCGATGCATCAGGAGGTTAAGGGTTAGCTGAGAGGTCGCCCGCTGCCCAGCCCAGCCCAGCCCAGCCTGCCGGTAAGGTATGCGCATGCGTATGTCGTCTTCTTTTCTCACAAGAGCCTCAGCCGCGCCGGCGGGAGGGAGAGGAAACGACGTCTCCTTTTCTGGGACCACAAAATACCTCATCAATGGCCAGAGTAGTGGTTTCATGGAATGAGTATTGGACTGGCTGGGACTTAACTATTGTGCCCCAACGATTTGTTGGGATCTAATCAAAATAATCCCGCCATTGTCAGTGCCCAACTCTCATGACACTAGGGCACGTGTTAACTCTTTCGGTACTTGACAAGTTGACACGAATGACACAGACGACAAGATTGCTGCCGCGTTGGCACGTGGACACGTGAGATGAACAGGGCGACAAGCTTTCAGCTTTGCATCCGTATAATGTCGCTAGCCTACCTTAGGTTGAGTACGAATACATGTGATATAGCATAACTAGGTAGGTCTGTCTTGCGCTGCTCGAGGCCAGTCTGGGTATTATCCTCCTCGAAAGCAATTTACTCCTCCTCACAAATCCCCTGCACCCTGTCCCTAACGATACACATTATATAGCATGCCCTTATCGCGCTCCCCCATCAAGATTAAGAGCGCGCCCCAAGGATAAGACAACTGTCGTCCGCCCTCTCACGAAATATCATACACGTGAAGCCCCAATCCACATCATGCATGATTCGCACCATCAGCCGGAGAATCATGTCGCGGGGCGGCAGTCTAGTCCACGGGCTCGCGCAGCATTTTGGAGATGTTCTTGTGCATTTGGGCATACTTGTCCTCAAATGTGCGCTGGAACTTCTCACACGCCACCCACATGGGATCGCCCTTTTTCCAGTACGTGTAGCAGTTTTCGAAAATTTGGCGCACGTCGGCGGCAAACTCATCCTCTGTCTGGTACTGGTGTTGCGACATCTTGAACTTGACTGTGTTCAAGTCCATGGGTTTCTTCACCTTCAAAAGGTAATCGGGCACGCCATCCTCATTAGGATCGACAGGTTCCTTGAATGGGCCAACGAGTCTCGTCCAAAAGCCTGTGATGGGTCAGTTTGCGTGACTACATGGAATGATTCGGCAAGGCATAACATACCAGGTCCTGATAGCATTCTGTCAAGCAGATCGGAACAGAACTCGACCTTCTTCTCGGTCGTGATCTCGTCGCTTGGTGCCGAAACAATGCTGCGTCGTTTCTGGATAACGGGCTTTTGACGGGGTGCCGCGGCTGCAGCCGCTACAGCCGCGGCCTTGCGGACCGGGGGAGGTGGCGCGCGGGAAAACGCCTTGTCTCTGTTTTGAGAAGCGGGTAACGGCGCAGAGGCCCGCCGGTTCTTCTTGGACATATGTCCTTGTTCTTCGTCACTGTCCTCCTCCAGATAGTGCACAATCTTTCTAGGAGTAGGCTCGGCGGAGGCAGTGTCGGCCGGTGCTGCAGGCGGCGTAGGCAGGTTCTCGAGTGAACTCATAGTCACAACTAGCTCGCTCAGAACCTCCTGAGGGAGAGATTTGGCGAAGTCGGCTCTCATGTCGGATGAACGCATATACTCTGCCGTCCACGAGAGGAGGAGCTTCCGAATGGTTGAGCCCTCAGGGGTGTCTTTCCAAACCCGGACAAGAAGGGGAGTGGCGGGGATGTTCTCAGTGAGACGTCTGCACTCTTTCATTGCGTCAAGACTCGTATCACAGAGACCATCTATACCCAATTCGTGACCCAGCTTCCACACACCAATGAGTGCCTCATACGACGGAAACGTCTCGACATCCTCTGAGACTTCTCCAGTGAAGAGAAAGAGCTGAGCCAGGCCGAAGACTTCGGGAGTGTACTGGGGGAGCTTCACCAGATGCTCGATGGTATCGGAGGATTTCTTCTGTCCTTTGAAGTACTCGTGGTAGTATTTTGATTTGGCACACAAGAAGTCCTTTTGGAGGCCAAAGGGCTTCTGTTCGGCTCCGACGAGGACGATGACGAAGATTGGGTGTGGCTGACTGGGAGCTGTTAGATTCATGTACTTGTGACATCAATGCCATCACCTACAGCCATGAAAACGGCATCTCCTGCTCCTCCGTTGGCTCTTGCTTTGCCTCCGGGGTGGCAACTTCGGGGATGCCATTTGAGGCGGCGACCGGCGTATCGGTTGACATCCTGGCCTGTACGGTGATGTGGATCGACCTAGATGGTGTTAGTCGACCTGAAGAAAATCTCCGATTCGTGAACAGCCACTCCTGAATGTCGTCAAACACAAGTGCATGAAAGGGAGTAGGGAGATGAGTGACCAGGTAATGAGAGGAAGAGTGATTTTCAACGATGTCGTCGTCCGCGGGGGTGAATGGCCGGCATGAGACTGAGGCTGTATGAGTGAATCACGGCATGAGCCAAGCTGTGGTGCCTGTCTGATGCCAATCGGGGTGTATTCAGCAGCACACACAAGGAAACAAAATTTTCCGAGTCCAGGAACATGAGTTACAGAAAGCAGCTTACAATGGTGTCCAGATGTCGGCGGATATGATGAGATAAATTGCGGAGCTTGATGAACGAGGTGGTTTGACGCAGTACAGGCGATCGAATTGTGGTCTTACAATCGCGGGTAATCGAGACGGAAAAGTGAGTCGAATACAATGCAGACAACGGGAGAAGATGTGCAACAATGAGATGGTAAGTTTGGTGCCATCCAAAGGATGAAGAAGAAGCGTGTAGTTGAAAATTTGCTCCCTGGGACGTTCTTGCCAGACACACTCAACCTTGAGAATGAAGCGGGAAGGTAAGGTGTGAAACGACAGCACCTTCTGTGGCTCCCCGTGACTGGAGACGGCCTGTGCGGGAGCTTCCTCAGGCCCATTGTTCACGTGTTCCCCGGATGATGGATCCCTCCCTTCCTGCCACGCCTGCCAAAAATTGAGGACCTGGAAAGAGCTTACGCCACAGTGGCCGTCAAGGTGCACCGCCACTCTCTCTGTGAAGACCTTCCTACCAACAGAGTATGCTTTTCAAGGTTTCTGTTAAGGTTCCTCAAAGTTCTATCACCTCCTGCCAGTCGCTTCCATCAAGGATCCCCATCTTCGCAGTCCTCCGCTCTTGCCCTGGTCCCATGGCCATGGTTAAGCGAGGTCGACCGTCCATCAGGACCTGAACGGAAAGTGCAAATGCATCGCGTCCCAGGCACTCGGCTTCGCAAGGTAAGGTTGGCAGGCAAGCAGGCATGTTGGACTTTATCAACACCCTTATCCTCGGAGCTCGCCGTAGTCAACGGCCACACTTCCCAAGAAAGTTCCCATCGCGGACCAATTCCCCTTGCTAAATAGACAGACACACCGCGACAGTCGACAACGCCTTGTCAAATCGCATTGGCGCTACTGCAAACCACTATCCCGACTATCGCCCCGCGCGCACCCAATTGACCTCTCACGTCCCGTATCTCGAGCAGGTGGGAGTGCTACCCCCCACAAATGGGCCCTGGTCCGCCGACGGCAACGACGGCTGACAAGACCTGACAAGCACTGTTGACTGTTGGCCAGCTTCCTTTTCAAGTCAAGAGCATTTCCAACATCGCTTCCCGTGTGGAGATTGGAACCTTTTTTTTTTTCTGTCATACAGCCCCAGTTGGAAAGATAGATAGAGAGGAGACGGTGAATATAAAGTGTCGCGAACCTGCGCAAGTTGACCCTATTCGTTTGTGTCGTTGCGTCGTTGTTGTCCCCTGCCCCTGGTCTCCGCCAACTTTTGTGAGAGAGAATTGTACAATCCGTCAACTCGTAAACATGTCTCGAACAATTGGACTTCTTGCCGTCGCTGGCCTGTTGCGCACGGCCGCTGCCGGCCTTTACCCGGGCCTGACCACCGCCAACCACACCTGCGCTCTCGGTGAGACCTCGGTGACGTCTTGAGAATCTAGGACACAACTGACGCTCCACGCCTCACAGTCGAACCCGTTCTGTCATGCTCTTGCGGCGCAAACCCTGACAAGGTCGACAGCTGCTGCGTTGAGACTTTTGGTGGCCTGACAGTTGTTCACCCTTTCTTCCTATTCAAAAGAAGTTGTAAAACTGACTGTGAACTTTTTGTGGTGGACAATAGCTCGCGACGCAGTTCTGGAACACCCACACCGGTCTCGAGGCCGAGGGCCAGAAGCTGCCGGCTGACGCGTGGGGCATCCACGGCCTGTGGCCCGACTTCTGCAACGGGTCGTACACCCAGTACTGCGACCTCAGCCGTCAGTATGACCCGGCCCCTTCCCCCAACACCACCACCGGAAAGGCGGACGGCACTCCGGTCCCGGCTTGGACCGGCGCCTCCCTGGATGAGTTTGTCAAGCCCTTTGAGAGGTTTGATCTTCTCGAGTACATGAAGAAGTAAGGCCCGATCCGTCCATTTTACCTTTCAAATAAGACACAATCTTATATTTGTAACTCAGGTTCTGGATCGCCCAGTACACCCCCAACTGGGTCCTCTGGGCCCACGAATTCTCCAAGCACGCAACCTGCTTCAGCACCTTTGACGTAGAATGCTACGGCCCCAAGTACCAAGAACACGAAGAAGTCGTCGACTTCCTCGAGACCGCCGTCCACTACTACCAAGAGACCCCGACCTGGAAGTGGCTCGCCGCCAAGGCCATCACCCCCTCCAACACCACCGCCTACTCCCTCTCGGACCTCCAGGCCGCCCTCAAGGAGGGCCACGGCGCCGTCCCCTACCTGGGCTGCTACGGACCCCGGTACAACGCCACCGAGGCCGGCAAGGGCTCGTTGGACAACGGGTACACCCAGCTCACCGAGGCCTGGTACTACTTCCACGTCCACGGCAAGCCCCAGCGCGGGGATGCTGTGCCTGTGGCTGCTGATGCCAATGGCGGGCGCGTGACGAACTGTGCGACTACGCCTGGTGCTGTTTGGTACTACGAGCGCTCTGAGGGTTCGGTCCAGTAAAGGATCCCGTGGTGTTGACTGTTGAGCATGTAGAAAGCATATAAGCATACTAGTAATGAGTAATTCCCTGCTACGCTACAAATGTTCTGCTAAAGATGCGTACGGGGCGCGATCCATCACATTTCACAACTATCAAGAACCGATGCAACCTGATTTAGTCCATTTAGTACCCTAGGAGAGTCGAAGTGACCAAAATGCTATGTACCGAGATCGCCTCTATCCTTCCCAAACCCACACGTCAACTAGTTTGGACGATGGGTATTCTACTCGTACAGTCCTTCCTTCAGCCAATGAAAAAGCCCCAACGCCAATTTGATGCGAATGTGCCCACCTCGAAAATGCATCTACTCCTCATCATCGCCAAGCTCCTCCACAGCTGGCGCGACATAGCCGGGGCGTTGCGCGGGCTGCGATGCAATCTGCGTCTCCGTTGCTGTTGTGGTCGCGGAAGCGGGGAGAGGCTGGCCAGTGGATGCGGCGAAAGTACCACCGGCACTCGAGGCGCCACCAGATGAGGCGGCCTTCTTCTTCTTGCCCTTCTTGGGAGCAGTCTGTCGTTTGTCAGTTTTTGTCCAATCACGTCGAACACAAGGGGCAGTATAACTTACATCGTGCCAAGCCCAGACGGGCTTGAAGCTGTCCATGAAGGAGACGTCCTCCCAAAGATTGGGGAACAACCAGAGACCGGGAGATGCGACAAAGTAGGTGATGCAGAAGAGAATGACACGGAAGATGGCCATGAGGAAGAACAGGCCGAGCAAGCCCAAGAATCCCCAACTGAGGTAGTAAACGCCGAGACGAAGCTTGAGGGGCCAGAGAGGGTAGCAGACGACGATGAAGATGAGCACGAGGGCGAGGATCGAGTACAGCTTGCGCTTAACCTGGCTACCCTCCCAGAACCACGCGTAGTACATCTCCTCCTTGGCCTCTTGCTGAGGCTCGATACGGACGGTCCAGAGACCCTTGATGCGCTTCGTCTTCTTCGGGCCGTGGTCGTGGCCTTCGTGGGGGTCGGTCTTGGTGACGCGCAGGGCAAGCATCGACATGGGAAGAAGCTTAAAGGTGTTCTCGAGAGACGCGCGATCGGTGATCTCGGGCAGCTCGGGGTTCTTCTTACGTGCCTTCTCGTAGGCGGGGGACTGGAGAGCACGGAGCGCACGCTTGACTATAGCCCAGAACGTCAGAATTGACTCGGATTTTACAAGGTAAAATTGCTTAGTACTTACCCTTGAACATATCTTTGCGCTCGCCATTGAGAATACAGGTACGGGGCTTCAAGTCCTGGGCGCGCAGAAAGCTGGCCAGCGCAAGCGCAACAGGGTTCGGCGGACCAGGCCGAATAGGCTGAGGCTGGCCTTGTTGGGGCTGCTGTTGCTGGTGCTGGTGGGGGTGAGGGTGCTGATGACCCTCGTGGTCATGATCGTGATCGTGATCATGACCGCCCTCTCCACCCTCGCCGCCCTGCTGTTGTTGTTGTTGCTGTTGCTGCTGCTGCATCGCCATCCGTTGCTGCTGCATAGCCTGCTGTCGGAGGTGGTTGAGGAAATCCGGGACAGTCATGCCGGCCTTTTGGGCATCGGCCTCTATTTGTCTGCGCATGGCCGCGATCTGATCAGGCGAAGGCATGGGCTGCCCGTTGGGGCCCATCTGCATAGGGCCCATGGGGCCGCCGGGCATTGGCATCGACATCTTGAATGTGGGCTAGTGCTCGAAGGCAACCAGTGTTTGGGAAAGACGCGAGGAAGAACTCTGAGTTCTCTCTGCCAAGGTTGTCGGCGGGATTGGAGGAGTCCGGCGACAATTGGGAAGCCTGACTGCTGGATCAGGTTTTGTTGGATGAGCGTGAGTTTGGCCTTGGGAGCTGTGGTCGTGGGCTGGGTCTTTGAACAAAAGTGACCAGCAAGCAAGCCAGGTGTTCACTTCTGGTCCAAAAATCCGTGCAGGGGTCAAGGTCCGTCCCCTCCACCCATTGGATCCATCGAATTCCATTGAGTGAAGTTCGGCATCCTCTTTCTCCGACACCCGTTATCGATAAGCTCATCAGCCCAGAAGACAAACGCTTGGACCACACCCAAACTCAAATGTGTCTCCACTCCAAGTTCAAACGGTCACGCTGGTCATCTGTAGCATCACGTGATTTATCAGCTGGAGGAACCTGAAGAGGACTTCCTTCTCCACCTACTCTTATGTCAGCGATCTTATGTCAGCGAAGACACTTACCGAAACTCCTCTTTTCCTCCTCCCACTGTGGCGGCTCGCCCGAGACATTCTGTTTGCGCTAGAGTAACACGAGAAAGTCTGCCAAAGTCTCTCGTCCACCGGTTTTCTTCAGACCAAACGATGACGAGGGACTCCGCCCACAGTTCTCAGCAACGGTTCCCCGACACTATCTTGCTAGACTCGAGTCATCAGAGGCCGGAGACTTCTTTTCTCATGATCCGGCTGGGTTTTGCAACCACCACAGTCAGCAACATCGCAACAGTCGTCAAGTGACGCTGATTGCCCGAGTGGCTTTTATTAGATCCAAGGAAAATCGAAGAGAGGCAAATGCAAAGCGGAGCGGGACAGCACCGAGTACAACAACACCCTCTCTGTTTACCTACATATTATCCACAGTCGCCATCCGTCGGCCAGCCCATCGACTTCGCCCTCCCCGTACGACCACTCAACGGCGATGGCGTCCTGCAATAACCGGAGACATGCTGAGCGACGATGGGAGTTGTGACGGCACAGCGCATCCCCAATCCGCACATAGGCTTCCCGCGTTCCCTCACCCCCTGCCACCCGCGGTGCCTTGCATGTCACAATGATTTCTCATTGCTTCCCGTCCGTTCACGTTGGAACATGTCACTTAGTGACTAGGTTTATTTGTTTCCGTCTGGATAGACAGTCAGCCATCGCCCAGTGATTGGTCACAGAAGCCTTATTAATTGCCCGACTGGAAACACGCACACACGACGTCGAATTGCCCTTCACTTTCAGGCTTCAGCCCGTTGCCCTGTTTGTCAATAATTTTCGACAAAGGGTTTGTGGGCCCGGCGCTCCAAGAGATGACAAGGGGCGGTGACGGGTAAGGTATGATGTATCGCAGGATGACAGTTCATGACTGGCACGAGACCCTCCTTGCCTCCCCCCCTTCTGGAGGGGCACTTGTGGCAAGCAACTGCTGGTCAAGCTGGGCAGTCCAGTAACCAGAGCAAGGCAGAGGTGAGACATCGACTCGCTGAGCCATCGTCTTCATCTTACACGACTGGTGGAGCCCTGCAATCTGGTGCAGGATGGTGGTGTGCCGCCAGCCATCCGAATCCGACAACACCCCAGCTTCCTAAGCGCCGGTTGGCCGGCCGTGTCTGGCCCGTTCTGCAACCCCGGCCTATCAGAACGGTCCGTCTGCATCTTGACTGCACACCTCGCCGACAACTGCTAGGCCCATGTCCCTCCATCTTCTTCTCAGCTGGGCCTATGAACCAAAGCACTTGTTCGAATCTCTTGCCCAAAGTGGGAATTGGGATTCAAAATGCCTCGACTGCGTGACTGCAAAGAGAGAATAGTCGGCCACACCCAAGTGGATTCCTTTGACATTGCCTACTACCTGTTCGTACCTGTTCGCCTTCCACGACTAATCCCGTGTACCCATCTATTATAACTCAATCGGATCGCTCGCTCGCTCTTGATTCCTGTGCTTTGCCGCCCTCTTTGCATCTTCCCCTTCTCTCGTTCTGTCAAATCGCTGGCCGTCTTTCGTTTTTGATTTTTTTTACCCCCCCCCCCGTCTCCAGCAAATGTCCGGCATGAAGCTATCTGTAAAGCAGGTATTATGAAGGGTCTGAGTTGCATACTTGCAGACGCCTATGCGACATGGCTTTCGCCCCTCACCAACTGCTGCGCTCCATTTTCTGACTCCGTAGAAGAGAAGCCGCGTCAAAGTGAGTGTGCTCTTGGGTCCGGTAAACAACACAAACATATCAACTACCGGAGGCTAACACCAACCCGCTTAGACACCTTTGACATTTCTGAGAAACTGTCACCCACCGTAACCCGCAACCAGCCCGTGCCCATGCCGCCGCCCTTTGCTGGGACAATGCAAAAGTCAGCCGGACCTCGTCCTCGGCCGCAGGGGAAGTCGAAAGGAGTGAAGAGAAGTTTCGCATCGCTCCGGGAGCGGTTCTCTGTGAGAAAGCGATCTCGCTCAGACTCCTCATCGCGCCGACTACAAATATCAGCCCCCAGCAACTTCCGCCATCTGCATTCAGAGTCCTTTCAGTTTCCCCAGTATTCGAACCTTCAGCACGTCGGCCGGACCCCACCACCGCGTCCCATGCCGCGACCTCGCCCTTCCTCATTCAGGCCGCTGGAACTCAGCATATATGTGCACAAGAGGGAGCTCTCGCCGATCCTGCCGCACTTCGACATGATTACGCCGCCGCGGCCTGCCGCTCAGGTCCGGCCGAATCCCGACGACGATGTATTCGGACCTTCGCATGAGCCCAACTATTCCCCAATGTCGTTCCACCTGCCCCGGAAGATGTCGGCGTCGCCATCTACCCTCGCTACCTCAGCCAGCGATTCGCCGCCAAAGATTCCGCCAAAGTCGAGGGCCCGGTCTCAGACGTCATCCAGCGCGAGCGCAGAGAGGATGAAGGAGCGAATTGCCGGCGCCATGATGGAGGTCGACAAGCTCCAGCGCGAAATCGAGCTAGTCATGGAGCGTCAGAGCATCTACGCCAGCAGCCGGCCTTCGACTGCTCATTCGATGGCACTGACAGCGCACGGTAAGCTCAGACGAAAACACCAAATTTAGCACTTTTTTTTCTTTCTTTCTCACGTGTGCATGTAACTGACAAAGAAAGATTTAGACGTGGAACCCATCCCCACGGTCCCCGCCCTCCCGCCATCCGCACCCTCCTTTGCCGAGCGCCTTAACCCCGGGGCCGAGCGCCCTCACACGGCACCACCCCGGCCGCCAGTGCACATTCCCCACCGCGGCATGGCCTTCGCCGACGCCTCGGCCGCCTTCATCACCCCACCCCCGAGCCGCGGCAGGGAAAGCAGCCGGCCCCCGCCGCCCCCTCCACTGCCCCTCGTTCTGAGGCCCCCATTACGCAAGAAGAAATCATTCTCCCGCGTCTCCAGCTGGCTTTTCCCCGGCGGTAGTGGTGCAGCAGAGCCGCACCACCACGGACGAAGCATCAGCCACGATTCCATCACTAATTTTCCCCGCCCCGTCAAGGGCCGCGAGGGCTTCTACCAATGTGTCCATGCGCCGCGGGACAGGCGCACGAGCGTGGACACGGTGTCGACTGTGTCGACGTGGGAGTCGGACGACGGAGGCCAGACGGTCCCGACGACGTGGTCGCCAGGCAGCACTCTCGCCACCAGAGCGGAGGACCAGCTGCCTCTGGAGCGCGTTACCACCTTTGGGAAGAAAAAAGATGCCGGTGGTCCTAGAAGGACCGGCTTCGCGGCGGTCTTTTGAGTCTTTTGAATGGGTGGAGCGGTGGTGTTTTTGGGTTTCACCTCTTTTTTTTTTTGTCTTCTTGCATGATACCAACGGTTATTCGGGAAAGAACAAAGATACCATGTTGTATATATTATGGATTAGACGGGGTGGCGGCGGTTTTGTTTGTTTGGAAATCTAATGATGCCAGTGGCGCTTGAGGTACGGTAGCATAGGATCGGGCAGGGCTCGGGGAATTATTGGAATGACGAAACGGTTTTTGATGGTGTCAAAGTACGATCCCTAAAGTCTACCTTCCGTGAGATGCTACTCTGGATTACATTGCGGTGGTTCAAGCTACATGCGCACTTTTTCAGTGTTCAAGAGAGTAGCTTCAGCTGAGGCGATCAAACAAGCCACATACGACCAAAAGTTTTGGTCGCAAATACCGAATACTTAAGAGTAGCTATTTCAAAGTCGTCCTTGTAAGTGCGCGGGACTGAAGCTCTGTGCATATGGCATAGTGCCAGGCCTCTCTTTATTCTCGGATGCTCCAACGAAGTATCATCTGAACTCGCCATGCAACAGCATTCGAGCCTGCAGCCCAGTGTTCTGCAACATCCATCCGGAGTAAATCGTCCCGTTTTCTCAACTTTAATGTATATGCCAAGATTCTTCCAATAGAAATGCAACAGTCTGAACGAGACCTGCGCTGCTTGAGGTGGGTATTACTGATGGACATCGCCGAAATACGTATTCGCGAGCTTGGCACGTTCATCACGTAATGATCACATATTCGGGACATTCAGAAACGGTAAAAGTCAGCAAAAAGCCACCAAGCAGGAAATAGACGAATGATGTTTGCGATGGTAACTTCCGACATGGGGTCGTTCGATCCGGGAATGCCCACTGCCGAAGTCACCACGCCTTCCTCTTGCATGTAACCCCGGTAAAACCCCAGCTGCGTTGGAGCTCCTCCGTTTTAGACGTCTACCAGGACACTTTTTTGAGGCAGCACGCATCTCTTCTCCCAAACATCTTCAACATTCTCTTTGCTCCCCTCACATGACCCTCCACCTCACCAACAGACTTATCGAATAAAGCAGCCTTATTTTGACACGATGGGCGCGGGATGCTGCTCCGACGATCCTGCCAAGGACAAGGGATGCGCCGGTCCTGCAAACGGCACTGAACATGGGCACGAACATGACGACCATCCCAAGCTCGACGACTGCTGTGCTGGCGACGGAGCTTGCGACGATGCCATGGAAGTGAACTGCCTGGATGAGAATTGCGATGCCGAGACTTTTTGCGATTCCGAAGATGATTCTACCTGCCGTTCTATCAAGCTCGAGTGCTGCACCTCTAAGGAAGAGCATTGCGATGGTACGGGACCCCTCGTGATGTCATGTGTGCCTTATCTAATACCGTACGACAGAGAAGTGTATCATTGCCGCCGCTGCGGTCGAGTGCGAGAAGTCGTGCGAAGACGATGCCGCTCATGATGGTATGCCATGATATCCGGGCCATCATCAAGTGTGTTTAATAGCTCACGACATTAGGTGATCACGAGCATTCCCATGACAAGGACGGTCGCCATCCAGCCTCCGCTTGCAATACCCATATGTCCAAGGCTTTCGAGCAGTACAGCGCCTATCTCGAATCGGCCCGTTGCATCTGCCGCAGTATTCTCGATCGCGGCCTCCCAACCGCCTGCTGCAGCGAGCAAAAGCCCGTTGTCACAGCCGCAGCCGCTCCTGTGAAGTCTTCCGCCGGGAACAAACGCAGCGGGCCTGCCGAGGCGCACACGACCGCGCATGCTCATGGTCAACACAAGCATCATCATCATCACGGAATTAAGCGACGTGGCAATAAATCGCAAGCCACACACGACCATGACATGGCCATCAAACCCATTCGCGATGATCAGTCCGACTGCTGCAGCGGCCACGATGTTGAAGTCCCTTCTGCATACGAAAAAGGACGTTTCGCTATCGATGGCAATGTGGACAAGGATGTCGAAAAGGATGCTGGGTCGGAGCATGTTGCCCTCGTTGTCGACGGCATGACCTGTTCTGGGTGCGGGAACAAGCTTGAACGCACCCTCAAAGGAATGCCTGGAGTGTCTGGCGTGCGGGTCAACTTTGTCATGGGCAATGCCGAGTTCGCTCTTGACGGTGCGGCAGGAAAGGCCGAAGATATTATCCGCAACACCGAAAAGGCGACAGGCTTCCATTGCACCCGAATGTCAAGCGATGACCAGACGCTGGACATTCTCGCCTCTGGCCCGTCTGCTAAGGCGCTGACCGACCTGGCGATAATCGGTGTAAACGAAGTGAGTTTGGTTGACAAAAGAATTGCCAGGGTCACCTATGACCCAGCTGTTATCGGAGCTCGAACGCTTTTCAACAAAATAGGACCGCACTCGACTGGACTAGCCCCCCCTCACGATGACCCGTCTATCGCAAGTGGAAGAAAGAGGATGTATGATCAACTGATCAAGACGGCCGCCGCCGCGGTTCTCACCATTCCTGTCGTGGTTCTCGCCTGGGGCGAGAAACTTGAACCCAAGACTCGCTCGATTATTTCGATCGTGTTGGCAACTTTCGTTCAGCTCATAGCTGTGCCAGACTTTTACAAACCAGCCATATCATCTCTCGTGCACAGTGGTGCTATTGAGATGGACATGCTGGTCGTCATCAGCATCACGGCTGCCTATCTCTACTCGGTTGTGGGATTTGGTTTCCACATGGCTGACCGGCCACTCGATCCCCGCGAATTCTTCGAAACGAGCACCCTACTCATCACGCTTGTGCTCCTCGGCCGCTTGACTGCTGCTTACGCACGCATACGCGCCGTTGCTGCTGTGTCCCTGCGTTCGCTTCAGACATCTACCGCTGTTGTCGTTGAAGATGGGAAGGATGTCGAAATCGACGCCCGTCTCCTCCAATATGGGGACAAATTCAAGGTCCTCCCGCACTCGGTTATCCCTACAGATGGGCTAGTGGTGACTGGATCTAGCGAGGTGGACGAATCCATGCTGACTGGGGAGAGCGCCCCTGTCTTCAAACAACAGCGCGACACTGTGATCGCGGGCACCATCAACGGATCCGGCACTCTGGTTGCCCAACTTACTCGTCTCCCTGGAAAGAACACCGTCACCGATATCGCCGAGCTAGTCGAAGAAGCGGCAAACTCCAAACCAAGGATCCAGGACATTGCAGATCGTGTTGCAGGGTGGTTCGTCCCTGTCGTCACGGCCGTTGCCATTATTGTCGTTGTTATCTGGAGCGTCATCGGTGTCAAGGTTCACGGCGAATCAGCTGGGAAGTCGATCTCCACCGCCATCACCTACGCTATTGCTGTCCTCGCTGTCTCCTGTCCTTGTGCGCTCGGTCTCGCGGTGCCTATGGTCTTGGTTGTGGCGGGCGGCGTTGCCGCTCGAGGGGGTGTCATCATCAAGTCGGCCGAATGTACCGAGAGGGCTCGAAAGGTCAGCGACGTGGTGTTTGACAAGACTGGAACCATAACAGAAGGCGACCTCGACGTTCTCGAGGAAGAGATCCTACTCCCCGACCATGATGAGGCTCGTGCCATCACTAAAGCCCTTGTGGCAGGCAACAACCACCCCGTATCTACGGCCCTGGCGAAATACCTTGCCTCACGGGCAACCCGCGAGGTGAAGATTACAGACCCTCGAGTCATCCCTGGCGCAGGTGTTGAAGCAAGTTACAATGGCCACAAAGTTTGTGCCGGAAACCCCTCGTGGACCGACGCCGACGCCCTACCCTCCGTCATTCGCTTCCAAGAGGCGAACATGACTATACTGGTTGTCAACAGTGACGCTATCCCTATCGCCATATTCGGGTTGCGCACACGTCTTCGACTTGAAGCAAAGAAAGTTATTGCTCAGCTCACCCGCCAAAACATCGACGTTCACCTCGTCTCCGGTGACCAAACCCGCGCCGTTGAATCTATCGCAGCCCAAGTTGGCATTCATAACGTGGCATCTCGACGCACCCCATCGCAGAAGCGGGACTATGTTGCTTCGTTAATGACAGAGGGCAAGACTGTAATGTTTGTCGGCGACGGAACCAACGACGCAGTGGCGGTCACCCAGGCTGATGTGGGCGTCCAACTGGGCAGTGCAGCCTCGGCGAGCGACGTCACCCGCGGAGCCGCAGATGTGGTCCTCCTTGCAGGCCTCGAGGGTATCCCCTTCGTGCTTGAGGTCAGCCGCGCCAGCTTCCACCGCATGGTGTTCAACTTTGTCTGGTCGGCCGTGTACAACGTCCTCGCGATCTTGCTTGCCGGAGGCGCGTTCGAGCCCGTCAACTTCAAGATTCCTCCTGCCTATGCAGGATTGGGTGAGATGGTCAGCGTCATTCCGGTCATCGTCGCTGCCCTGACAATGTTGGGAAAGAAGATCCGAACCGAGGCCTAAGGTGCCGGTGTTGAACATGTGCGATGTGGCCTAGCTGGCACGTTCAACACCTGCGGGCTGAGGCGCGGATGGTTTTCTTCTCTCGTCATTGCTGGTTGATGACGGCTGTTATCGAGGGACGAGGATTCAACGTCGACGACGCAAGGAATCGAAATTCGATGTGTATTTTGGGGTACGGCTCGCTTCGGTTTACGGGTGCGATGGAGTCTCCATGGCACCACGACATGGTTGGCTCGCTGAGCCCCTACCTTTCACTCGCTCTGGTCTCTATCACAAGGAGACTCACGACATACCGAGGTCTGCCATTCTAGTGGGCAATTAGAAGAGGCGGCCAATTGAGTACAGAAATATGAATACAAGAGACTGCAATTACTTGTCCAATCCTCTTCCTTTCGAATCTATACAAGTTGTGAAGTGATGCCTTTTGATTTTTAGATTATTGTCTCAAATGCTTCTGATGCGGGCTTGACCGTGCGCTATTGAAGAGCCTCGACTTATCACACTTGCCAAATCGCTTCGACTGAGTTACTGCCTTGTGAGATTTAAGATGCGAGGCCTACTAAGAGTGCTTACATTCCCTACAATGGCAGATACACATCAAAGTTGATTCGCCAAACGCTACTGACAAGATGGGTTGAACAACAAATCAGAAGCTACACATTCGCCAACCTCACTCATTGGTCATATTGATATGGACCTACTCTTTAGAGGCAACGGGTATAGCGGATGACGTCTGGCAAGAATAATCCTCGTCGTGCAAGTTGAGCCCCCGAGCCATTTTCGACGTTTGCATTGCCCAATCCGGAGGTGGGCATTACCAAACGAAATCTTACCGCCCTGCCGAAAAGACGGGACTTTGCTCCGGATCCACCGTGAGGTGTTGTCAATGGGTGGACGGCCCCGCAGGAGCCCAGCCACCAAGACTCGGAGGACAGCGATAAGCCAGCCACATGGGGTCCCGAGAGCCCGGCAGGAAGGCCAGCTTGTGATGTCGAACTCCCGGGTGAACCTTGGTCTGTATACCTAGAGGAGACAGACACAACTTACAGCAAGGTTGTCGCGTGATGTCGTGAGAGTACCCGTACGCGCGTTGAAGTATACCAGGAAGCAAGCATCCATGCACAGCTGCCATGCGGGCCAATGCTAGGATGCAAAAATGTCGTGCAGGCAATGACCGCAGACGTCATGTGCTGAGCGGCGAGAGAAAGGATGAGGCGTCGTGATGCGAGAGGTGAGGCTGGGTGGCGACGAAAGTGTGGCAGAGTTGCGGTAGAGTGTAATATCTCAGAGCGACGACATGCAACAGCCCGGCACGTCGACTTTGACTACCTGAGCGGTTAAGGTGGTGAGGTGCGGATGTGTCACGGAAGACAAGTCGCATCCATCGGGATCGTGATTCTGGTCTTTGATGTAATCCAGAGGCTGACTTGCGTGGTTGGGCAAGTTCCACGATGGACGTGGTTCTGAAAAATCACCGACCAGTCACCGCCGGGCCGGATCGGTGTGTAAGCCGGTAAATGCAGGGTTGTTGTTGTTGTTGCTGTTGTTGTTGTTGGTCCGGCCGACTTCTGTGGGCGACGGGGAAGAGCAAAAAGAAAAGAAAAGAAAAGAAACAAACGGGACAGGAAGTGTGGGCAGGGTTCATGGTTTGACTTGTCGGCATTGTGATGGCAGATTTGGCCAACAGATTGGATACCCGCTCTAAGCGCATGCGCAACTTGCAAGCGATGGGCGTGTTTATTTCGAGTGAGATGAGGAACACTAGATACACTCACAGTGTTACTGCCTTGGAAGTTAAGGTAGGAAAGACTGATTTTTACGGGGACAGGGCAGTGAGTCTGAATGCCAACAAGAGCCACGAATTGAAAGAGGCTGAGAATGGCACGCTATCTGGCAGTCGAGGGAGAAAAGCCTCGGGGCTGCGAAATAGGGTTTATGCGTGCAGCAAGTGGCATCGTCATGCGCAGTGGGGACGGATCTCGTTCAACTTGCAAGTGCACATGTCGTGGTTTGGCGGCGGACGTCTGACCATTGGCCAAGCCTGCATCGTTTTGGCGTCCGGTTTCCTGGTGGTTGAAGGCGGATCGCAAAGTGCTTTGGCGCTTGTTGGCCTCGGGGCTCCCACGTACTCGAGGAAGCGTGACTAGACTCGATGTAAGGATGGCCGTCTAATACAGTGAATTCGTTGGGCAGCTGGACCGTTGTTCATGGGTTGTTTAGTGGTCGGTCCTTTTTGATAAACAAGATGACATTGAGCGGAAAGTCCATGGATGTTGACTGAGAGTTTGCGAATGCACCCGACTCTGAAAGTCTGAAGTTTCGAGGTCGGCGAGTGGAACTTTCTGGTTCCGTATATCGGCGTCTCCTTCCGGGCAGGCAAGACCACCTCATAATGTACACCATACACTGTACAAAACATGGCAGGTCCGGGGTGCAAAGGCAACACAACTGGCAACTGTAGCTCAGGGCAGTCGATCCGATGTCGTGCCTGCCGGTGCCTTGCACTGAAGGCTGAAGCAAGATGAGCAGCAAAAGGAAGGCATGGAGGAGGCCTTGATACTGCTCTTGCTCTTTGTGTTTGATCTGCCCACCCAGTGGAAGGCGCGGACCGGCACGAGAATGGGATGCGACTGCCAACTCCCACGGGCATTGAGGAACACCTACCCCAAGGTATTAGGTATTATCTAATCTGATCTTGTCGTTCTGGACTGTTTGTTGACCCCCTTCGGCTGCCTCTGCTCGTCCGTAGCCATCCGGACTTCCTTTTTGCCTTTGTCTTTTTTTTTATCCTTCGGTCCTTCGGGAAGCGTTGCACCTTTTTCTTGTTCGGGCTCAAACGGGAGGCGCCTCGTCTTGCCCTTTTCCAGTAACTCAGCCCCCCCCCCCCCCCCCCCCACGTTTGTCCAATATTGATCCGTACTCCGTATCCGTCGTTGACTTGTTGCTTACAGTTTATTACCCGCTGCTGACGCCGCAATCCCCTTGTTGCGCACGGCCTTTGGAGGTTCCATCATTTGACAAGGCTGCCCGGGACGACTACTTTGAATCGGCTTATTACCCAAACGCCAATAGGCCCAAATACTCTGTACCATGCTCTTCTAGATAGGCCATGCCATGGCAGATGCGAATCGGCTCTTTAGAGTGGTGTCATCCCGCCAGAGATCCACGAGCTACTATTGGGAGAGGCGTATCCGTACGAATACCGATACTGATACCTAGGTCCTAGACCAAGGGACCAAGGACATGGGCTTCGCTTCCCGCCCGAGCCGTCGATAGCTTCGACAATCCCAACTCTGATCCTGATCTGGTCTTGGCTCGACCCTCACAGATACTGCACATTCAGCTGCCACGCCTGCGTCTCGTCCTGCGGCCTCCGAACTTCTGGGGCTGCCAGTCTGCCTGCATGCCGTGTCGTTGGACCAGGCTACTTTGTTGGATCGTCGTCCTGCAGCCTGCAGTGCGAGGCGAGCTGCAAGTCGCGGCAGCCTGGGATCGCCGCAAATCGACATTTCCCCCTTGGAAAGCCCATCTTACCTATCGCTAAGGCGGCAGCAGCACATCCTTACAAGTTACCGCTGCAACTCTGCCAATGAAACCAGGGCCTGGAGGAACTTCTGCTGTGCCTTGCTCTAGTTGCACACAAGCCCGGCTCCTCAAGGAACCACTCACCGTCTTTGGATTTGTAATGACCATCATTTCTCACAATCCGCTACGCTGAACACACCGCAAGGTAGTTGACTTTGTACATGACATTGACAGCCGGCCGGCGACATATGGACCTGGAATGAGAGGAGGTAGGCAGGCCGCAGACTTGGCCGTGGAGAAGGAGATTGCATGTCTGCTGCTCTACCAAGCTTCCTGCTACCTATGCTTCCCTCACATCGGGTCACAGTTATTCACGGACAAAACACCGCCGACTGCGGAGTCGAGTCAGGAATGCTGCTCCATTTCGTACAGCACGGGCACAGAAAGACAGTGACGGGAACCCCTCCGCAGACACACAGGCGCACAAGAATCGGATACAGGGCACAGGCGGCACCCTTGATCCCCCATCCCTCATCCTGGGCCCCTTGAGCCCTTGACAAGCATCGCCAGGATTGGGGCCATGGGCCATGGGTTGGAGCTGCGCCCGGGTCACTGGCCTTTCTGGGCAAGGCTAAACCCCCACGGACAACTGTCATTCGTCCACCAATCCGTGACTCGTTTTTTTCTCTCGCTTTCAACGCGCCAGCGAAATCCCATCTGCACCTCTTACGTTGCATCTTTCAGCCCATTCACACAACGTCCGTCATCCCTAGACATCCGCAAAACCGCCGCCGGTCAACAATTCGACACCGGTGTGGTTCCCTACCTAGTTGCAAGTTTGCAACTTCCCGCTCCAGCTTTCTTGGGGTTCCCACCGATCTGATTCCACTCTAAACCCGCTAGTGTTCCTCTCTTGGCCACTAAGCGGCTTTCCCTCGTCTACCAACCGAGACAAGCGGCCTGCTGCCAAACACAACGCGGTACCAAGCCTCAGCTCACGAAAGGGAGAGAGAGAGAGAGTGAGAGAGAGAGAGAGCAACATCGAGGCAGGGCAGGGCAGGCCAGTCCACAGGAATACCTACCTAGGGCCTCCCATCTGCTGTCAACGTCCAGGCTTCCATTGAACCGTCCGAGTTGTTGCCAACTTTGGCCAGTCAAGGTTCCGTGCCGTTCCGTTAACGCAGTTGGCCACTTCACACATTGAATCAGCACACAAACAGACTACCTACACTGCTCAGTCTCTCTTCCTCTCTGTCGTCCACGCCCCCGACGATAGCCACCCCCACCAAGCTACCATTCCCACGCCCACGCCCACTCCCTCCAGACCAGTCCGCCGCGGTGCCCCCCTCCATCCCTCCATCCAGAGCCCACGGTCAAGGTCCATGGTCCACAGTCCACTCACACTACTCGCGCTTCCCTGTCGTCTCTGTTTCTGACCCGTCACTTGTTGCTTCTTCTTGCCTGTCCGGGGCTACTGCCACTGGCACTCGACTGGTGAGCAGCCATGAGCCAAAGAAGGGCATCCGGCCACAAAAGCAAGCCAAAGGCACCTTTCCCTCCCGACCCTGACGCCGATACGGTTGCTCTCGCTCTAGAACCTTTGCCTCTTCTTGCACCTGCAGACGGTCCCACAAACGACAGCCCTGCCGCTGCTGAAGCTGATGTTGCGATTTCCTCGACTACCTCGTCATCCGTACAAACCGCCTCTGACCCATATAACACGGCACGCCACCCTCGATCTCGCCCTTCCACTTTGCGAAGCCGACCATCTGCCCTTTCACACGCTTCCAGCGCCGGCGAATATGGTGACGATACGATCGAACCGAACCCTCAATCTCCCGTCCCGCCTCTAGACGACGGCACAATGCCTTCGAAACCTTCTCTTCTGCGCTCTTCGCGCGACGACGCCCCGTCATACGGTGCCGTCTCCCAAGACCCCAGCCGCAATGTATCACCTACCGGAAGTGATTCAAGGACGGGAAACGCACATCCGATGCGATATGTCTCCGATACCACCAGGTCAGCTTCCTCGAGGTTCTCTACCGCCTCAAGGAGGGAGAGCTCTCGCCTCTCCGAGGAGCTGGATGCTGCCGCCCTTACAACCGGGCTGGAGGGGCGCTTTGGCGTGACCCAAGCTCCAGTGACGACAAACATGCTCGAGGATGCCAAGTCAGACGCCGCCGAAGATGAGGTGGACTACGACGACTACACAGGCAGCGAGCCTGACGAGGATCCGGTTGACAACTCGCCTCACGAAGTCGTCCGCGCCTCGGTGCCGCCGACAGATAATATCACCCTGTCCATCAACACCCCGAGGATGTGGACACTCTCGTTTCTCTTTTCGGTGCTCGGCTCTTCGACCAACTTGTTCTTCTCGCTACGATACCCCAGTGTTGCTATTACGCCTGTCATTGCCTTGTTGCTCGTCCATCCACTTGGTCTCATGTGGGACTACCTTCTCAAATATCACAGCGATCCTGCGGAGGAATTTCTGGATGGTGTCCTCCAGACTGATGGCGAGAACCGCCCGCCAGCGAAACGGTCCTTGACCCGATTTCGCAGATGGCTCGCGCAAGGACGGTGGAACGAGAAGGAGCATACTTGCGTCTACGTGAGCAGCAACGTCTCGTTCGGATTCGCTTTTGCTACCGACGTCATTGTTGAGCAGTCTAGGTTCTACCACCAGGAAGCTACAACAACCTACCAAATTCTCCTGATTCTTTCGACTCAAATCCTCGGTTACGCCTTTGCCGGCCTTACGCGTCGATTTCTGGTTCGACCCAGCGGCATGATTTGGCCCGGAACTTTGATGTCCGCGGCCATGTTTGGGACACTCCATAAGGAGGAGAACAGGATTGCAGACGGTTGGAGGATCTCAAGGTGGAAGTTCTTCTACCTCGTTTGGTTTGGAGGGTTCGTCTTTTACTTCCTTCCCGGCCTCCTGATGCCGTGCCTCAGCTACTTCAACGTCATTACGTGGTTTGCGCCGAAAAACGTGGTTGTCGCCAACCTCTTTGGCACCGTCTCTGGTCTGGGATTGTTTCCCTTGACCTTTGACTGGGCTCAGGTCACGTACATTGGGTCTCCTCTTTTGGTCCCCTTCTGGGCTGCCATGAACGTCATTGGTGGTCTCGTTATCGTCATGTGGCTTATTGCGCCTATCGCCTACTACGCCAACGTCTTCTACTCATCCTATATGCCAATTCTGTCCTCTGCGGTATTCGACAACAAAGGCAAGGTCTATGATGTGAGCAAGATCCTGACCCCCGAATTCCTTTTCGACAAAGACGCATATAGCAAGTACAGCCGGGTTTTCCTGCCCATCACCTATGTGCTCAGTTATGGTGTTCAGTTCGCTGCCCTGGCGGCGCTCCTGACGCACACATTTTGCTGGCATGGCAAGGACATGTGGAACACGTGGAAGACGGCCATGGCGGAAGCTCGCAATGAAGGGCAGGCGGTTTACCAGCCTGTCTCAGGCAGTTCTGAGCACATCAGACCTCAGCGATCTTTCAACAGCAGCAACGGAGGTCTCTCGAGATCTTCTTCCAACCTCGAGGGCATGATGTTCCGAGAAGATGTTCACTGCCGACTGATGAAGCGGTACATGGACGCCCCCCTTTCCTGGTATCTAGCAACGTTTGTCACGATGCTGGCCGTGGGCATCTTTGTTGTTGAATAGTACGAGCCCCTCTGCAAGTTGAAACGACCCCAGGCTGACAATTTAGTTACCCCATCCACCTCCCGTGGTACGGCTTGCTCATGTCACTAGGGATCTGCGCCATATTCTTCATTCCCAATGGCATCATCATGGCAGTGACCAATCAGCACAGCAGCATCTATTTGATCTGCCAGCTCATCTGCGGCGCCGTGTTCCCTGGCCGCCCAATCGCAAACATGGTGTTTGTCACCTATGGCTACATCTCGTCAGCTCAGGGCATCAAGTTTGCCTCCGATCTCAAGCTTGGCCACTACATGAAAATTCCGCCTCGCATCATGTTTTCGGTGCAAATGGTGGCCACGATTGTGTCGTCCTTGACCCAGATCGGCGTCCTCAACTGGATGTTTGCCAACGTCAAGGGCATCTGCACGCCAGAGGCTGTCAATGGCTTCACATGCCCGATCGCGCGGGTGCACTTCAACGGCTCTATTTTATGGGGTGTGGTTGGACCGGGTGAGTTTTTCGGACCGAACGCAACGTACCGCGGACTTGTGTGGTGCTTCCTCATTGGAGCCATCGCACCGATTCCCCTGTGGCTCTATGCACGCAAGAATAGGCACAGCATCGTTCGAAAGATTAACCTCCCGGTCGTTTTTGGATCCATGGCGTGGATTCCACCGGCGACGGGACTCAACTTCTCGGTGTGGGCGGTGGTTTGCTACGTCTTCAACTACCTGGTCAAGAGGAGAAAGAGCGCGTGGTGGGCAAAGTACACCATGACCATGAGCGCAGCGTTGGACTCGAGTCTGGCGTTCGGCATTGTCGTGGTGTTCTTCGGCTTCGTCTACCCCGGGCACATGAAGGGCTTCAAATGGTGGGGTACGGAAGTCTACAAGCAAGGCTGCGACTGGCAGGCGTGCTCGTATAACACGGTACCCGAAGGAGGGCATTTCGGCCCCGACAAGTGGTGATCCTTTGTGACGACACGAAACGAAACGACTTTATGGAAACTATTTAACACATTTTCGGCATGGCAAGCAGGTATAGGGATGGCAAATTTTTTTTTTATTAAGATGCAAGAGATGGAGTTTTGCCATTGAATGGGGTGGATTAAAGCCCTAGGGATAATTGTTCACGCATTTAGAAGCACGTCATATAGAGATGCTGCATTTGCGAAATTCAGTCAAGACCACTTTGGGTCGTGGTTTGCACCTGCCTTGGATCGTATCAACTGAATCATTTTGAAATGAAAAGTGAGTCACAGGGTCTAGAAAGGGAAACCAGTGACTCTTTGCTCCCAGTAAGCTTCGTACGGAGGTCAAATCCGTCAGCCCCGCCGAGCTCTAGCTGGTTGTTGTCCGTGCCGGATTATCGCCGACCTTCTCGAAACGGATGGGTGGTGGCCGGCCGGGCCGGCATTATAATCCTTCCGTTGTGGGCGGGCTTGCGCTGAGCAGGATGAGTCAATCTATATTGCTGCAAGCTGGGATTAACTAGCTTATAATAAGTGAGGCCAAATTCGGCTGACAGATCTTGCGCCGCGCCTCGAGCCTGTTGTTGGGTGTGTGTGTGTGTGGTTGCTGTTCCGGGGCTCGCTGCCGATTGCGACGTTCCATGGCAGCGAGTGGGGTTCCGTTCGCTTTCTGACGGCCGCCAGCACGAGGAAGTTGGTTTAGAGGATTGCGATTATGCAGGGGACTTGTAGCATCGGTATTGTTCACATCGAGAGGGGTAAGAGGTTCGGAGGATAGAGGGATTGGGATATGATGGGATGGGTAAGAAATATTTAAGAGGGCTCTATAGCACCAAATTCCGAGTGGTTATAGGAAAAGAGACAGAGACTATATTTATCCATCCCATAACGCATCGCAATTGGACGCCGTACATCTCAACACCAGAAACTCAATTCGTTCCAAACCCCCAACGTCATCTCATCTCAAAAAGATCAAACCAAAGCAAACAACACACACAAACCACCATAACTTCATCTCATACATCCAACACCAATTACCTCAAGAACGAGACCACCAAAAACCTCACATCCTTCTCAATACAAACCCCCCCCCCCCCCGCTCAAAAGTCGGCAACAATGGCACCAACACAAGCATCCCACCTCCCGACGACCCTCCGCTCATCAACCCACTCAATCCTCCTCCGCACCCTGGAACCGTCCGATTTCGCCGCCGTCTCGGCCGTGCTCTCGGACCCGGAGAATACAAAGTACGACCCGCATGCGTCGGCTATTTCCCCCGAGGTGGCCAAGATTGTGATTGCAAGGATGAGGGAGAGCGCTGGGGTGCCGAGTGTTGTTGATGATGGCGGAAGAGTAGCGAGTGGGCCGGGGAGGGTTAATTTGGTTGTTGTTTTTGTCGGTGATGATGACGACAATGGCAATGGCAAGACATCGTCAAAGGGGAAGGGGAAGGAAGAGGGAGGGACGGTGATTGGATTCGGCGGGTACGGCGGCATCAACGAGCACGAGGAGGACGGGCGGAAGGTCAGGGTCGGGGATGTGGGCGTCATGATTAACTCGGCGTTTCGGGGCCGGGGGTTCGCGGCTGAGGCGGTACGGTTGGCTGTCGAGTGGGGGTTTAAGGGGGTTGCTGAGGGCGGGCTGCAGCTTGAGAGGGTGAGTGCTACGATGAGCGAGAGGAATGCGCCGATGAGGGGGCTGGTTGAGGGGAGGTTTGGGTGGGAGGGGGTTGTGAAGCCTGGTGAGAAGGAGGGGGATGGGGAGGTGTTTTTTGAGGTTACGGGGGAGACGTGGAGGAAGTGAATGAGTTTTGGGATGTGGTAGGTGGAAGAGGATGATGTGAGGGTGTCGTGATTCTGTTTGAAAGTAGTTGGAGATTTGGGTTTGGTTGGTTTTGATTTCATTTTGCGTATGTCGTACTCTGGTTTCGTCGAGGGGCAGCTCACGATATGTGTCTTGGGGTATCTTATACCGACAAGATGACATTGCCCTTGAGTGGGGATGTATTGATACAAAGAGAAATAGCGGCAGTGTTTGGTCTGAAGTAAACCCTCAATTATCATGGACATTGATGCCCGCCCAATTTCTAGAGCCTTGTGTCTCGTTACGCGAAGTGGGCGACAATGTCAGACCAGAGAAATCTTACAGCATACCCGCATGATAAGAGAATATGAACTGAGCAACGGAGGAAGAGCATGGTCATAAACACGTGAATCACATCAAGTACACCCACCCATGAAGTTAGACGTCTGTCGTTTACTTGCGTCCTATGAAAAGCTCAAGATTCCCAAATGAGCACGATAACAGAATCAAGATGATCGCCATCGCCATCCTCGCCCTCCTCCTCTCCATCCATGAAGCCCGAACCGCCCCGCCTCTTCACATACACCTGCCAAACCTCGCCCTTCTCCCCTATAACAGAATCCAACAGCAGCCATACATTCCTCGTACCCCTCCACGTCACGACTTCCTTATCCTCTGTAGAATCGTGCAGCACGATACCTTCCCCCAGCGGCATCTCGGCCTCCTGACCGTATTGCATAGCCCCCTGGAGATCCGCATCGCTTTCCATAGGCACGACCTCGGATCCGGCGCAGTAGTGCGTGAGCGAATACCCGTTCACGAGCACCCAGTGGTCGGCGAACCGGAAGCGCTGCAGGAAGCAGGCCTCGCCGCAGACGGACGTCACGGCGTGGCCCTGGCTAGGATCGAAGCGGTGGCGGAGCTTGTAGTGGCGGAGGGTCAGCGGGGAGATGCCCAGGTCGTAGGTCGCTGCTTGGATGTTATAGAGGGCGTCTGTGGGGGAGTAGAAGCTCGGGAGGACGTGGAAGGAGAGGTCGGTGTGGGTCGTCACGCAGTCGTGGAGGATGCTGTCCCATTTGGTGTGGTTGCCGGTGAACCCTTCGTCGGGGCGGCACGGGAGATGCGAGACGAGGAGGGCGCCGGGCGGGGTGAGGAAGATTGCGCCGCCGCCGTGGGTGGTTGCCGTGTCGTTCTCGATGGACCAGTCTGGCCGCTCGCTTGGGAGCCCAACATAGTACGGGCTCGAGGGGTCAAACTTGGAGAGCTTTTGAGTGAGCTGTCCTGGGGTGGGGAGAAAGATGTCGTCGTCCAGTAGGCCAAAGTATTTCTTGCCGTGTTCCTGCTCGGTCAAGGCCTCGTTGACATCCATGAGAATGGTGACCAAGTCCAGATATCTCGAGGCCTTGTCCCGTTTCTTCTCCAGCGGCACAACTGTAGCGTCAATGCCGAAATCTTGCAGCTTCTCGTATATTTCCCACGCCTCTCCACTGGTGGCTCGATACAGCGTCACGACGATAGTCGCCCCGTTCGATTTGCCATGGCCGTTCGTGAGCCACCGCTGCCAGTCTCTGATGAGAGAGTCATTGGCGTTTGTGAGGCGCTTGTAGGTCGTTGAGATACCAAACAGCAAATCGGAAGCATCGACGGCGTCCGGCAGTATGCTTGTGGTTACGGAAAGATCGTTTGCATCGCCCTTGGGGTACATGTCGAAACTCTCGTCATCCCAGCGAATGTTTTGAAACTCCTTGCCCGCAAACGCGCGCTTGATGTTTGTCATTGGGAACCTCTGAGGGGCTTCTGGTACGACCCTGATCCTCTGAGAGTACCAAGATATGTTTTGTGTAAGACTGTGCCGCTCCGCAAATGTCCTCAGGTAGTCGCTGCCATGTACAGACGTCTCCTTTTCGCCGGGCTTGACCACCGGTACGAGCGGGTCGACGTCGATGACTTCGTAAGCATCCTGTCGACTTTTTGCAACCTGGATCAATATGAAAAGAAGGACAAGCAGAAATGTTACCGCATGTAATGCCCTGGCATGGTTGTGATAAGCGTACATGGGCTGCATTGTGGGTGGAAGGGCCCCCATTTTGTCAATAAATTCAAGGCCGCTGTGAAAAGCAACACTTGACGCGAACAAACGAATCCCCCCCCCCCCCCCATTCGGAGGACATTGTCATCTTTTTGAGGGGATATCGAGGAATGTTGGCCACGATAAAGGGATGATGCGTGGAATTCAGTCCGCCTCTGAGGTAGTGAGACACACCATATACACATCCGGCGAAACGCGTAGACTATGGTGGCTCCATGCCAAGTACAGAGACACAACGCTGCTGCACCCAGAATATCTTCACCAAGGCATGCTCGAGCTGTAGGAAAGTCCTAAAATCTTTCGAGTGTCTTGTTCTCAAACGTGCAAGACCAATATGTCGAGTTGCGTTGCTGCCATGCTAGAATTGCCACCGCAATGCTTCGTACGACTTCTCCCTGACGATGGGGTTAGCTGATGGTGATGGAATGGAAAGGGCTCTTGTGCACGAATCCCGTTCGGAAAAGGCACCAGAGCACCGTATACCAGTATCCCAATCCATCATGGCACATGGTGCCCAGTCAGATAGCAACTTTGGTGGTTTAGGTCTAAATGTGGTCGAGGAGGCTCTTTGTGGGGTTCTCGAGTAACACCTGTCTACGGCCGATCATGTTGAAAATGGAAAGCCTCTTCGGCAAAAGAGCTTCAAACCTAATTAAACTCGGGCCGACGAAACTGAATGAACGGACCTGTTCATGAGAGGGTTCGGGAGATGAGAGAGGGTGTGCAACCAAAAAGTTTACTTCTTTGGGCGGTTGGGGAAGAAGACGGGCCCGGGTGCTTAGCTAAGGCACTCTCCGTCTCCGAGACCTCAGGGAAGGCGGGCCGCTTATGTCGACGCTTCCTTTTTCTGATGAGCCAAGATAATATCTGTGAGTACGGAGTACCTACGTTGCCAAGGTAGGGAAGCACGGAAGGCACTTAGTTGCTGATACGGCATTTGCCTGGATGCTATACTTGTGTCCTCGAGCCGTTGTTGTGTGACACAACCCCTCGTTCTGCATCATCCTCAACATCAGAACGTCCTGTGCCAGCCTCCTCTCAAACTCACGACTTCTCGGCGATATCATCAGACATCGCACAAGAGTGTCTTCTTTCTCCACACATTTATTCTCCTTCCGACGTCGTGCAACGCAGCAGTGGTGCAGCGCCGGCCACGACGAGTTTGCATCGAGGGCGAGCCGTAGAACCACGAGGTATCAGGTCGCACTGTGTGAGGTGACCGCCGTCACCTCCTCAGGCCAGTATCACAGAAACATCTCAGTTCTTTGCCACCTGCGACTTAAGCTTCGCGGACTCCTTCATCATTCCGATTGGTTTCATCTGGATTTCGAGGCTTCAGAATGGTATCTCTTACTCAGAAACCTTGCGTGCTGCTCTAGATAGAACTGGTTTCCGGTACTTAGGGACGTCAATACTCAACATGTCCAAGCCCAGAACCCGAACACCAGATCTTCACTGTAACTTCTGAACGGAAGGAAATCCTGACGAAATAAGCATCTATCAACATTGCTTGTTGACTTCGTAGTCTGATGGGCTACGGATGGCCTTACTCTTGGCCGCCGCATAGGTGGACCTGTCCATCCGTCGCTCGAGCTACACAATCACGCTTTTCATCCACGCTGTGTACGACTTACTCCCGAATTCTGCATGGCAAAAGAGCGAAACAACCCGAAGACGATGCGCACAGCCGTCACCGCTGCTACTCTTGAGTCGCACTACGCATGGCGACCTCGCCACCCCTCTCCTGTCACTCACTGTGGTGTCACCGAGACCGGGAATGGCCATCTGAAACCACGATGGGATCTTCAGCAACACTTCTCTCAGGAGCCGCAACAGTGCCGGATTTGGCATCCTGTCAGAACCCTAGGAATCTGAATCCAAAGACCACGATCCAGGGCATGGCGCCCGGAATGGGGTCGTCGTCGTCAAGATCCAGCGGGGTTGTCGTCTCTCTTTCCGGCATCGCCTCATGCTGCGAAACATCCGAACAAACGCCTAGATATCAGTTCATCAGTCTGCAGCAGGGGTCTGAAAAGCAGCTGCCGTCCACGTCTACTTCTACCCTTGCAACGTGACTGAGCTGTCTTTCAGGGCCCATGACCCGTCCAGCTCATCATCTGGTCCGTTTGCAAAGAATGCCCAGCCTGGGGACCGCGGCCACGCCAGACTTAATGCTTGTCGAAAGTAGCGGTGCGCGGTAGGCCGCAGAAAGTCAATGCCTAGTTACCATATTAACGAAGCACTAAGCAGGGGGCCCATTGACTCGACTATGACCAATGCCGTTCTCCGTATTCTCGACATGCTGTGGATTCGTGATTAGCGCCTTTCTCAGCATCACTTCAGCAACCCAGCAAAAGGGTTTCGACACAAGTCGGATTTATTCACGACTAATCCCATAGGGGCGGTTGCGCCTGACTGACGACCTGTTCGAACCAAGCTCTCCGCCGTCTACTGTGGAAAGGAAAACCTCAACCGATGGACCCGCTATGCCAGGTTAGGGGTAGTACCCCAAGATAGACTGTACTCTTGTGCTTCCCATCGGACATTTTCTTCGTGCTTGTACGCAGGAAAGCTCGTGGGGGAACAAGGAGCTTTCTGGTGACAGCTGCAGCCGCCCCCTTCAAGAGGAGCCACACGAAAGCATGATACGGATCATACTTCTCTCGAAGAAACTAAGATTATCTCAGCAAATCACTGGTCTGCCTACGGATATGCACATAGCCAGGCCACAAAGAAGAGGATCCGGCTTTGGCGGTCTGACGAGAGGCCAAAGTGCACGCTCGCTCATAGGATAACGTGTCATTCGAAAAGAAAGCGTCCAGTACTCACGATGAACTGCTGCTGGAAAGGCTGTCAGTCATGGCAAACCGCCACTGGATGTCTTCGGTATGCCTCATGATTCCCCTCTATTCTTCAAAATCGCGGCCGCGCGTGCCGAGTCAGGTTGACGTTGCCCTGAGATCTCCAACGTTGCAGGAGGGCCAGCCTTGTTCCACCATCTCGAACAAGCTGTTAGAGTCAACGGCCAGATGGCACTCTATGCACCTATCCGCGAACCCGCTCTGCAATTCCCACCCCAGTGCGCCTCCAGAAAAACGGTACCCATACCTGTTTGGTCTTTGCGGGAGCGTCTGCTGTATTTGCGCTTGCTAACTTGTCCAATGACTCTAGGGTTTTGGCGGATGAGCTCCACATTCTTCTGTGAAGCCTCTCTACGGACCAATGCTTGAGCTGGTGATATCTGATGAAACCTGACTAGCTTCGATCTCTGGCCTCCTCCAAGTAGGCCTCTCCCCAGTGTGGTTCAGTAGCTCAGAGACCTCTAATGGTAGTATACGAAAGGCCCACAGCTTGGCTGCTTTTGTGAGCTTTCTACAAGTTGGGCAGATTTGCGGATCCTCCTGCATGGAAGCTTCCCCGGAGCCGTTTGGCTTACCCGATTCTCCAACATCGAGACGACACATGCGGTAACTTGCGACCACCACACAAGCATCAGCAGTAACCTCACTTTACTAGACTTGGTCTCGTGAGCTCTCTTCTGAGGGAAACATATTAGACCGCCTTCAGTCTGTACTCTCGTTGTCTCCTACTTCCACCATCTTACCAGTCATCTATCACTTTGTAGCCTCACCTCGATAAGGCAAAAGAAAGAGCGGTGGCCGGTCACAAACGGAGACCTCAATGCTGAGAGGTCGATTCCAAGACACCGCAACAAAGAAATCTGCACCGAGAGCGCCGAAACTCAAGGAGAAGCCCCGAGCCCCGTACTGGAGTGCAGGATCCGTTGCAGAATTGGCCGTGTCTCCAAGAAAAGCGACAATCTCGAACCCCCTTGTCCTGGAAAACTTTGCCAGCGTGCTGCACGCCCGTGGATGTTGAGTCGCCAACCCCCGGAACGAAGACATCAAGTGTTTGCCGACTGCCAAAGACCTTACTGGTAATCCGCTGGCCATTACCTCTACACCTGGTCTCGCTATTGCTGCAGGACTTGTCTTAAGTCTTCCATCGCCCCCCCCTCTTTTTAGGAATAGGTTCGCCTACGCCGGTTCACCAGGTCCTTTCTGCATCGCAGCATAGCACCGCCTTCGAGACATCTTGAACCGACAAACAGCCGGAAAGATGCTTTCCGTATCTTCTCTTCTTAACCCGTCGCCTCCGGGGCCTCTTCCTGCCCCTCGGTTCCTCCCAAGTCCTGCAACGTCCTCGCCGGGAACCTGCTATTCAGACAGAGCTCCGTCACCATATCTTGACCGACCCGTCGTTCCGAAGCTCAAGATGTCCAAGGACCCGTCTCCAGTGTCCAAGTACAAGCCTCGCGGAGTCATCAAATACTACCCCTTTGAAAACTTGGACGACCTATCCCGCCGCGAAGTCCATCGCTTTCGTGTCTCGCCATTTGGTCGTATCCAGGAGTCATGTGCCCATATTCCCTACAACAGCGGGAAGAAGGACTTCTTCGAGAAGACGGGGCGGGAGAGCTTTGAAGGTTTGTGGTTTTAATCTCGAGATGGGCCGGCTGCCTTTGCTGACCGAGTTGTCTAGTTTTCAAGTATGAGTTCAAAGTGCCTGGAGAGGACAACGACTTCACCGTCATGTGGGACTACAACGTCGGTCTTGTCCGCATGACTCCGTTCTTCAAGTGTTGCAAATATTCCAAGGTAGGATTCCATGGCGATTCTAGGTTGTAGGTTGAGAGCTCCACTGACAGATACAGACTGTTCCGGCAAAGATGTTGAGCCTCAACCCTGGACTCAAGGACATCACTCACAGCATCACTGGAGGCGCAATAGCAGCCCAAGGTTGGTCAAGATGTTTCTACTTTTGAGTTTCGAAAGCTAACCGTTCCAGGATACTGGATGCCGTATGAATGTGCCAAGGCAGTATGTGCCACGTTCTGCTACAACATTGCCGGAGCCCTTATCCCCATCTTTGGCCCATCTTTCCCGTCCATGTGCGTCCCGCCAGGCTCGCCAGAGTATCAACGCATGGTGATCGACCACCGGATCGTCGAAGACGCCATCAAAGACGCCGGCCGGTCACGCAAAGTACAGCACCACGCTCTCCCTCCGATTGCGCTCGGGCACATGCCAAGCATCGAACGACGGCCCATGCGACCTCTTCGTGACGACAGAAGACTCCGACTCAACACAACTCGCCTCATGAGCCCGTATAGCGACACCGACGGGGAGGGCGGCAACCGCTCATGCCCGGACTCGGCGTCCAGCAACGGCTCAGACGGCGTCAGCTACAGCTTTGGATATCATCAGGCTCCAGCACGACACTCACAGCCCCCAACTTCCGGATGGGTGGCCGCAAACCGTCCGGAGCCGTACCGCTTGGCCGACGACATCTACCGCACAGCCCATACACCTCATCCATACCTCAGCGCCGTCCCTCGCTTCACGCCCCTGAATAGGCACACGCCTACCCCTCGTCCGCCGTGGTCACAAAAGCGTCCTGTCGACCACGATGACAGCGATGGCGGCCGTGAGAGCAGCGGCGAGAGTGTCCACGTCAGCAGCCCCGCGCTGAGCTTCCAGTCTGAACGGCGCAGGGAAGAAGAGTCTGACGCCGAGATTGCCGAACAGAATGCCGCGCTGGGCCTCATGACGCTCAAGACGGCGTCTCGTAAGGAGTCTGGATATCAGAGCGACTTGGACAGCTCCGATTTACACCGCAGCAAGCGACGGCGGGCCACGTCTGCGTGAACTGTTGAGGAGGTTGAGCGGGACAGACAGGGAGGAGAATGGATGACTCGGACGACTTGAACGTATTCTAGATTCCCATGTTTTTGCTCGCGCACTCACTTTGTATTTCTGTCTTGGGTGCCAGATAATGTTTGCGGTTGGAACAGTTCAACTTGCTGAATCTCTTGTCGCTTGTATCCAGCTTTATGTCTAAAAGTCGAGGGTTAGGTCCAGTGTTTGGTGGAATTCAACAGCATTTAATAGTCAACATCCCAATCATGACGGTTTCTTTCTTCGCATTCATAGCAACTCATAGCAACTCATACTAAAAATCTTCCCTCTAACCATTTTCATCATCATTCAGTCAAGTATAGGCCATTCTCCTCAAACCTACCCAACTACCTCTTCTCGGCAGCCTTCTTCACCTTAAACTCCTCAATCCACCCCTTGGCCCTCGCCACAGGAACAACATACACCCTCACAATCCCATCCACAACCTCCACACTCCCTCCACTCAAAATCTTCAACAGCGTAGCCTTCTTGCCCACCTTGACCAACCCACCGCTCGCCGTCTCCATGTAACACTCCACCTCACCAGCACTCCCATACTCCCCCTTCTCATCCCACGGCAGCGGCAGGATATACCCCAAATGATCCCCCACACACTCCGTCTCATTCCACGCCTTGACGAAATCGCTCTCCATCTGCAGCGGATACAACAGCACCGCTGGAAAACTCAAACTACTCTTTGGATCATCCTCATCCGGCACAAGCCTCATCCTCGCATCCTCCATCTCAGGAGGCTGCTCCGTAACCCTGTGCCTGATCCCCCGCGCCGCGAGCGCAGCCTTCAACAACATCTCCCTTCGCCTCTCAGCCGCCTTGCGCTCCTGCTCCCGCTTTGTCTTGGCGTCGGCGCGCTCGGCCGCCTTGATAATGTCTCGCGCGACGGCCTGCAAGGGCTTATTCCCCGCATCCAGCGCCAGACCCCTCGCGCACGCGTCGTCGGCCTCGGCGATGCGGTCGACCTTGAGCAGGGCGCGCGCGGAGCGGTAGTAGGCTTTGAGGTTCTTCGGGTTCAGCCGTAGAGCGAGACCGCAGTCCGTCCAGCAGGAGCGGAAGTTGCCCAGCTCGAGGTGGCACGCCGCGCGGTTGACGTATAACGATTCCAGCACGGCCTTTTGTTTGGATATTTCGTCGTCGTCGTCTTCGACTTCGATATCCCTCTCCTCTTCCTCCCCTGCACCCTCCTCCTCCTCGGCCTTGGCCTTGGCCTTCTCCGTATGAAAAGTCTTCTCCCCCTTGGCGCGCCTCTTCTCCTCCACCGCCAAAATCTCAATCCCTTTCCCATAAAACTCCTTGGCATCAGCATACATCTTGGCCTTGAAACACTCGTTCCCGCGCTCCTTGAATTCCTCTCCATTCTCCCTCGCCGTCCCCTCGTACGCGAGCGCCTGCAGCGCGGCCACGTCGTCGTTTTCCTCGAGCGAGGTCATGAAGAGCGGGGACTTGTTCAGGTCGGCGAGGACCTCGTCGGCCGTTTTGCCGCTGAGGAGGGCGTGACCGGGCGGTAGGGCCGCGCCCTTTGCCGCGCCGGGGACGGATTGTGCTGCCGCTGCCGCTGCCGCTGCCGCTGCCGCTGCCGCCGCTTGCTCTGCATCGCGGCGCTGGACTTCGGCGATCATGGCGTCGGCCATTTGGTCTGTGATTTCTTCCATTTGGACCATGGTTTTTGCGGATGGCGGATGCGTCCCCGCTTTTCTTTTCTGGGGGGTTTGCTGTATCGGGTGTAGATTTGTTTTCTGGTTTTGTCTGTATGCTCAAGTCGCAAACGGTCTGAGGAAATGTGTAGAATACCGGTCTTGGGTGAGTGAGTTGTAAGTTGTGACGTGAAGTTGGGTGAGTCTCACATGAGATTTGTCGCTTGTTGTTTGTGAGCTTGTGATTGAGCGAAAAATTCAGAGGTGAGTTTGACGTTTGTGTGTGGTTTTTGCCGTGGCGATTCTCATTGGGCAGATGTTGCAAATTCTGGAGTTGATGGAGGAGCTACGAAGCTCGTAGAATCTTACCTCTTCAACAACCTCACTTGAGGGCAAGAGAACTGCTTCTCAGAGTTCTATCGCAACTAATAATTGATTTTTGAGCGATCGTGCAACGTCATTCTCTTCATTAGGAGGGATGAGCATCATTCATCGAAACCACACGCAACCACAAATACTCAAATTCATCAGAATGACTTGGATTCTATTAGAGCGATTAACTAGTTATGGCGAATAACCAAGTAGCAGCCGCTCCCAACGCCGAATCAAATGCAACAAAACTCCATGCTTGCCAAAGACCAAAAAGTGTCTCTAGTCTATCTGACACTCCTAGCATCAGATCCCAACTCCAAAATTCAAACCCATATTCGTGATGCCGTCCTGTTTCGACCAAGAAGCAAACAAACTCCCCTTCTATAGCCCTTTCTCATGCTTTTGGTTGGGTCGTGAAATATTTTTTCAACTCCGTTTCGTGAAATGTCCCCCCTCGAACCACATTCGTCACATTAAGCTGACAACACATTCATTCCTCGTCCGTGAACACCTCCCTGATGCTGACTCGAGACTCCTTCTTCTGCAAGCAAGGCTGGGCGTCCTCCTCGCTCACCTCGTACTTGCGCTCACGCTTCACGGAGAAGCACTGGATGGCACCAATGACTGCAACAACGGCACTGCCATACCATGCCAAGGCCGTGCAATCAACCTTGCTTCCGAAAGTATACAACCATCCGGCAACGGGCGGGGCGACCATGCGGAAGCCAGCAGCGGCGCTAGCGGCGAGACCGTTGACCTTGCCCAGGGCCTTGGGGGTAGGCGTAATCTCCTTGATCAAGATGAGGAGCAGAGGGTACAAGATGATAGAGAGGACGTTGCGAACAGCCAAGCAGAAGTAGATGCCGGCATACACAAGCGACTCTGGAAGGAACAGCAGGCTCGGAACCATGACGTAGGCGATCGGGTGGAGGACGGTGACGATGATGAAGAGTCGGTAGACACCAAACTTCTCGGCGGCGAATGGGAAGATGACAGCCTGCACAAACAGCGCAATGACACCATTCACTGCCATGATCATGCCTACAGCACGGAGCGAGAGACCCAAACCGCCAGGGGTGTAGAAGGGGCTCGAGGGGTCGGTGAGAATGGTGATCGGGGCACTGGCGCGGTCATCCTCGAAGAAGATGGGCAAGAGATGGTCGTAGGTCATGGAGTGGTAGGTGAAGATGCAGAGCGCAAGAATCAGCGACATGATGGGCTTGGTGTAGATGTTGTAGGTCTGGTCGGCCTTCTTGGCGGGGGTCTGCGCGCTGCGACTGCGGACGGTTCCGTAGTTGTCATCTCTCAAGTCGACGGCAGGTCTCTTCATGGCATCCGATGTCTCCAGCAAAGGAGTCTCCTCGGAAGCGTACGTGTCGTCGGGCATGAAAACGCGAGGTTGCATGTCGGGGTGAGTCTCCTCCAGAAGGAAGTAGCCCAGAATGATGCTGACCAATAGGAGACCGGCACAGACGAGGTTGGGCAGGAGGTACGGGTAGCGGTAGAACATGCCATCGACGGGGAAGATACTGGGGAACGCATCGTGGGGATCGGCAAAGGTACCGCCAATAAAGGGACCGATGATTGTGCCAATGGACCACACGAAGGGCATAACAGAGAAAGCGCGGGCTACACGATTAGCACAATGCACGGCTTGATTGTCAGAAGGGTGGACTCTTACGCTCATGCTCAGGCTTGGTGACCAGTTCACCAACCATGGTCTGGATGACGCCGATGTTACCGTTAAGAAGACCGCCGATGGCTCTGCCAGCCAGAGCAATCCAGATGTTGGAGGCGAAGCCGACCATGACCATGCTGAACATTGTGCCGACGCATCCCAGGAGAAGTACGGGTTTTCTTCCGATACGGTCAGAGAGACCGCCCCAGTACATGCCCATCAGGGCCTCCGCGAGGGAGAAGGAGGAGATGAGGAGGCCGGCGTAGAAGGATGCATCTTCAGCATTGCCGATTTCGAATCTCTTGACGAGGGCCCAAGCGTAGGGGAAGATGGAGGTAAGTGCGATGGGCTCGGCGAGGCGAACAATAGCTGAGAAGGTGGCGTTAGTATGCGTGGTTGAAGAAGAGAGAGAGAGAGAGAGAGAGAGAGAGAGAGAGAGAGAGAGAGAGAGAGAGAGAGAGAGAGAGAGAGAGAGAGAGAGAGAGTGTGTGTGTGTGTGTGCATGTGTGTGTGGTTGGAACGCGGCAAGGCAGAGAACGCCAGGTTAAGGAATGCAGTGTTGGACGTACCAAGGAGGAAGAGCTGAATGGTGGGAAAGTCGTCCGGGTTGCGAGGGCTTTTCTGCATGGTTAGGGCCATTGTCTCTCGACTTGGTTCAAGTCTTACGATGCGACAGAACACTCGACGAAGAATCTACTGGAACGTAGGAAACTTGAAGAATGAAATGTCGGGATGCGTGTACGCTTATACACGTTTCCTCCTGTCCTAGCCGGCGGCGGTGACGTCTTGTAGGAGACGGATACACGCGAAGATATTTCGTCCGTCTTCAGAAGAGTTGATGTCGAGGGATGAAGAAGAGGAATGTTGCAAAAGAGCGGAAGCAGGAGAGGAGGGGAGGTAAATATTGGTTCTTGGGCGTGGATCCGTGTACGATAACGGCTTTCTCCCGAGTCCTCCAGGGTGGGAGGGTGGAAACAAGCGCTTGCAGCAACCCGGAGTGCCAGATGGAGCTAGATGTAAAGAAGACTGGCGGATGCAAGCGGGAGAGGAAGCCGGCGGATGCAGTAGAAGTTGCACGGTGGGATGGGAGTTGCGGAAAGTGCTGGGTTTGGTGGGAGGAATGCATATGACGGGCGGCGTGAGCGAGATGTTTTTTTTTTTCTTTTTTTCATCCCGTCTCGCTCTCTTTCCTCGTCTGATACGAACCGACTTACACCGTCCCGTGCCTTCAGCACACAGTGACACAGTGTGGCGGGGCTCTCTGCTCAAGTGGGAGTGCAAGTGCTCCAGAGTCCAGGTTGCTAGGAGTGCAGGAGACAAAACCTGGTGGAGTGAACAGGGGAATTGCGGTTTCCAGACCGACGGCATCCGAGGAAAGCAGCAAGTCTGGCCGCGCGACGACAGGGAAGGAGCCATGGAGGGGGGAAGCTTCAACTGATGGACTGCGCCTGCACGGACTGGACGATGCAGCTCATGCGCAGGGCACCCACGCACCGCTAGTAAAGGGTATGCATATATGCGGGAGGAGAGCGGATTCGGCCTGGGATATCTGCATAAGTGGCGCTGCCGCTGAGGACCATGCGGGTGACGGGGGAGGGATCTTGCGCTAGTTTAGCGTCCTTTTTTTTGTTTGTTTCTTCTCTCACTTTCTCTCCTTCTCACCCACCTTCTGAGTTCCAATTCTCTCCTCAAGTTCCCAAGTTCTCAACTTCTCTCTCTCCACTGCTGCCAGGGTTGCTGAACGCACGGGCTCCAGAGGAATATCCGCTTACAAGTTGCGCTACGATTCCCTGTCGATGCAGTAGCTCGTCCGTCGATTGTCGTGTCGTGTGAGAGAATGTGTCTTGTGTCGTGTGTGGTGGGTTTTCTTGCTCTTTCCGAGTTGACGGCGGGTGATCAAGGTGAAGGCGATACATCAAGGTGGAGGAAAGAAGCCCGGCTGTCGGTCTTCGGCTCCTCGGATGGAAGTAGCGCGAACTAGACACTTGCGACGGCTTCGACTTCCTTTCCGCCTTTCTGTTTCCTTCTTGTCTCCAACCCAACTGACCACCACCACCCACCACCACCCACCACCAACACCACCACATCACACGCACGCTCGTCCAAGGATCTCTCCCAAACCTACTGCCGCCTGCAACTAACGAAGCAATCTGCGCCTACCTTATTGACACTCCGCATACTATTGCCGGCCGCCAGTCGTTGGCATAGAACCTCCTTCCAGTGTCCACCCCTCCTCCATCCAAACATTGGATGATGAGTTGTTAGTTCTCGAAACCACGATAGCCTCACTCAAAAAAGGAAATTCATCTTCACCGAAAAGAAGCCGGCTTGTTCTCCAACAACCAGCCCCCAATGCACGCCTCACCTTTTTCTTCCTCTCTTCATGTCAGCCCGTGGCGGTCATGATTAGCAGTCAAAGATTGTAGTCAACGTCACCGAAACCCGTCACCAGCGGGCGACTACCGATGGTCCCACGCGAGTGCCGGGTCTGGTTTCCAGTCCCCCTGGCTGAATGTAACGATTTCACCGCAAGGATTGCAACAAGCACACAAGATACTGCATGACACGACCAGCATCGACCGACAAGACTTGAAGGCTCCACGGATCATCAGTTTTGGGCCGGTCCAGAGTGTCTGTCGAGGCACCAAGGGCGGCTTCGTCTGCGCAGCGAAATTGCCTACCCTGCGTGTGCCTGCCGTGCCCTGCCCGCTGTTGCCCATTTTCTCACGACTTTCCTTGCTCCCTTCTCCAATTCATGGCCCAATTCTGCCATGGGTGCTGGTGCTATTGGCTGGCGGCTCCGACGCACTTGGGACGGCTGATTGGGACGTTTTCTTCTCTGCACTGTGTCGAGCCCCCAGTTTTCTCATCGCCTGAGGCAAGGTAGCGTGCGCCGCATCCTTGTATGCGAGTTCGTTAGTCATTGGGCCTTTTCATTGGACCAAGACACCAGCACTTCCCGACTCCCGTCGACTCTCAAAGTTCCACCACCTTGGCCGTCTTTCGCAGTCCTCCTTCTTCTCCGCCACCACTGACTGCATCGTCCAAATTTCCTGGGCAGCAACCTCGACAACCAAACCACTTTTGCTATGCGCTACTGCGACTCAGCATGTGCGCACCTCAGACGAGAGTCCACATGGAGCGTCCAAGAAGACCACGTCGCCTGACAACGATCAATTCCATTTTTGTCACTTTTAACGAGGCTAAAGCGCTATGCCACCCACCACTTGTCTTCTGCTGCTCGACGACCTTACATGACCGGGGACGAGCAGAACCACCCCTTCAGACTGGCTCAATTTCCCCATTCCAAGGACTGTGACTCTTGGGCGGCCCTCCCACAGTCGTTTCTGACAAGATGCGGTGTGCGAGGGCCATAGCTATGACGATGTTGTGGAACCTTTCAAGGTTCAAGTCGCCCGAGGCGAATAGCTCACGACTGAAGCGATCGGTTCAAAACGTAGCAGATCTTGAAAAGAAGCCATCCCCAGTCAAGCCTGGCCCCAGCTTCAAAATGATCGAAGACCACTCCGTACGGATAAAGCAAACAGCAACACAGAAAGTGGACGAGCGGCAGTCGAACCAGGGCCAGCACAAGGTCGCGAGCCCGTTCATCCACTTTGCAGGCCCTCGTAGCGCAACCGACCCCAGCGCCCTCGTCGATGCATTTGTTGACAGGCAAGGAAGCACCACGCAGCTGCCCTGCCCTGCTCTCCTCTCCGCATCAACGTTCCCTTTTATCCGTACCGAGTAGTGTAATACAGAGTAGCACATTCGGGTCTGACAACTGGTCGCCGCACACCGTTTCGAGGTGCGATGCGACGCGACGCTCGTCAAATCTCCCAAGCTGCACCTCTTCCATCAACAACGGCTGCAGTGCACCCTGCCTGCGTGCCTGCATGCGTCCTGCCCGGTTGCAGAGAGAGAGAGGCCAGCCCAAGGTTCCAAGTGGCCTGCCTCACTTCCATATTCGCAGGTGGGTATGTCGTCCTTTCACCCGGCTGCGAGATAATGCTCCTCACCCTCGCGCCTTGATGGCACTGCCTGCAAGCTTATCTCACATCTGAGCCAAGGTATCTCACGCCAGCATGAAATTATGCTTTTCGCAACTCACCTCGAGTGACACGCACCACCACGATCGTTAGCGCCGCCCGCAAGCCCGTACCCACCGCTACGCTCCGTGTTTAGTTCTCCACCACCCACATGCAACGCCGCTAGAGAATCCCAGAACACGGCTTAATTGCATTTTACCGCTTATCCTTCTTCGTACGGATAGTCCTCGGTAACAAGCTCGCCGAACCTCCTCCATCCTCTTCCCAACACGAGTGCTGGGCCGCCATCCAACTCCACCGACTTTTCGACCAACCTGTCCTCCCACCAAGTGCGCCGCTCCCACCCCGATGGCTGCTCGATCACACTTCCCTCTCTCTTCTCATTCTCTCGAACCGCTTCAACCCAAAATATCATCAAATAAACCCCCCTTTCAACGACGTTGAATCTGTTCTTCGCCGCCCCGCATCCCCATCTGCAGGCATCATCTTCCGGCCGGCCCCACGACAGGGTTCTTTATGGGAACTTGCGCTAGTTCCCGTTTGGAATCCTTGGAGGGGTGTGAAGCCGTGGGGAGTGGGGTGGGTGGCACTCGGTCACTAAAGACGCTCTTTGACTTTCTTTGCCTTTCACACGTGTAGAGATCAACAGTCTTGAGTCACAAGCTGGCTGCCTGGAGGGAAACGCTTGTGGCGAACGCTAGAAGAGTTAGCCACCGGGTTATTTCTGTTTTGTTGGTTTTGCCTCTGGGCGGAGGGGGTCCCAGGAGTTTTCCGCTCTGGGAAACGTCCAACGGCGGCTGATCTCCGCCTATCACAGGACCTGGTGGCCACCACACACCGCCATGATTGCCTGTCAACGAGATACTTTGCGCTGTCGAAAAAGGTAGCCACCTCGACATGTGCCCCCCTCGAAACTAAACGGGAACGTCAATTAGCGGCGTTCTACGTCGATATTCTTCGATATAAATGCTTACTTCTCAAAACGAGACTCTTCAGCGGCCAGAGACAAGGGTTGTGCCATGGTCCCTGGCGGCGTGCCCCACCCACCCCGCGCACGCCATCCTATAGGGCTCTGACGTTCTCGTCAACCCCCACGCCGTCGACGTCGTGAACAGAGCCGCCTTTGACGACGTCTCTTGTTTTGCTGTGAACTACGTGATGAAAGATGTGTTGTCCATTCCAATGGGGGGTGAGTGGTATCCGTTGATCTCGTGTGATGTGACACGCGATGGTGAGCCTGCGCTTGGCGACAACACGCGACTTGGATCTCGATTTCGATTTCATCCGCAGGCGAAATTGGCTCGAATTTGGAAACCAGGCCTTCCAGTCAGGATTTTCACTCTTCTCTTTCGGTCATGATAGCATGTGAGCAGGTGGTACGGCTCGTCGCCGAGTGGTGTTTGTGTGACTTCATGTTGTCTCACAAGCGCCACCGGCGGGCTGCGCCGGAGCTACCTAGTGGTGTTACCATGCTGCCTCGCGTTAGGTCAGTTTTGACGTTCTGCATTCATCGCAGGAACAATACGAGACTCAATCATAGGATCAGGCATGATTATAGTGGAAGAAATCGCGTATTGAAGTTGGATGGGACGACATTAGCAAAAGCGGCTGGGTACAGGTAATATGGCCGACTCAGTGATGAACTACGTTAAGATATACTTTGTTTTTCAAGTTATTATATACTCTCGACTTGTCTAAAGCTTAGTAATTTCTTGTATCATGGGAATTCTCTCACGGATCTTATAGCCGTAAAAGTAGAAGGCTACTGGAACAGAGACGCATAACATTTCAACAAGACCCAGCAACGTCCCAGCCCAATTCAACCCCAGCGTCCTATACATTGACGGCCCAGCAAGCGGCAGACACGCGCCCATTACACTCCTGACCACCAAGCCAGCGATAATACAGGCCGTCAGACGATTGCCCGTATTATCCGCTCACATCATCACTCGTACAACCCCTTTTTCAGATCTTCTCGAAGTTTCGGCGTACAACAATCACCGTGGTTTCTGCAGTATCGATGCGTTCCATGCTCGGCTTGCCGGCATCCACAGCCTCCACGAGCGACAGCATCCTGGTCATCATCAACGCTCAAAACGAGTACGCAACTGGCAAGCTAGCCGTCTCGGATATCAAAGCATCCCGAGCAAAGATAGCCTCTCTGCTGGAGAAATATCGCGTCGCAAAGGCTCCGATCATCCACGTCGTCCATGAAGTGCCAGCTGGTGCCCCCATCTTTACGCCTGGCACCGAGCTCGCCGAGGAATTATCAGAGCTGAAGCCGCTTGAGGGGGAAAGTGTGGTCACCAAGCATTTTCTTCCAGGCTCCTTCACGGGTACAAACCTGGAAGAGTTGCTGAAGGCTGCTGGAAGGAAGGAACAAGGTGGTTTTGACTGGATACATGGTAAACGATGATTGTAGACGAGAAAGGCTTTTGGAGAAGTGTAGCAGACTAACTTTCCCTTTCTTCGGCAGGCACACGTTTGTATCTCGACGACTGCTCGACAGGCCAGTGAAAAGGGGTGGGACGTGATCGTTGTTGAAGACGCCGTCGGTGACCGCAATATCCCTGGAACGAATGCTGAGGAGTTGACCAAGATCGCGTTGGCTGAAATTGCGGATGCCTTCGGTACTGTGGTGAATGAAGAGCAAAGATATTGCATAATGCTTTGCCACCAGGCCAGGTATTTCTGTTAGGGCGAGCAGCGCGTTGTTCCTTCCTATCATTTAATATCACTTCAGCCGTTCCTGTCGTCCGTGCTGCCATTGTTGGTTGTCCTTGCTGTGCAGCCACAATTACGTCTGCTCCGACATCAGCTGACGAGGTCTATTGTCGACCAAATGTCAACTAAGAAGTATTGTCCGCCTATGCAATAACACATCCTCATATCCTTGCTGGCGTATAACCTCAGCGTTTCTTGTCAGCTGCTCACAAATGGCCTCATCACTGCCTCGATGAATTTCCAACGCACCCCACCCCTCGCAATGTGCAAAGGAAAGAACGCAGATGCTGTGCCATAGAGTTTCATGTCCTCCCGCATCAAATAGCCTGTACTTTCAAGGATAATAGTGGAGAGCTGGAGAATCTTTTGGGTCACCGCTTTGCTCGCGGAGTATTCGCCGTCCATGAGAAGACAATCTTGTGAGATTTATGGGTGCTGTACTCTTAATCGCTGTATCTGGGTGGCGCAAATAATCCAGAACGCCCAGTAGTGACTCAATGAATTAGCCACGGTGATAGTTGGGAATTCGAGGCTGGTGTCGGCTGGTGAGGCCTTTTGTAAACGTGTAACGTCTCCGATAGTCATGTTTGCTGACTTGTGCCAAAGGTTCAGGCGGCTGATAGCTTCCACAAACTGGTTCACGGCTTTGCGGGCGGCAGATCCACTATTGTCGTTACAGTGATCAAGCATTTCGAAAATGGCGGGTATGGCGCAGGCCTCACTCAAGAGGGCCTGGAGGGGGTCTTCGACTACACGGCGAAAGGGCTCTTCTTTCCACTCAGGCGCCCCGAGAAAGGTCGATTTCCCGACTTTCAAACGCATGGAGAATCTGAGATATCAGCACAGGTAAGGTGATGATGAATACAGGCTGTCGTACTAGAATTGGTCTGAACCCAACGAAAAGTTTGTGGGGTGTTCCAGATGCGTATGTAGAATGGCGGCGGGCCGAGTTGAATTAGCTCACCGATGCCCCTTGCGTGCATTGTCGCTGCCTGCAGAGCTCGAGGTGGGAAAGAATTTCTGGGACAGTCTTATGTGAGTACCTACAAGAGGCCGAATAGAGATCAAGAATCCCCTACCTCTGACAGGAACAAGCACATGATGGCTGCAGATATCTCGGCGTAGTTGTTCGGATCATCATTGGCGTGTGGGATGAGCCGCCCTACAGCCTTGAGCGCTAGGGAGTGCGCTGCGACGGCTTCATGAACAGGGGCTCGCCCCCCTGGGGCCTCTGGCCATCAGTGAGATCCCCAAAGCTTTGATGGCGGAGGATAAAGGACCGTCATGTCTCCCATCTGTCCCGACGAGTCCCGGCAGAACTTCCACCCATGCTCCGCAATTTCGAGACTGTGAAGGCTTTGAAGTACTGGACATAGCGTTTAGGTCGGGGAGGTGAATATTTATCGAGGGATAGGCAAGCTACTCTGGGTCTTTATTTCTCCCTCGCGACTCAGTTGTTGTTGTTGTTGTTGTTGCTTTATTTAACGCCGTGACGGCAAGGAGGGCGTAGAAAATAGGTAGTTCCATGCATCATTCAGCGTGAGGTAGTGAGATATTGTGGTAGGATAAACTTTTTGATATTCGGAATTCTAAGCCATGGTCTATATTGCAGATCTACATACGATACCCATGACCTGTGATCAGTCTCATCTATCTACTACAAATTTCACTCTCATTCATCCATTCGTTCGTTCATCCATCGTCAAACCCGCTCCGATCTCCCTCAAACAGAATAATCCAACTTCTTCCCTCCCAACACCCCCCAAAACTCCCCCACAAGCTCCTTCTGCCCCCCAGGAGCCCCCCTCACAGCGAGATACACCCTCTCATCAACAGCAGGCTCCCACACCCCGGGATTCCCACCCGCCATGATCCCGCCCGCCTCGGTCAAGATACACCACCCAGCACACACATCCCACGCCCAGCACCCGCCCTCCCAATACGCATCCAGCTGTCCCGCCGCCACAGCCGCAAGATTCAGCGCCGCAGACCCCAGGGCGCGCATACTATGCACCATCGCGCCGCCCGTCTCCTTCGTCGCAGCCAGCTTCTTGAAAGTCTCGACCTTGAGGTCAAAGTTGGGTCCGTCGCGCGTGGATCCCCACTCGCACGCCAACAGCGCGGAATCGAGGCCCTTCAAGGGGATAGGGTTCTTCGCGAGGGGGAGTTTTTGGGTGGGACCGGCGCCGCGGCGCATGTAGCTCCCTTTTCCCTGGATGCCTGTGAAGAGCAGGTCCTGGAAGGGGTTGTAGATTACGCCGACGACGGGGACGTGGTTCACGGCTAGGCCGAGGGAGATGCAGGCGTCGGGGAAGGAGTGGACAAAGTTCGTGGTGCCGTCGATGGGGTCGACGACAAAGGTCGGTTCCGGGCCGAGGCGGGTTCCCTTTGTGTAGGTTTCTTCGCCCATGAAGGCGATGGAGGGGTAGGCTTGGGAGAGGCGGGTGGAAACCATTTTCTCGACGGCTTGGTCTGTTTCGGTTACGATGTCGACGGCTGTTTTTTTTTTTGGAGCAATGAGGGTTAGTTCAGATACGGATGGCTTTGGATGAGAAGGTGGTGAAGGGGTAATGGAGGGGGGAGGTTACGCTTCAATGAATGGGCAAGGGATGAATGGGGTGGTAGGAGAGCGTCGACGAACAGTTGAGCTTGGTGTCCTGGTCGATTGAGGCCGGGTTCGCGGACATGATCATCTTGCCCGCCTCGGTCGCGATCTCGAGGAGGGTGTCGTGGATTTCTTGGAGGTTGAGGTCCGCCATGGTTTTCTGTCGTTGGTGGGTTTCTGGATCCGTACAAGTAGCTACAATCGACTTATGTTTAGTACTTGGACCTTAGGAAGGAATCCAATTGTGAACTGAATCAATTGCAGCTCCTGTAGACGTCTGGTATGCTCAAAGAAACGTATTCGCGAGATGGCGGCTGTCGATCAATGTTTTAGAAAGCTCCAAATCGGAAGGTCTTTTTTTTTTTTTTTTGGGAGGGGCAGAAGATGGGAGGAGGGGAATGGATGGCGGGGTGATTTGGAGGGGGAAGAAAGGAATGAGGTCACAAAAAGCTGGTCCAAGTTCCTTTGTGGGGAAACAGGCGGGCGGATCTCACCCTCTGCCCACTCTGTCCAGGGAACTCACACCATATGTTCTTCAGCTCGGTGCGATTGGAGCGCACATAGTTCCCAGGCAAAGCAAGGTAATCCGTACTAGGTAATTATGCCCTGGCTGGGCGGACAGCCACCGGTATCCCGGCCCACCCCGGCGAGATTCGGGAGGCGTACGGTTACTCCCACCGAGCGGACTTTCTCGGCGGATAATGGAACACGCAGGGCGAGGAGCGCAGTGCTGCCGCGGGCCAATGGCACTTTGTCGACGGAGCATGCGACCGGGGGACTCATATCAGGCGACATCCGATACGAGCTCGGAGCCGTTTTCCTCAGTATCCGTATCTACGGAGTACCTTTATTGAAGATGATTCGTAACGTCGTCACCCAATCAACTGGTGGAGAACCGGTTGACTCTTCACTTCCCCGGGGATAAGCTTCTTGCCCGGACGGTCCGGCGGGATACCGGAAACGGCCTGCTAACTTTTTCTCCCCCAAGTCAGACATGGGCGAGGCTTTTTTTTGGCGGTTCATTCTGTTCATATATTCTACCGCGCCAAAAAGAAAAGAAAAAAAAAAAGAAAAAAAAAAGGGGGAGGGGGGGGGATGAGGCTAGAAACATTGAGAAGCAAAGCAAAAGAGAAGCCTAACGCCTTTGAATTCTCATGAGAAGACCATATCTTGCACATTCCCAATCGTGACATGTCCCGGAGACCCAGTTCCTCCCACTTTCCCGGCCCGCTTTCCGTACCCGTTACGCATTGCCCTCCCGATTAAAAAAGACAAACTGCCCTCTTCATCTGCAACTTCCTTCCTCTGCTTCCTTCACGGCTCTTGTCTAGTTTCTCATCTTTGTGCTTTGCGGTCTCGTAGACGGGAAATTTCACAATCGGTTTTCGAGCCTGCGCTACCGTCTCATACGTTCTCCCGGAAGATTGACCTCCGTTCTGTCGGGCTCTCGCCGCTATCCTTTTGCTGTTGTTGTTGTTGTTGTTGTTGTTGTTGTTGTTGTTGTTGTTGTTGCTGCGGCGCACCCGTGTCGACGATCGGCCTAGGGCTGACGCCGCGCAAGCTAATGTTACTCGGCTCGGCATCATCTTCGAACGGATTCCTGCCGCCGGCCTTGTGGACACCTAGACCGCCGTCATCATCCCGGCTGAGGCTGCGGCCCCGCGCCGGCTCGTCGTGCGGGTTAGGAGTTGCGGCGAGGTTCATGCTGTAGCTGTTGTCATTATTGCTGCCGCCACGGTATCCCAGCTCCTGCTCCTCGTAGTTTCCGTAAGGGCCGTACGTCTCGGCCTCGTGGCCCACACGCGCATCCCATGCCTCATCCGGGTCAAGCGGTCCGAAGCCCCGGCGAGGCGCACCAGCACCGCCGGAGGGCTGCTCGTAGGCTCCGGCGGCAGAGCGATTGTTGCGGTTCTTGAAGGAGGTGATCTTGTCGTTGAACCAGCCGGCGATGCCGCTCGGCGCGGGGCGCGGGGGTCCGTATGAGGGCGGCGGATCGGACTTTCGGAAAGGTATGTAGGAGGAGAGGGATGGGGGTGGAAGCTGTTTGTGCAACGCAGGTTAGTCGCAGGACAGAGCATGATGGGAATAAAATGCTGAGGATGGGGAGCCTTGTAACATACACCTAGTCTCCGGGCGCGCAGTTGGGTGAAGATGACCCAGGCAGCGCCGCCAACGATGGCGAGGACCAGGATGGCGATGACGATACCTCCAGCGGCTGACACCATGGTTGCGATTCAATTGCGACGATGCAAGAAAAGTGCGCTTGACGTTGCGGGGGAAACCGAAGCGTTCCTCAGCAGCAGCAGTACGTCGATTCAGTAACGGCAATGGAGGATCGGGTGGTGTTGGTGGTGGTTGAAAGCGTGCGACGAATGATGGAGGTCCGGCTCATGGAAAGGCTTACGAGTGAGATCGACCGTTGGCAGTGGTTATTGGTGGTGGTGTGTTTCGCTGAGCCGCCTGTTCGTTTGGTCGCCAGAAGCTTTGCTTCTGGGCTGTGTGTGCGACACGGACACGGACGCCCGTTGGGAAACAAAGGTGTAGATCGGGTACTTTGCTGAGTGAGAGCCCGGCCCGGGAGAGGATGGGTAGAAGACGGACGACACAGGGCGAAGAGAGGAGAGCGGGAGTGAGAGAGAGAAAGAGACGGGAGGATGAAAAAGTATCGGTAAGCTTCGTACCAAAAGTATGATGAGATGAGGTGAGGTGAGGTGGATTGAGAGGAAAGCAGACAGACCAGGCCCGTCGAAACCTTGTTTGATGAGGCAGCGCACGCTGTGTGTGGTCCGGTGGACGGTGGTGCAGGTGCGGTGCAGGTGCGGTGCAGGTGCGGTGCAGGTGTTGCGCAAGACCGGGCAGGTGAGGTCAGCAAAGCAGCAGCCCCCAAGCTTTCAGCTGTACAATTACTGCGTATGGACGGGATACCTACACCCAGGTATTCAGGTCCAACAATGGCGAGCTGGAGCTAAGGTAGCCTATTCGGCAGAGCGGCTTGTGTTTCCTTGGTGGAGGATTGAGGCAGGGCAAATGCAAGGCAGCAGCTACTCCCGTACTTCGTACCAAAATGCAACAAAGTTGGCGCAGGAGGATGAAGAAGGTGCACCCAACTTGCTCTTGGTTGCAGCTTGCAATGGAATATCTGCCAATGAAAGCGGCCCTCTCATAGTACCTACGGCCCCCAATTCTCTTTAGCTCCGCGGGCTCCGTCAGCGTCCCGCCCGCACCGCAGTCTCCATTCTTTTTCTTCTCTCTCTCTCCATCTTGAATCTCCAGGACATCCTCCACTCTCTTCGCACATCGAAATGGAAACCCGGTAGCTTGGTGCCTTTTTTGTGGATTACCTAAGGCCATCAGAGCTTGACTGTTGCTGCCCAATCGTGTCTGCCCTGATTTCTCCAACTTTCATGGTTGGCTTAGTTCTGAAGACATGGCAACGCAAGGAGGCACTGCGCGCGGGCTGGGTGCTAGGATGCGTGCGCATTCCACTCAACAAGTGCGACACATTCGCAGGGACTTTTTCAACAAAGACATTTGGGGGCCCCCGAGTCGAAGCTTCATCCGTACAGATATAAACAGCAGCAGCAGCAGCAAGAGACCCAGGTTTACGGACCAGGCGCCGGACGCAGGAGTTTGAAGTGCGCATTCCATTAACCACGAGACCAATGACGTCTCAATGAGGGTGCAGCTGTAAGCTACCAGAAACGAAACCAACTTTGCGGATCAGAGACCCCTGCCTTTTCTTCCTTGCTGACGCCAATTCGAGATCCGAACGTGGCATGTGTGCGACCCGGCGCTATTCATAGCGTAGGCCGTATATGGCCCCCTTGCATTTGGTCGAGACAGGAGACTGTCTCTCGGCCGGGTCCTTATCGCAGATGCCACTAAGGTATGATACCTAATCTCTTCAGGCGGATATCTGGTGTCTGAAATGTTGAGGAGGCAACGTGGATGGATGAAACAAGCAAACAACGTCTTCCAGCTGCGGCTGCATGAGGCCTTCTTACCAGAAATCCCCCCTCGCCTTGCCTTGACTTATGCATCTTCAGTGAAGTACTTCGTACGGATGAAGAGAATGGGACTCTCTAGGGGCCTTACCACCAAATGGCTCGAGCTCACGCACCCAAGAAACGACATCCCGTCGCGCCATCTGCCAGACCTGGACCCTGATGCGTGGCGCGCCCCTGTCAACTGAAACTTTGGTGCCACAACCCTAGCCGGACACTTGACTTGACACTGACACTCGGCATCAGACCAGGACAAATGCTGGGGATCACAGCAAGTTTTACGATCCGGGATGTAGTACGGAGTATATTTCACCTATATCAGCTGTTGGCCAATGAGAGCAGCATACTCTCGCGTATTATACAGCCGCAATTGCCTCTCTGGTCTCAGTCGCGCTCCCGGTCGTAGCCAGGCAAGTATAGTACGTAAGGCCGTAATTGGCGGCAGAGATCCGGCGGCAGAGGCCCGGAGCGGCCGGAGGCGTGAGCCTGACAGATCCACGTTGCTCGGAGGCTAGAGCCGATATAAGTGGATACACCTCCCGGATAGTAGCACTCTATTGTTTACCCACCCGTCATTCATTCCCTAGACGAGCAGAATTAACATGCCCAACTTCTTTAACGCAACCCTTTGTTTGTATACGTCTATCTTAGAATGTTGTGTCAACTCCGCGCTACTTGATAAACAACCAACGTAGTGTTCAATTGGCACTTGTCTTCGTTTGACCTGTAGCCAAGACAGTAATTCTTCGATCATCTCTAAGTAGACATGGAAGGTCCGAACATGTTGACACGAGAACTTTCAAGGCGGATATTCAAGCTCTTTAGAGATGTGATTCACTATGTAATCTTGCGATGCAGCAATGTCTATCTCTTAATGATTCACCCGAGTTGAGGGGGGTGAGAATCAGGCTGTGGCATGCGGCATGCGTTGGACTAACCGCATTAACGACACAGAACCACCTCTACTGCGACAATGTTCTGCATGTTGGTCCGTTTGGACATGATTTCCCTTATTATAAATCTCGGTTGACCAATGAAGACGCTTGCTCCGATCATCTGCTCCTTATCAGAACATGAAATCGACTACAATGATTTCTGGGGGGTTGTGAGAGTAGAGGTCATACAGCCTGATTATGTTGCCCGGGTTTCCGCACTCTTGAATAAGTAGTCTTTAGACGCCTCGGAGCGTCTTCAACAGATCTTTCCCGTTCTGCCTCTATGGTTACTTTTGTTGTATTCGCTGCATGAAGACTGGGCGCAATGTCCTCTTATCTGCCAGTTCCCACGACTGTGGAGTTCCCAGGCGCTGAACTCCGGGACTCTCTGTCCATCAATTCTAGATCCCAGTTGATGAACGATGAAGGCCCTTGGCATTCCAATGCCGCGTCACAACAGTACGAGCTTCGAAATATACCGGCTACGAGGCAAAGCATGCATGTCATAAACAGAAAACCGGTGCCAACCTCTTCGGCGCCGTGGAATTCGCCCAAGCCTGAGCGCGTAAACTTGCGCAACAGCATTTCGGGACATGATGACCATGAGACTACCGGTGTAAACGACATACCAGACACACAAGACCACGGGACCAGAGACGGCTACAGGGACGACAGATCTCGGGGTGCCCAGGCAGACACAGGGCCATTCCTACAAGCCGAGAGACAGACACACCAGGAAGACGCCTTGTCCGAGGATAATTATCATTCTTCCTCCCCGACACATAACAGCCCGGACCGAACCCTTGACGGCCCAAGTCCACAGCAGAAATTCTCCTTCATACACCGTCTCTGGCTATGGGAGGTCGTCGCCTCCGCATTCAGTCTCGCCTGCATGGCGTCCATCATCGGAGTCCTGTCCTACGAGCAAGGACGGCGACTTGACCAGTGGGGTCTGGGCAAGAGATTCTTCTCCCCCACCGTCGTGGTGTCGTTCCTCGGAACTCTGGCAAAGTCGGCCTGTCTTCTTGTCCTCACCGAGATCATATCGCAACTATTTTGGCTACACTTTCAGCACAAACCACAGAAGCTGAGTGACTTGCAACTATTCGACAACGCCTCCCGTGGTCCCTGGGGAGCATTCCAGCTGGCTTCCAGGAGGAACCGAAAGACTGTACTCGCCTCGTTCGCTTCCCTCTTGGTGGTCGTATCCTTGCTGGTGGACCCGTTCATCCAGTCGGTCTTTCGGTTGCCAGTCATTCTCACTCCGGTGAAGGGCGTCAGCCCGGGCATCCTGGAGGCCCGAGTCTATGATCCATCGGCCCTTGATAACAGAAATGGGCAATGTTATGGCGCCGCGAGTGTCGAATCCAAGATGCAAGCAGCAATACTGGCACCCGTATGGAATGCGACTCGAGCTCCGTCGCTGCCTTGCAACTTCGAACCTTGTGACTGGCCAACAGTGACCACACTGGGCGTTTGCAGCAGCTGTGAGGATCTCACAGACACAGTGGTCCCAACGTGCATCGTCAATCCCAAACCGAAAGACTCTTTGAGGATAATTGACTGCAACTACACCGTACCATCTCAGGGCGTTGCCTTTAATGCGGTATTCGGCATCACAGGAGGGGCTGCGGTCCGACGCCCTTACTCGACCATTTGGAACTCACTTTCCGGAGACGAGTGGCAGACTACGCTGGACGATGCGTATTGGTATCAGAATGATCCCACCTTTACACAATCACGACCAGCCGTGATTAGCAACTTTACCTTTGTGAAGTTCCTTCCTAACATCACGGCTTACCAATATGTCAATGCTCAAGATGGCTTGCAGGCAATCCCTCCAGTCTCACAGGCAATGCATTGTACCTTGGAGCTCTGAGCTCGCACGTTTACAACACCATTCTACGCCAACTTCAGTGCGGCGCCGCTGGCCGGGCCTCACACGGCTCTGGTGACTACCACAGATGAATCTGCAGAGGAAGACACCGCTAGTAAATTGATTGGGTTGAAACCGGCCAGCCCAGGCCAACTGTCCGAGGATATCAAGTTTAGGATCAACTACTGCAACTATAAAGACATTGCCAGATACCTCCAAGACCTATTGACAACCTCCATGAGCACCACCGGCGTAGTCGGCACAACCAACGACAGCTCCACAACCGGATTCAACCAACAGCTCCGTCAGCGCGTCACACCGGGACTAGGCCTGGCGTTCAGCCAGTTCGACGACATTGCACATCTCATGGACGAGGTGGCGGACAGCATGACGGAGGCATTCCGAACGTCAACCAACAACACGGTCCTCGGCGGAGTGGCGATGAGCAGCGTAACGTACATCGAGATCATCTGGCCGCGACTGATTCTCCCAATTTCCTTGATTCTCTTGACGTTTGTGATGCTTATAGTCATGATCGTCCGCAACAAGCAGCGCGGGATGCCCATATGGAAGAGCTCCAGTTTGGCGTTGCTCTTCCATGAGCTTTCCGGCTGGGGTGATGCTAAAGCTGCGGTGGCGGGTCCTGAGGAGGTGGAAGAGCGGGCGAAGAGCATGCACTCGAAGGTCACGGAGAGTGGTGGGAAGCTGTTATTTTCCAAGGCAGAGTGAGATTTGGGCAATGGAAACACGGACATGCAAGGTATCTTTGCCCAACATGAACCAAGATCAGGCGACAGCTTTTTTAGTGAGGTTGGAAGGTCTTCTTGTCTGCTAGGCATGAGCTAGGAATGCCTTGGGGGAGCAAATATGCGAACTCTTGGCGATCTCCCACGTCCCGGACCCGGACCCGGACCCGGGCCCGGGCCTGGGCCTGAGTGCGCGGCGCGCCCCTGTCAGCTGAAACTTTGGTGCCACAAACCACCCTCCCTAACCGGACACTTGACTTGACACTGACACTCGGCACATTTTCATCCCAAGCCTTCTTGACAACCCTTCACGATGAAGCTCAGGCAGTAGGCAACAACAATGTCCTGAAAAAATGCGTCCCAGTTAGAATTCTTCCATCATCTACTCCGTACTGTTATGCAGAGTCTACCTCCTCTAGGTACCTTACACTCCTGGGTATTTAACATCACACAAAACACTGGCCCCAAAGCCCTCCGCTCTTGGCGAACCCCATGCTATCCACAAACGCACCGAGCTTGCACCGCCCAAGCCCGTCTGCACCGCACCCGACAAGCGGAACCACCCGGTCATTCACCAGAATCCGCACCATCTCCTCGTCCGAACCACCGCACTTCATCTTCTCCACGTACATACGCGCGGCAAACGGCACCGTCCAGCTGGCCGTGAACCCCTTGGCATCCGCCACCGAAGTCCGGTTCGTCTTGGACAGCGGTGCCGTCTCGTTGTACAGCCCCAGCGTGCCGTAAATCGCCATCATGTCGTTGTCGTGGCTGAAATCGGCGTACAGCTTCTTGTCGAGCGGGAACGTGGCCGGGTCGGCGTCCATCGTCGTGTTGGTCGACGTGTGATCCACAACGGCTTGCCCCGTAAGCCGCGCGAGGAGCTCGTTGGTGAAGCCGACGCCCTGGGTCGGGCCGAGGGGGTTACCCGCGTTGAAGCCGTAGTACTTGCCCAGCGTCTCGTAGTACTCTAGGTCCTTCCACTCCTCTAGCGTGAAAAGGTCGCAGAACGGCGACTGCGTGCCGTTGACGACCGTGTTGAAGGGGCACAGCTGCATAAAGGCGATGGTATCCTCGGCCGTGAGGTTCGCGCCGGGCAGGTTCTCGTTGAGGCGCGCCGTGATCGCCGGCGTGAAGGCCTCGCGCCAGGGCACCTGCGCCTCGTCGCCGACCTTGGAGAAGGCGCCGTCCTCAAAGGCGGTGCAGAGGCTGTGGTCCAGGGTGTTGTTGATGCCCTTCTCCTCGGGGATGATGGTGATGAGGCTGACGAGGCCGCCGTCGGGCCCGCTGTGGCCGTCGGCGAGCTTGGCGCCGAAGAAGCCCTCTGTCCAGTTCAGCCCGGACTCGACGACGCGGTTCTGGCCAGAGGAGCGGATAAAGATGTCGTTGGCGGCCGCGAGCGGCTGGTAGCGCTTGTAGAAGGCCTCGCCCGAGTCGACGAGCTCGCGCTGGCCAAAGGGGGTGAGTTCGTCGGCGCCGAGAGTGTACTGGTACGTCTTGATGAACTCGAAGCCCTTGCCGTAGTTTGTGACGTTGGCGTGGATGCGGTCGACGAGCGCCTTGTAGGTGGCCGTCTTGCCGGCGGTGGGGTCCCGGGCGCCGTGCCGGGAGAGGACCTGCGCAAAGGTGACCTCGCAGCCCTGAGGGGTGGCGACGTCGATGTCGGACGGCACGGGGAAGAAGGGCGAGTACTGGCCCCAGAACTGTGAGATGGACTCGAGCCCGTTGCGCGGTGCCTGGCCGCTGACGAGACTGTTTGCAGTGTCAGTTTCAAAAAGTCTGTAGTTTGGGATGGTTTCACGCAGTCAACGTGACATGGCAACTCACCTGAAGCCCAAGGCTAATGAGAGGAAAATAGCAAAAGCCATGGCGGCGATTGTGAGGAAGCAAAGTCGACGTTTTGGGTCTGGCGCGTGGCTCTCACGATACTCATCGACTTCATCCCTTTCACCCTCCTCGTCAGGGATGGCGTTGTATTTATATGCCTTGCCCGTCAGCAGGCCCCTCACGGACTCGTAGGCCGACGTAGCGACGTCGGCGAGTCGACCCATCGCGGCAGTTGGATGGCGGGAGACAGGATAACCTAGCCTAGCCTGACAGGAGGCAGAAAGAGTGAGTGAGGGAATCCGAGGTCCGCCAAGTGGTTCCGCGGGTCAATGAGTGAGCTTGCGTGCTTGCGTATGTAACGGCGAAAAAGGGTCCGCCCGCTGCAGCACCACCCTTGTTCCTCCACCCTCCTTCCCAGGTTCCAGGGGTCTGGTCTGGGTTCGTGGTATGGGGATGTTATGTCGATGTGAGGTATCTGCAAGGTACGGGTAAATGAGGAGCGTTCGAAAAGGGATGTGCGTTCGTCTCGTTTGGCCTGGGTTCAAAGTCCCGTTGTGTGTATCCGTAAGTTGGAAACAACGGCAAATGTGTGCTCCTGGGTTTTCAGGGGAAATGGTCCGTGAGAAGAACCCTTGGTATATCAGACCTCGTCTTTATGTCTGCGATATGTCTGCGAATGCAGTACGGAGTAATACAGCTAGCTGGCTGGGCGTTTCTCCTTTGCCCACGTTGTATGCGTAAAACGTGAGGAATAAGGTACGGGATTGGGTTTGCTTGCTGGCTTAAGCGAAGAAAGGACGTTTCAACGTTGCCCAGTCGGGGCCACGGCTTGTTCCTCTCGGGTGCGGCATGTCGGGCGGACATTAGCCCCAAACGTGGAGCGGACCACACCGGTGCCACTGCCCCCTCTTGGCTTCCTTTCAGGACCTTAGCGCAGTCACGTGGGTCGTTGCGACGTTGGAATTGGAACAAGCTTCCATAAGCTTTTGTTGATCTCCTCCTTCTCTCCCCTGCCGCCTCCACCCCCAAAATACCGCATATACCTAGCAATGACGGATCCTCTTTCTCACATACAGGTTGTCTTACTCGCCGCATCTTATCGGTAGGGAAGAGAGGGGCCACCCCGAGCTGGAGGGGCCGAAGAGGTGGGGTGAATGGTGGTTGAAATGAATAAAACGTGTTTTGTATTGACTCGGTGTTGCGACCTTCCAGGTCAGCTTATACCCAGTAAGGTTAACTCGCAGCTAATCAGGGACTGAGTCTCGGAGTCATGAAAACACGAGACACAAATTCGCCGGCAGCTTCGGTCTGAATCCATTGATTGATAGTCTGATATCCCTTGGTGACATTTCCGGTTCCGGGGCAGAAGCACAATCCATATCCGTACAGCTCGGGACGGAAGGCCATTCATAACCCACACACCGATACTGGACCATTTTTGCTTCTCTGACCACGTGGGGTCTGAAAGCTAGGATGATTCGTGCAAGACCCGTTTGCTTCCACTGCCCGAGGTCGGGGGTTTGGTCAAAGTAGCCATGCAGCTTATCCCAACTTCGACATGTTTCAACCGACCTCTCAAGAAACGAGAACGAGCTCGTTGATCGACACCAGGTACATACACGGAGTGGTCCAACGTCGATGGCGGATCTGCCCGCCTGACACGGTGACAATCAATCATCCTTACTCATACACTGCACCAATGCTACAACAAGATGCAGCTCATCAGACCGGGACAGGGCCCACGACGTCGTCTCATGAGCGCCTTCCTCATTTGCTCAAACGTCTTGACAGTGCGTGCTGGCTGGCTAGGATATTGACCTCATCTTGCAGGCCTGAGTCGCCTGACATGAATTCATCTGGCAAACCCCGCGACACTGGACCTTGAGTACATGTTGATCACGAAAGTTACGGGACAGCAGGAGAGACAAGCCGAGATACTGTGACTGTGATGGTAGCCTACACCAGGACTATCTGCAGCTCTACCCCAGCAGCGAGTTATTCAACATGAAGATGAGCCTTGCGCAAACAGAACGGACCCAGCTTCAACCCCACTCCCAAGCAATCCTTGTGGCCCATCTCGCATTCAAGTGCGGAGAACCTTTCTTCCCTGCTCGAAGAGCATGATGTCGTTCTTCAGGATCTCACGTGCAGACTTGCTCAGGGTATCTTCGCCCGCCACCATCTCCAACTGCTCAGCCTTCATCTGGAAGATGCGGTTCGGCGACAAAACATTGAGAGGGCTATCCTCCGCGCCGAGAAGGAAGTAATCTACGACGTGGGCACAGATCATGTCTGAGAAGCGAGCGCTGGCAACCTTGTAGTAACTCTGCAGAACATCATGGATGATGCAGCTGGTCGCGCTCGTCCCTTTCTCGTGAGTTACTTCCTCTTTCAAGTCGCTGTACCGGACAAACTCAGCCGGTCCAGAAGTGTGGTTCAGAGAAATCTTGAGCTTGTCGAATTTCTTGGCAGACCTCTTGGCCTTGACCTTGTTCAGGTCTCCGTCAAAAGCTGGGTTGTAAGTAATAGAGCGACCCTCTCTCTCGACGCGGATCAGCAGCTTCGCCTGGTTCATCGCCTTCTGATATCTGCTTACGAGGTCCTCTAGAATCGAAGACCAAAGCGCCTCAAGTACTTGTTCATCACTGCAAGACTCTTTGACCACGCCGTAGATGAAGTGATGAACGACAAGGATAGCGTTGCTGACATGGGCCAAGGTGATTGCCTCCCACTTCTTGGATTGCTCCCTGAAAGCCGTGGGCAGCATGTGGCTACTAAACTACAATTCTGTCAATTCACAACGCACATCAGCAAGGGGTATACACCCAGAGAGCACTCACAGTGCCCATCTCAAAGCCGCGGGACATAAGATGCAGCTGCTCAAGGTGCTTCATGATGCTGTCATTCCGAGGCGCAGGGCACCTGCACGACTCCGACAGAACTGCATCAAGCTCGCCATACTCATCAGATGGCACTGAGAATGCGATTTTGTAGAGATCATCTCTCGTGACATCCTCATCCTCGTCGCTGTCGTCCTCGGAAGAGCGAGTAGCCTGAGCCTTGTCGCCGCCCTCTTCGCCGCCCTGTTCAGGGTCGTCCGATTCAGGGTCGTCCGTCTTGGCCAACTTCTTCTCAACAAGATCATCGAAATTGCGGGTGTGGGCGCTCTTGAAAAACATCGACGTGAAAGCTGTGTTCATTTCGCGAATGCGGGTAGCAAGGCGGAGCTCTGGGCGCTTGTCAAAGATAGGATCGCCCGTGTAATAAGCATCCAGACCAAAGTTCTTCAAGTCGCTGAATCGACTCACAATCTTGCCGAAGTAGGCTCGCTGCTCATCAGCGGTGCTTCGGGGCTGCCCGAGAGCCTCGAGCTTAGCTTTTGCCTCGACAAGACGCTCATTAATCTCGCGCCGGACTTTGGGAAACTCGCTCTTGGTTCGGTCCATGAGAAGTTCACGCAAGCGGATGCGCAACGCTGGAATTCCCAAGCGAGACTTGTCGAGTCGAGACCAAGGCTCTTCGCCAAAGAAGCTCTTCTCCTCAGCATCGCGGGCCTCTTTGCTGGAGGAAGAGTCGTCGGCGCCGCGATTCTTGACAACGTAGTATCCCAGCTGGATGTCTCGTCTCTTACCTCGGACGAGATCCATCGCTGCCTCGCGGGTGGCGTTCTCGCTGACGAGATCCGGCTTTGTTAGGACACCCAGAGTGCGCTTGCCCTCGGGATCAGCTTCAGCAGCGTAGGTCAGAATGGTCTGGGTTGCGACATCCACGTTGCAAGGGATGACTGCGAGGATGCTAGGTAGCTGCGTGTTAGCAGTCGCACATACCTAAGGAGAGGGGGGGGGGGGGGGTGGGCTCACATGGTTCTGGAATCCTTGATGTAATCTTTTACCATGGACTTGACCAAGGCAACGTCTCTGGCTGTCGAAACGCCTGGGATTGAGGTTAGAGGAGAAAAAGGCGAGAGACATCATGGGAACATTCTCATACCATCTTGAGCGTTCTCGAAAATGCCTTGGGATTCATGTTAGCTGCAAGCGCCAGGAGCAGTGGGGTTTGGTCTTACCAGGAACGTCGATGATTGTCAAGTGCTCCTCGTTGGGGCCGCAAATCTCAACGCGAAGAACATCCTTGCTGAAGGCAGCACCTTCGGAGTTCTCATTGCTCTTCAAGCCCATCACTCTGGCAGCCTATGGCGACGATTAGCCAACACTAGCTACGACATGAAGCTGGCAGTGCTGAAAGATGACACAGAAAGTCTGTAGAATGGATCCAAGATGAAGCAAAGAGGAAATTATGGAACCAACAAGCAACTTGCCTCCCGAAGAACATCCGCAAACGCCTGTCCCTTGAGTTCCTTCAGCTCACGTCGGAACGACCTGGCAAGCTCGGCCCTTTCCGAGATGGCATCGGCAGGCTGAATGGTAACGACGATGCCGGGTGTGTGTTCTCGACGACAGACAATCTCCGTGGCGTGACGAGTGCAGAGACCGACAGACCGGGGGAAGTAGTATCCAGTGAGACTCTCGAGAACGCTTGACTTTCCAGAGGACTGGTCTCCTACGACGACGAGCTGTTTGTATGCAGCTTGGGTCAGCATGAAGCGCCGTCAAAAGAATGAGGTGAGGTACCTGAGGGAGAGCAATCTGCCTGGAGATTCCGAGTTCTCTCAACTTGTCGATCTTGTCCAAGAGGTTTCGGTTTCCCAAGCCAGTGGCCTGCGTTTTGGATTGGACAGGGGCCATGATGTCGGAGGTGAAAGACGATGGCGGCCAACGATTATGTCAGAAGTCTTTCCGTGTATCCTGAGAACGGAGACTTTGTATGAGAAGGAGAGAAGGAGAGGAAGTTTCCTGGGACCTTGGAAGGGTTTTGTAAAAAGTACTCTTCCGTGTTTGCCTGCTGCCAATGTCGCCCAAGGCCTTCCACAACTTGCTTTGCGGGAGAGCATTACCCATGGCATCGCTCAACTGGGTGGGAACAAACGCAGAGGTCAAAAGCTAGATAAAAGACAGTCTATGCCAGTATGGAACCCTTGACAACTTATACACCACGGCTGTCTGCTCGGCTCGCCTAAGGGGAAGCCGAGATGGCTGCCTTGAGAAGTAATATGCACGGTCAACATGGCGGGCGGTGGACAAGTCCAACTACAAACGCTTTCCGTCAACATGAGTGAGGATTCATTGATGCTGAAGCTCAAAGGCATGTGGTTTGCTTAGCCTAGTCATTGATTGACTTTCTGACATCTAGGAATCAGAATGATTGAACAAAGTTACCATTCAAGCTAAAGGCTGCTCTGAGTGCCTCAGCACATGTTAAGGAGGCCGTTCGATTCCAATGAAGAGCGTTCTAGCTCTCGGATCAATGAGTGACTCTCTTCAAGAAAGGACAAGCACTTTCCAGTGTAGAAGTCTCTGCGTAAAGCAGCACCGTTACTGCCCTCCAATTACCGATGCTTACAGCTTCCATACCCATTTCCGTCCCCCTTGAGCCCGGTCTGCCGTGGCCTCTAGTCTCATCCAAGCCACAAATATGGCTGCTGCAGCCATGAGAGTACCTACCATGATACCCATTCCCATGTAGTCACCCGACTCCTTGATCTCTCCGTGCCCTCTGACCAGGGCACCAGCCACAGGTGTCCCAATCATGGAAGCCACACCCATGATCATGTACATGATCCCAGTAATCTGCGGCATCAATTCCATGCCGAACAGCTCAACCAGAGCCGGTGGAAACAAGCTGACGTATGCGCTCGCGAAAATGCCATATAGGACTGTGAAGCTGACGGGTAGCGACCTTGCTACGGACTCATGGCTCATCCCGATCGCTATGCTAGGAACCCATAACCCGAGAGTGACGGCGGCACAAATCACAGTCGTGAGAAACAGGGCGTTGAGCCTTCCGATGCGGTCTGCCACGAGCCCAATGGCAATCTTCCCGACAGCGTTGCAGGCGTTGTTGACGGCAGTCAGATTGGCACCGTCGCTGTCCGATATCCCAAGGTCTTGGCGTACGACGCAAAGAAGAACGCCGGTGTGTAATATGCGGCGCTCTGGCAGAACATGCTGAAACTTTGCGCAATGAACTTGCGTTGCTTGACAGTCTTCCATGGTGGCAGAGGAACCTTGAACATCTTCAATCTAGATGTCGTCGTGTTCTCGCTCCGTATGCGGGCCGCCATTGCAGGTTCCCAGGTGAGCACAGCTCCACAGACACAAACGACCACAGCACCGAGAGTGCCAGTCATACGAAGGGTATCCCGGTACCCCAGCTTCTCGATGCACGCCACGAGCACAGGAGCCCAGACCAGACCGCCAACACCGCTGCCGGCAGAGACGATGCCCATGGCCAGCGCCCTGTGCTTATCGAACCAAGCCGGCACGACGACCATTGACGGAACGAATGAGAGGCAAGATCCCACTCCCATCAAGAACCCCTGCGTAATCTGTTAATGCCACAGCTCCCGACCGAAACTTGCCAGGACGTTGGCCACTCCGACTAGCAGACCGCCTGCGCACATGACTTTCTGGGGGCCAATGGTTTTTGACCATGCCACAACTACAGGTGCGCATATAGTCAGCATTGAGATCGCGAGGGTTCCGATGAGGTCGAGCCGGGCGGCCGTGGCACCGGTGAATGGGGTGTCGTCTTCTAATGCCATCGTCTCGTAGTGCGCCTGGTAGATGCCGAAGCCGAATTGCAAGCCACCCGTCATGAAACTAATCATGAAGGCAGCAAGGACTACAATGATGTAACGGCTGGGTGAGGTCAGCCTCTGTCTTTGGATCAAGCTGGGGTTGGGGTGGTGATCGCTCCAGGAACTAGCGACCTTTAGCCTACCCCTTGCCATGGTCATGTTCTGTGACATTTCGTTCCGAAGACCCAGCTTCCAAACGGCTGTCTGATATTGACTTGCTGTTATTTGATGTCATTTCTGCTTAAAGAAGGAAGGAAGAATTTTGGCGGGGCCCAAGTCGGCACTTCGGGAGGATCAGGAAATCAGACCAACTAGAGGCTCTCAGACGGTTATCGCAACTAAACATCAAGAGCGAATTAACAGCGACCATGAAATATGTGACCAAGAATTACCGTCGAAGCCAAGAAGAAGAAAAAACTCGAGTGCTTGAAATACTTTGACATACACCCTTCGCTGATCTGACGTGTTCTACATCAAAAACGGATTGAGAAATTGAGACATCGCAAAGTCCCACAACTCTTCGCTTCTATTCACCAAGTGAGTCATGGTGCCCCGGCAAAGGCTTCGGCAGCTACGCTATAAGCAATTTCACTAATGTATCGCTGAATACTTTGGGCAAAGTTCTTTTTTAGCGAGCAGACTGACTTGTCAACTTGGTACGTAATAGGGAGTTGGTTGCTCTCAAGTTTCCAACTGAAGCTTTTGCTTGCGCATTTTTCCACTGCAACGTAGATGTCAGACCTGGACATTGCATATTCGAGTCATGCATTCAACCCATGCTCGATTCCCTATTGCAATAAGGGATATAGGCATTATGGCCTTGAAACCTTGTTCTGTTTCTTGTTTGAAGTTAAAACAACGTCAACAACAACAACACCTCACTCGCTTAAGTAGGAATATACCAATATGCACATTACTGCTGGCTGCCAAACTGTCGCCTGACAGTAGATCTCTCTAGTGGAGCTACTAAGCCGCATAACCGCCGTGAACCACATACAACAGAACCTCAAGTTCTAGCATCGACCATGAGAAAGAAAGAGAGGCCAATGCTTCTTTATCGCGGCCTAATATCAGAGATATAGATCAGGTTGAAGGACCACCATGGATACAGAGGCGTAGACATTTCTTCAAAAGCGAAATTCTAAATCGCGATAAAAGCTTGCTAGTATTATGCCTTCTTTAGAGTTATGTTCATTTAGCCATCCAGGCTGTATTCTTATCTTAAAGTAACCAGCGTTTTGAATTACTTAACATCATCATTGGTATTTAAATTATAGTATTTTGGCATTAATTCTACTGAAGCAAACACTGAACAATGGCATGTGTAAAGAACTAAAATCAGGTCAGTTATTGTACCAGTTTTTCTTTTCGCCAATAATCACGCAATCCAGATTATCTTGGGTTTATACAACTCAGGACACATATCATTAATGCAAAGCTAGCTCAAATTATGTGTGAATGTAATAGTTCCTCACGATTTGCGCCGACTTGAGGATCAAGGAGGCGAAAGTTGTATTTGCATTTAATGTAGTTATATAGGATTGTCACAACTTCCCTCTCGCCTAATTTTTCTTCGCATCTACTGTTAGTGTAATACGTGGGCTACCACTAAAGTCCTTAACAGCTGAAAACCCTTCACCTCTCGCCTCCAGCGCCCTACCGCGATGGCTTCACAGCCTCCGCCGGGCCCTGGATCGCCGCCGGCTCCCTCGGCCGGCCCTGATCGAGGCTCCGGAACCCCTCCGGAGCCGTCCCCAACCTCAAGGGCTAAACGCCGCCGCGGTACCGAGGCCCAGCCATCCCAGCCCAGCCTCGTGGGAAGCCAGCCTGACGCCTCTATAACAACCCCCTTACCGGCTAAGGGGCCCTCAACTATGAATGGGACAGCTACTGGAGCTGTCCTTATAGCCCTTACTGAAGAGGCTAAGTACTATGAATCCCGAAAAGACGTCTTTATGGCTATCGCCCAGTCTGTGGATAACGTGGTCTCTTGCTTTGAGGGGCCTAGGAAGCAGATCGCAAAAGACGCTACAACCTATGTAATTCAAGCCTTAAAGAGGATTATGAGGAACGACACGGCAGCTCCGGCCCCGAACCGGAACTGGGCTAACGTGGTGGCCTCGGCTGCAACTGTAGCTACGGCCCCAGCCCCGGCCACGGCCCGCAACCGAAACCCAACCCAGCCCCAGGCTCAGACTCAGACTCTATCCCAGCCAAATGAGGACCTCCGGGTCTTTGCCCGCGTCCCCGAAGAAGGCCTAACGGCTGCTAGGAAGCACGCCCCTTTTTCCCTTCGTCGGAAGGTCTGCCAGGCCCTTAGCCTCCAACTAGCAGATATCCCACATATCTACCACATCGCAACTGGCTACTCACTGAGACCCCTGAATAAGCAGGTCCAGCAAGCCCTCCTCATGAACAAAGAGAAGCTGACAGGCAGTCTTGGAGCCTATAAGGTTGAGACCCCTACTAAGTGGTATACTTACGTCGTCCCACGCTGCCCTGCCAAGCTGTGGACTATCGAAGGGGATGCCCTCGACCCAGCCACTCTGGTTGAAGAGGAGGTCTTTGCACAGACTGTATATAAGCCTATCCGGGCCCGACAATCCCAACTTGGTACAAACCCTATTACAAACGAAGTCTCTTGGATTATCTCTTTCTCTACAGAAGTACTACCCTTCAGACCCTGCACAGCTAGACCGAAGTGCGCTAACTGCGCCGGCCCCTTCCAAGCCAACCATAAGGACTGTCCAGCAAGGCCCCTAGTAGTTAACGGCTCCCCCACCCTCCCAGGCCGGAAGGAACTCTCCCGGATCCGTAAGGCTGGGCAGAAGGCCTATGAGGCCCGCTATCAGAGCAGTCAGGCTGGCACTCAAGCCAACAGCACCCAGCAGCCTTATAGCAGCCCAGAAAGCCACCAGCCTGGTTCGAAACGCCCACGCGCCCCTACACCTACCCAGGACTCAATTATTGTGGCGGACGTTAGCGACGCAGCAAGCTCTAGTGGTATGGATGAGGGCGAGAGCGAGGCTGAGGCAGAGGGGCGGCAGTCCCCTGATCACCCTACCCTCCCTCCCCTATCTACCCACCGCATCATAGCTACCCCAAGCAGTAGGCCCCAGCGGGTTGTACAGAAGCCTGATTACAACGTTATTAATGCCTACACCCACCTCGACCTCGACTCAGAGCAGTAGGCTCAGAACAGCTGCCCCACGGGTACTTCGAGTCGCCCAGTGTAACGTGGGGAAGAGAAGCCCAGCTCATACAGCTCTCCTAGAGCTCTGCTGGGCGGATCAGATCGATATAGTACTGATCCAGGAACCCTGGATAGGCTATAGAGATAAGATGCAAATCAACACACACCCAGGCTATAACTCTTATGTGCCAGTTGATTTCTGGAATAGCAGAGACACAAGGCCTAGGGTCATGACCTATATACATAAGGGTCTAAGGCTACAAATACAACAACAAAGACCTACCCAATCAAGAGATATCCTATGGGTAAAGGTGAGCAACTTCACCATTACAAACATCTATAGGCCGCCGGGCGAGCCTAAAAACCATACAACAAGTACCCTCTTAGGCTATCAACCGCCAGCAGGAGCCCTTATAGCTGGGGACTTTAATGCTTACGATCCCTACTGGGAACCCGGCGCCCGTAGCCGGAACCGGGGAGACGATATTGCAGAATGGGCCGAAGGCCACAACCTGGAGTTTATTGGGGAAGCTGGGGCTCCAACCCATACTCATGGGCACACCCTCGATCTAACCTTTTCAAATATCCCCTTTACAGAGGCCTATATCAGCCCGCACCTACACCCAGGGGCAGACCACCAGGCCATTACAACAATTATTCCTCTAGGCAAAGTCCAGGAACAGAGACGCCAGATTAGCCACCTCTCAGTCCCAGACACAGCCTTACCTCGACTTGCCGACTTAGTAAAGGTAGGAGTCTCAGCCCTACCTACCTTGAGGGAGAAACCTACTCTAGCAGAAATAGACTCCCTAGCTACCCAACTAGTCAGCCTTCTCTCTACAGCTATCCAGGCGGTAGGGAAGAGACGAACTAACCAGGGTAGGGGAGCCCCCTGGTGGACAGAGGAGTGCTCAGAAGCCCACCAAGCTACTATTGAAGCCAGGCGCCAACAAGCCCAAGAGCCTAGGCTAACTATACCGCCGCCTATCCTAGAGGAGCAGAAGGCCTTTCTGGCTATAGTCAGGAAGGCAAAACGTGCCTACTGGGCTGCTAGGATTGAGGAGGCTGGGTCTAACCAGGGCCTTTATCAAGTACTAAGCTGGCGCAAGTCCAGCTTAGCTATCAAAGCCCCACCTCTAGTAGTAGACGGACAGGCAGTTGATAACAGCTATGACAAAGCACAAGCCCTACGGAAGGCATTACTAGAGAGATTCGACGCTGCAGACGACCTACCTGGGAACCCTTTTACTGTTCCTGTAGTGGCAAGGCGTCTAATACCCTGGCAGCAGGCAGTCAGCATAGAAGAAGTACGCCAGGCGACTCTCACAAAGGCCACAACCCCTGGGACTGATGGGATTACTACAAAGGTACTACAATGTACCTGGGGCTTGATAGCTGTACCTATACAGCAGCTCTTTCAGGCCTGCGTTCAAACGGGCTACTTCCCTAGGACCTTCCGAAAAGCAGAGGTTGTTATGATCCAGAAGCCGGGGAAAACAGATTTCTCAAAGACTGGATCCTGGCGCCCAATCTCCCTTCTATCCTGCTTAGGTAAAGGTCTAGAGCGGCTGATAGCAAAGAGGATGGCATACCTCACTATCTTAGAAGGAGTTGCTAGCCCACAGCAGATTGGGGCACTTCCAGGAAGGGCTGCAGTCGACCTGACAACCTGTCTAACCCATGAGATAGAAAAGGCTCTAGACTCAGGGCTCACTGCGACTCTAGCAACAATGGACGTCAAGGGGGCATTCCATTCCGTTCTACGAAATCGACTTCTTATTAGGATACGACAGCAGGGCTGGCCTGATCAGGCTGATCTTTACCTTCACCTCCAGCCGAACTGCTCGAGTCAGGCTAGAAGATACTACTACAGAGGACTTCCCCCTATCCTGTGGGCTACCACAAGGCTCTCCGCTATCACCTATTCTCTTTCTGCTCTATATAGCAGATATCCTAGCCGACGACCAGAAACTACGGTTTGGTTACGCAGACGATATAGCCCTGCTGGCCTCCAGCCCATCTCTAAAAGATAATGCTGTAGCCCTTGGCCAGGAGATTACTCAGATCCTCAACTGGGGCACTGATAATAAGGTTGCGTTTGACCCAGACAAATGCGAGGCAATCCATTTTAGCAGGAAACATAACCAGGAAAAAGACGTACCAGACATACAAGCAAGAGACCTAACTATTAAGGCTTCAACTAAGCCTATACGATGGTTAGGGGTCTGGTTTGATAAGAAACTCACCTTCCGACACCACGTTGAAGTAAAGGCAGCAGCAGCAAAAAAGGTGGCCAAGTTCCTACAGCACCTATAAGTTCCTACAGCACCTATCAAACACAAAAGGGGGGCTCCCAGCTGCTGCGGCACGTCAAGCTGTTATTGCCTGTGTCCTCCCAACAGCCCTATATGGAGCTGAGACCTGGTATGCAGGCTTAAATAGATCAGCCTGGAACAGCAGCACCACTACTGATAGCAGCAGGGCCACTAACCAGGCAGCTACTGTCAGTACGGGGCAGAAGGGCCTAGCCAGGAGAGTGGGAAAAGTTATAACAGCAGCAGCGAGGGCTATCCTACCTGTCTGGAGGACCACACCAACCAGCAGCCTCATCCGAGACGCTGGCCTGCCTACAGCAACAGTAGCCCTCGAAGGGGCACGCCTACGTTTCGCTACACGCCTACAGAGGGTTGACCAACAACACCCCCTAGTCTTAAGGCTCCCCCCGCAAGGGCAGCGGCAAACAAGGCTGCAAAGAACAGCAGCCCTCTTACCTAAGTGCCCAAGGCCTTTACTCCTACAGCCACAGTACCACCCAGGTCCACGGGATCCTACAGCTGGACAAAGTAAAGAGAAGGCAGCAAAAGCGTTCCAGGCCTGGCTTAAGACCGTGCCAGGTAGTCACACGATCATCTACTCAGACGGCTCTAAAGCCCCTAATAGGGCCACGGGATTCGGCTTTGTTATCTACCGTAACAATAAACGCATAGCTCAAGGCTGCGGCCGCCTCAGTCTTGCGGAAGTGTTCGATGGCGAGGCGGAGGGGGCGAGGGCAGGGCTCCGACGAGCTCTCCTTACCTCCCAAGGCCAGCCTATACATATCTGTATTGATAACACTAGTGTCATCCAGGGGATACGCGGCGATATCCCAGACTCCTCACAAGCTGCCTTCCTAGAGATCCAGGCAGCAGCCAGGATATATAACATACAAACCCACTGGTCCCCAGGGCACCAAGGGATAAAGGGGAACGAAGAGGCAGACAGCCTAGCTAAGGAGGGTACAACACTGCCAGTCCCTAGAGGCCTACTAGCTACGCTTTCAGGGATCAAACGACTTGCTCAAGTGCGCAAACAGCACCAATATAGGAAATGGTGGAGACAAGAGGCAACCCCCCGCTATACCCAACTAGGGCTCAAGGCCACCCTTGCTTGCCCTCCTGAACTTGGCCTCCCTAGGGCGGCCCTTCATCACCTCCTCGCGGCGCGGTCAGGCCACGGGGACTTTGAACAGTATCACCAGCGCTTTAACCATACAGAAGCACTGCTAACCTGCTCCTGTGGAGAGGTTAAGGAGACAGACCATCTAGTCTACTGCCGAAAGACCCTACTGAGGAGGCAACAGTGGCCCACCCTCTACCCCTACAGCCGCCAGGAGCCCGTAGGACCTATAGGGTCCCTCGATCGCTACTTCAAGGGGCTAATCACTGACTCTGAAGGCTTTCAGGCCTTCCTCTGCGTGACAGACTTCTTCCAGAAGATCTGCCCGCGGTACTAGGAGATAGGCCATAACCTATCCTCCAAACGACAAACTACCTCTATTAGGAAACCAGATGGTTATAACGGACCTAGGGCACCAGTGGGAACTAGGGATGGATAGAACACATAGTAGCTCACGAGCAAGACTTGGAGGACGCCAGGATACGGCGTGTACTGTATAGTATATAGCTGGAGCCTACGACCCTCCACGCCACATACCCTTCGGGAGGTCTGCCGCAAGGGCGACTGCGCCTTTGCCGCCATAGCGTTAAATATAAAACAAGATAAACAAACAATATAGGATTGTCAAGACATGTCGCCTACTTGGTATAACAACATTCTTCGCTTCACAAGCTGTCTAAAGAATATACAAACAGAGGGTCTACACTCATCAACTAAGGAAGGCTTGTTGTTCGGGAAACATTGGCCAGAAGCAGACTAGGAATATTCCCATTCCCAACTCCAAGTCGTTTTGGTGCTTTGAAAGAGCTGAGACATAGTAGTGGCTAAAAACACTACTGGCAGCCAGGGCAGATGGCCTCGACGTACTCGAGGTACTCCTTGGCATAGTCCACGTTGCTCTTGGCAGCAGAGCAAGCCCGCTTCTCGATTTGGAAGAGGTCTCTAGCGGAACGTCTGCGCTTGCAAGAAGAGAACTGCGACCAAGGGGCTTCACTCCAGGCGGGGTGGTTGGGAGGGAAGGCGGCGAGCTTGTACTGCGATCCGCCGGTGCCCATGTTGCTGTAAATGTTGCCCTCGTAAAAGGGGTTCAGCTGCTCCTTGCCCTTGACGCCGCCGCTGATGGGGGTCCAGCCGATGATCTGGTTTTCCTTGATGCCGCCAAGGGCGGCGAACTCTTCCTCGTCCGGGAACGGGTTGTACTTTTTGAGGGTGCCCTGGCAGTCAATCATGTTGGGGGCTGAGTGGATGCGGTAGACGAAGCCGTTACCGCTCAGGTAGCGGTTGACCCAGGTCTCGGCCAGGTCGCGGTCCGAGGTCGTGGAGACGTAGCCGTCATCGTCCTTGCTGAAGCCTGTGCTGGCTCCGTTGACGTGGTTCCACAGGCTGGTGTCTGGCGCGGCAACGCCAAAGTTGGATTGGCCCTTGGGCAAAAAGCCCTTGCTGGCCTGGATGGTAGCGTAGGGTCTCGAATCTGCGCGATAGAGATCGAGACCATTGCAGAGGAAGGCCCAGAAAACAATGAGCGTGAGCCCAAGCACGAGGGGTTGCTGTCTAGCCATTGTTGGATGATAAAGAGAGACTGTTCAAAAGAATGTGAAAGGTTTGTCAAATGATTGTGTAGTAAGAAAGTGTAAGATCTGAAGCCTTGTTGTGTGTTGAGTCCATTTTGAGAAATACTGCGGATTTTGACTGGGTTATATCATGATTCTTGATCTTTTGAGCAGGGAGTTCTTTTGGAAGAACACCGTAGACACAGTCCGTGGATTCCGATCTTTCCGCAAAGCATTCAATCACGTTCTACTCTGCGTGACACTTACATGATGACTTCAACTTTCGATAGTCATGTCGAGGCGAGTCTAGTACGGATTTAGGCGCATGAAAAAAACAAATAGATTGATTGTATTCAAAGAAGTTGCGGTTCTTACAAGCTTTCGTATCCATACGAATATCCTTACCATTTTGCCAAGACTAGACTAGTTGGTCGTTCGTTAATACTTTGAACTCGAAGACAATGGAATCCGAAACCGACGGAGCTGGGTAAGGTCTTCGACGGAGTCGGAGTAATTTGTAAACCGTCATTGTAAAGGCCGACAAAATTGGAGAACAAAGTAACTCGACTGCGATGGCTAGACTCTAGTTGAGAGAGAAAAGCATCAATAAAGAACAAATTCCTTCTAGACCAGGACCTCCCAGAGCTGTGACAGGCTAACCTTGACTAATTGGCCATCATTTTCTGTTCGTGGTATATTGCCAAGACCCCGCTATTTCATCTGATATTGCATAGCCCTCCGACGAAGCCCGGACGGCCGGGACAAGAGACTCAAGAGCAAATAAAGTTTAAGGCTACGCGTGTCTGTCCATCCCAGATGGAGTCTTAAAATACCCAACCAATAATCAAGACTCTCCTTGAGCCTCTAAGGTTGGGATCGTTGTTTTACAAAGACGCTGTATGCATCGAGCCGAACAGCGGACAAAAATTGGGACTGGTAGATACTTATCCATCTATCTGTATAATATCCCCATTTCAAATAGACCCAAACTTACTAGTCACGACATCGACTTATCAGGCAACTCCATTGCACATCCCCAATCTCTTCAAACCCACCAACTTCCCGAACGCATCCGGCGCATCCCATCTCTCTCTCAACTCGACCTTTTTGACAATCACACCATCAACATGGGCAACTCCTCAACTTCCGTTTCTCCTATTCCACCCAGCGAGTCATCATCCAAACGCGTCACCGGCTCCAACTGGGGCGACCTCCATCCCATCGGCAATCCCGCCACAGCGGCCTGGAACCTCTGCATCTCGAGCACAGACGCCGCCAAGCTCCTGTTTGGCTACCAGCCAACGTCGATGGAAGATCGCTGGATGTGTCGTTCGGACGGACCAGACGTGCAGGGCGTCTTGGTGGTCCATGTGTACCGGAGTTGGACCGGCCACGAGCAGTTTCAAATCAGGGCATCAACCCGAGCAGTTTTGGATGGGCCCGGGCCCGCGGCCGCGGCGGAGAAGGGGGAGGGGGCTGACGTCGGGGCGGACATTACGGAGATTATGTGGGATCAGGGTAGCGGTCCCGTGCAGGTTGGGGAGGAGGAGGCCAAAGACTTGGTGATTATGGTTTTCAGAAGGGTCATGGGGTGTAAACTTGAGCAGGCGCCTTAGATGGCGCATGAGTATCGTCACTGTATTGAGTAACGGGTATCTGTTTTCGCAACTGTGCTATGAATCAGGGGGTCTCCTTCACGTACAATTATTCTAATCACTTTTCGTCCCCTATTGTTGGTATCCCTATCACAGGGAAATTGGTTCGAACCGTAGAGTCCTGGGGGTGACGAAGTATCAATATCTCTGTATCGATTGATACTGCGTAAGGAGTAGAAGGGAGATTTTAACCGGAGGTTAGGTGGGTAGTTGAGGTCTAAGTGTACCCCCTCGAGGTGGCCCATGCTCTGACCCTACTCGCGGTCGAATTGGACTTCCAATCCGACACTGACTATCTCTCTCTTTTACGTCTAACTGGTACGGTTAGAAGGATAATTCGAACGCTGTAAAGTCATGTATAATATGTGGAAGAACAGTACTGTCTAATATGCCCCTTTCTCCTCCTTCCGAGGTCCCTTTTATATAACCTATCCCTCTATTCATACCGTAGCCTTCCCTTTATTAATAAAGTATTCTAACCCCTAGTTAGGGCTTGCTTTAGTAAAGGCGTCGGCAAGGTTATCGTCGCCATTAATCTAATAAATCTCTATTATCTCATATCGTTCGTATAATTACTGTAAGGCCATGATATTGATCATAAGCCTCTTCTCCTTAGTAGTACCCAACTTGACGAGGTATTTGTATAGCGAATATGAGTCTGTATAAACTATTGTAGGTATTATGGGTAAGTCTAGTCAATCGGTGATCCTCTTTAGCATCGTTAAGATTACGTAAGCAAGGTCGATGCTATTGACCATACCGTATACTTTCGACGCAAGGACGCTTCTGGTGACTCGCTTGCTCTTCGTTGATAAGTAATAGATCACATTGCCGTAGATAGAGAAACTATCCTCTATCATGGTCTCGTTAGCCAGTATAATGATATAACCTAGTTAGGAAGTCAGATCCGCATTATTTACGAATAACCCGTTAACGAAGATATATAGCCGGGTTAATATTAATTCCAGGGGATAGTAGGTTAATCCCTTATCGAGGTAGTTAGCTTACTAGTTAAGCCTCTTATTAAGGGCCGTAATATCCTCATTTATTAGATCCGTTACTTATACTATCCTAGCGTAGTTAAAAGTAGCTTCTAATTAATAAATATTAATAATATAGGCGCCGTATACGAGCTCTATATAATATTATTATCGATCCTTTAATACCGGTTTTATAAGGATAATCTTTTCCTTTTACTCTTTTTATTAGAAGACGATATTACCCCCGTTAAGAGTGAGGATACCACTATTAAATGCCAGTAGGTAGTTAGTTATAAGGACCTCCTTAGGCTTGGCCGTGAACTTTGCCTTCTAGAACTTATTATCTTTCTTTTTTATAAAGTCGACGTTAGAGTGTTACGCCCGCCGCAACTTGTCACTGTGGGCGCGTAGCTATATATGCAGAACAAGGGACAATGATGACCGGAGTCATCATTATCGAAGCTTTTGCTTTGTGCCACAGTTGGTTGCCTTGTCCAGCTCGTAACATAGAGAGTCCTGGGGTATTGTCTATCTATATGCTAACTATGTTAAAGGGCCCGTCTGCGTGTTTAGAGATGAGTAGGCACGGGTTATATGTGGATGTAATTATCGATAGTTGGACGATGTGGAAGTCGTGATAGGTTGCCTATTAATAAGTGCCCGATTCCGCAAGACCGTATAATGGCTTAAGCACTTGGATAATCGTGACTTCTAGGTACTTAGTGGCTATTTCTTTTAGTAAGTGGGTAATGATCTTTCTCATAAGCCTGGTTACTAATTAGGTATACGTTTGCATAATATCTCGGCTCCATATATAGAATCCCATTTATATAAGTGATATTATCTGTGCTATTATAAGGCGTTGGCTATATTGTTAAATAGTGGGCGACTGTATAAGTAGTCCCTCTTTTTTAACATCGCCGTATTCTTAAATTATATGTCGTGATTTCTTGTATAGGGTTAGTGTTCCTTTTCCCTTAATCTCACGGACTATTTGTAATTTAAAAATATAGAGATCTACGTGCTTATCTAGGTTATATAAAACGAATCAGTAGACCCCTTTATTATTGTTACGAGCAGGACAAGGCAACCAACTGTGGCACAAAGCAAAAGCTTCGATAATAATGACTCCGCATCATTTTCTCTTGTTCTGCATTATATAGCTACGCCATGACGGGACCAATTGTGACATTTCCTATCAGCACACTTGGTGCTACGGTCACGTGATAAGCGTGGCCTCTGTACTTAAGACAGTCTGACCGTAACCCTCCACATAAGGGGGTCAACCTTGAAGATACACATCACCCATCACCTACCATTGACGTTCACTTGCTCTTTCGCTTTGCTCTTCTGCGCGTGCTTCAATCGCTTTGCTCATTTCGCACTCTCTACAGAGGCCACGCTTATCACGTGACCGTAGCACCAAGTGTGCTGATAGGAAATGTCACAATTGGTCCCGTCATGGCGTAGCTATATAATGCAGAACAAGAGAAAATGATGCGGAGTCATTATTATCGAAGCTTTTGCTTTGTGCCACAGTTGGTTGCCTTGTCCAGCTCGTAACATAATACTCCTCCGCCTTACCTATAAGTATAATTATAATAGCTGAGTAATATTAGTATTTCTTAATTCCTACCTTCTCATAATAGTTATAAAATATAGTTAAGGTCTCTTATAGGACCTCGTACTTCCCCCCTATATACTTTTCTTTTTTAGGAATATTTTAATAAGGTCCGTTAATTACTTCGGGCTTATAAGGGTCTGGTATTGCTCCTAATATAATTTGTATAATATCAAGTTAAATTATTAGCTATATATAATTAAACGCGTTTCTATTCGTACATCGCCGCTTTGGCTCATGATATATAATCTCGACGGTAAGCTCGGGCTCGTAATTGCAATTAAAGGAACCGGCGTCTAACGGACCGCCGGTCAGGCTATGCTTGAAGCAATCCTTCCTTCTATAATTTTAAAGAGGAATTCCGGTTTCTTTACTCATTAGCTGAAGTTATTATATCGGTATAATACACGGTCTATATATAGTTAGGTCTATAGGGTGAACTCCGTAGCTGCTACCGTTGCCGTAAGAGTCTTATACGGTGCCCGAGCCGGCGTTTGGTCCGGCAGCACGCCTTGATAATAGAGGAAGTAAATGACTTCCTTGATGATTTTTGATCTGGCGCTTGCGAACTACTCGTCTGGCTAATCGCCGAGGTCATCGTTGACCTAGTAGAAGAGGGATTGCCCTTCGAGGCCTTGCTTGGCGTATACTTTCATTAAGAATATAAGGGCGGCATCAATCTGTTCGCTGTCCAGCATGTCCGATAGATTGAATGTCTATTCTCCCTAATACGCATCGTTAATACTCAGCTACTTCAGGGGTATAGGTACCCTATCTATTGCCCTTCGAGCTGATTCGCTCATAGCCGTGCCCTGGCTATTGCTCGTACTTATGGCAGCCGGCGTATTTGACCTCGGTGGGCTCAAGCTCGAGCCCCTCATTGGTTGTAGCATCAGGAGATTATCGTTACTAGCTTGGGTTGACGGGGTCTGGCTCGATCCCGCCCCTTCTTATTAACGGGCGCTAGATCTCGTTATTATTCCTGGCCTTATTACCGTGGGTTCCTCGGGCTTAGCCGCTATCTTGGTCTTCTTTTTACACTATCTATCTCGGTTTTTTATACTTTGTTAGAGTAGTGTTGGTTCACGGGGTCGTATACGACAAATAGTGGTAGCAATTATCACTCGTCTGTTGGTGATCCTATTGCTTGTTCTTCTTGTTTTTTTCTATCTTACATTGTAGGCAGGAGTCGGTCGAAGTAGGTAGTGACGGCCTGGGTGGTTGTCCCACCTTTATCCGGCCGTGATGACTAAGCCAGTTGTCTCACTTCGCCCAGGGCAGGTGCCAGCCAGCCCATGGTACCTGCCTATTACTCCTTATCAGCCTTTGCTGTTCCAACAAGTAGATTATAGGTAGCCTAACGACGTCTCAATCACGTGGCGTTTCTCCCTAAATAGACACCCGGGAGGCATATATACATTAGACAAATTACCGCTAGTCAGTGATCTACTTCTAATCGATTAGAATGAAAAACAATAAAAAAAAATCCTTTATACGTTATAGTTCGTATTTTACGATTTTCTTGGTAATCGGCAATTCGGTATTATCAAAGGTAAGGTCGTCGGATAATTATCAAGATCCGTGGTGCTAATCAGGGCTTATCTGTAATCCAGAGGCATACTTAAGATCTACGCTTCAGTCTACTTAAAGGATCTCCTTTCTTCCTCGGTCGCGTAGTGCCCTTTTATATTTAGGTCGAAGGGCTCGTACTTTATACGTCGGAAGGTATAGTCGGTGTATTATCGCGCGGGCATAAGTTACGGGCTACGGAAAATAGATATAATTGTCGCGCAGGCTAGCCGTGGTTGGTATACTTGACAGACTCAAATTTACGGTCTTGCTACGAGGAAGTCGGTATAAGAAAAGGGTCCTTGGTCGGTCGTCGGACGCTCGAGGCATCTGGCCGGTTGACCGTCGAAGGCGTTACTGACGTGATAGATGCCTACCTCTCGTGAGTAGTCAAGGAGCCACGATTCCTCTATCCCGTCCAGTATTAGAGGGTCGTTTCTTGGTGTCTCCTCTCGTAAAGTAAAGTTAACACGATTCCTCTATCTCGTCCGGTATTAAAGGGTCATCTCTTCTGTTTTACAAGATACCTTACTGATCTACGATAGTAGAATTTAACTATTAATCAATATTAGTATCCCTATCACAGGGAAGTTAGTTCGAAACGTAGGGTCCTGGGGGTAACGAAGTATCAGTATCTCTATATCGATTAATTCTACGTAAGGAGTAGAAGGGAGATTTCAACCGGAGGTTGGGTGGGTAGTCGAGGTCTAAGTGTACCCCCTCGAGGTGGTCCATGCTCTTGCCCTTATCCGCGGTCGAATTAGACTTCCAATCCGACACCTATCGTGCACCCTCACTGCCCTATGGATCCAGGCACGTTCCAATGCCGTTACGTACTACATAGCTAAAAGTCCGTCTCCCGTCCGTGAGTGGGGTAAAAGCCCGATCCCGCGGTATGCTTCCCGCGGACTTTAATTCTGCGGAATCTATTTTGCGGGCGAGGTTACCTTATGCGATCCCACCGGCAGTTCAGTAAACTTCTCAACGCACATACTAGTACACTACAATTAATTTGACTTTTGCGCCTCTCAAGGCTCCCCAAGACTTGCTTGAATCGACAAAGACGATGGAAATATCCAAACAACAGTTTACTTTTCCTCTTTTGATTGAGGCAGTGACCAAATGACTTGGGAGTCGGAGTCCTCGGTCTAGATCATAATCTCACTCAATTTAAAACAGTGTGTTATTTTGGGGACAACGTCGGATTCACAAATGACTTACACGCTATGATGCCGTGATGCCAAGATGGATAATCTAGATGCCTTCATTTCATGGATATAAGTATTGACAAGATCACCGCCGTAACTCGATCCAAAAGCTCTTCATCACACAGCTCACACAGCACACACTGCATCTTCCAGTCTCTCACTATCACAGTCACTATTTCACCATCACTTTCTTTCACGGTCTCTGCCACCTCTTCCAATCACTCATATCCCAATCAACACTCTCACTCCAAGTCCTTCAACCCAACACCGCAAAGGTAAGACAACACCCACTCCCAACCACCCAAGCCCCTTCAGACACAAAAAAACTAACCACACCATCCCGCCCCTTCCACAGATGCAATTCTCCACCCTCTTCCCCACCATCCTCCTCGGCGCCTCCTTCGTCGCCACAGACTACTGCACCCAGGGCCTCGACCCGGGGACCCGCAAGGCCGACACGGGCTTCCTCTTCGAGAGCATCGACAAAGCAGACTGGAAGTGGCAGTCCCGCGACCTCCAGGTCGTCACCACCGTCAACCAGACATGCCAGGTCCACCAGGGCGGCGGCGGCGGCGCCTTCGCCGCCACCATCTGCATTGACTTTGACGGCAACTACGCCTGCTGGGTCACCCCCGCCGAGAACCAGGTCTGCGATCTCGTCTTTGAGCAGAACGAGGCGCCCATTAATGTCTGCAAGAGCATCAAGAATATGTGGGGATGGGTTGCTTAGACAGTTTGATTGTAAGGATCATTCCTTGTCCTACTTGAAGTTCCAGTTGTGACAACATTGCTAACGCATTCTAGTTTTTCTGTCCAAAGTACGACACAGCGAAATTGGGACGAATTTTGTCTTTTTTTGGGATGATAGGAAGCAAGTTAGTTCAACAGTCTGCTGAAGGCTCTGCAGAAGACTTTGGCCTAGGACTGATGTGTAACCTAGAATCCTGGAAGGGAGCAGCTGTTTGTTTACTGTATTCCATACTTTTTAGAGTGAGAGCGGTAGAAGGAAAAAGTGAATCTATCCGAAACTACATCATAACTGTCGGATTGGAAGCCCAATTCGACCGTGAGTAAGGGTAGAGCAGGGGCCACCTCGAGAGGGTACAATTACACCTCGACGGTCCACCCAACTTCCGGTTGGAATCTCCCTTCTACTCCTTACGCAGAATTAATTGATATAGAGATACTGATACTTCGTTACCCCCAGGACCCTACGGTTCGAACCAACTTCCTTGTGATAGGGATACCAACAATAACTTTGTCTATCCAAATCCAGCCCAGAACCTTCAAACGATGAGACTCCAAAGCCGACTCTGTGATAGATCCGAGTTAAAAGCGAGAAATCCGGCTTTACGCGTATTCCACCAATAGCTACCACTTCCCTGGAAAGCTTGTTTCCTTTTAGAAGGGGTTTCTCAAAGGGGGTTGACAGATTGGATTGAACGGGCTGATGCGGGTCTCCAATTTAAGCCGGGGACCCCGGAAGACATGTCGTCGGCATTGAGCCCCACGGCGTTTTTTTTTCGCCGAAAAACTGCCCCCAAATCTCTCTCACACTCTCCACATTCGGCCCAACCGTGCGTCCGTTCTTCCGCAACCTGCGCGCGCGGTTCGATCCTCTGACACCCTGTCCGCAACCACATCAGCTCGCTAAAATAGACACGCCAAGATGGAACCGTAGACGTACCAACATCTTCAGCATTACCCTCATCTAGCCGAATTCCGTGCACCCCTCTGTTCTAGCTCAGAGAATCGCCAGCAACCATGGCCGTAAAAGCTCTCATCTCAACCCTTGAAGATCAAATTCTCGATCCCGAAGAGGGTAAGTCATCCTACTACCCAACCAAAAGACTTCGTAACCCAGCAAAACGACTTACACGGGAACTCTTCAACGTGCCGAACAGAAACATTCTTCCTCTTCTCCCACAACATCCCGTCCTCGAATCTGGGCTTCATCGACCCAAAAGCCACTGAACTCTCCTTGACGCTGGCGGGCAGAGACTTCACGGTCCACCAGTCCCCCACGGTCCTCTCATCGACCCGCGCAGGGGGCACGACCGGGGCCGGTCAGAATTTCTACATTTCTCCATGGATCTAGATTGATTCTCACAGACGTCTCATTTCACACTTCACAACCCTATTTCGTGTCCCCCGTTTATTCATCAAAGTCCCGCTCGTCATTAAAGTCAAAACTTATTCGCAACCTCACATCACTCCTATTACTCACCTCGTCTCTATCACTCATCACTCAAACCATCTCTCCATCACCTCTCATCTCTCAGCCTTCAACACAGTAAACCTCAATCCCCTTAAACCCCGCAAACCGTAACTAAAGGCCTAAAAAAAACAGTCCTCTGGAAAATAACACCCCTCTTCGCAACCTACCTCTCATCTCCAACCTCCCCCTTCTCACCACTCTTCACACCAACCTCGACAATCCTCGAACTAGGCTGCGGCATCTCCCCCCTAACAGCCCTCCTCCTCGCCCCGCGCATCGCCCGCTACATCCTAACAGACCAGCCCTACGTCGCGCGCATGATCCACCAGAACCTCGAAGCGAATCCCCTTCCCAAGTCCTCGTCTTCTTCTTCAACCTCACGCCGTTCACGTAAAACAGCAAGCTCAACAACAACTACTACCTCTTCCTCATCATCAACAACACTAGGAACAATCTCCTTCCACCCCCTAGACTGGGAAACCGACACCCCAGACTCATCCCTCACCGGCGTCCCGCCCACCACCGCCCGCTCCTTCGACGCAGTCATCTGCTGCGACTGCATCTACAACGAAGCCCTCGTCGAGCCCCTCGTCTCCACCACCGCCGACCTCGCTCGTCTCCGGCTCCGCGCTCAGAAACAAGACCGCGAAGAAGACGAGGCCGACAACAACAACAACGTCTCCTCCTCTTCAACGACGACGGCGGACCGGTCCGAGCCGTGCGTCTGCATCGTGGCGCAGCAGCTCCGCAGCCCCGACGTCTTTCAGGAATGGATCGGCGCGTTCCATCGCGACTTTCGCACCTGGCGCGTGCCGGATGCGTTGCTGCCGGAGGGGTTGAGGATCGAGTCTGGGTTTGTGGTGCATGTTGGGATCTTGAGGGAGGCTGGGTGGGATTTCTAGATATTGTTAGTGCTTGGAATCCAGGTCATACTATCAGCATCGTTACAACGTCTATCGATGAATACACAAAGCCAACACGATTTCACGGTATCCATTGAAGATACACAAAAGTCAAGAGCAGTCATGAGATTTGAAAATGTTGTGTTGCGAAAGCTCCGTTAATGTGACGAACTGCGCATCTAATTTATCGAAAACTTTTTTTCCAATGGCTTTTGATATGAGAGAAAAAAGCCACTTGTAAACCAAATCCATCCCTTATTCTTTGAATAATTCCCAATATCGCCGCCAGTGTGATGAGAAATGTCATCTCTGGACAAGGTGAACATGTCCCCGCAAAAAAGCCGTAACCCAGATTCGTATCGTAGACACGTTACATGATTTAAACTCCCTAGTTTTTGAAAAAAAAAAAAAGCCAATCCAATCTTTTGTGGTTTTATTTGCCTCTTTTTTTTTTCTTTTTTTCCCCCGTGTCCGAGCACCTTACCACTCAAGAGGCTCCTTCTTGGTCTCGCCCCGGTTCGTCTTGGGGACGGGGACGGCCTTGGCGAGAAGACGACCGGTCTTGGGATCCCTCTTGAGGTAGTTTGTGCCGTCGAGCCAGGGGGTGAGCTGGGACATGCGGCGCTCGTAGTCGGCAATCTTGTCGTTCTGCTGCATGGTCAGGCCGATATCGTCGAGACCGTTGATGAGGCAGTGTTTCCGGAACTCCTCGACGTCAAAGGAAGCGAGGGTGTTGCCGTCGGCGTCCTTGATGAGCTGGTTGGGCAGGTCGATCTCGACCTCGCGGCCGGCGCGCGCCTCGTCGGCAATATTTTCGAGCTTCTCCTTGTCGGACATGATGATGGGCAGCATGCCGTTCTTGAAGGTATTGTTGAAGAAGATGTCGGCGTACGAGGGCGCGAGGACGCAGCGGATGCCGAAGTCGTTAAGAGCCCAGGGGGCGTGCTCTCTCGAGGAACCGCAGCCAAAGTTGGGGCCGGTGACGACGAGGATCCTGGAGCCGCGGTAGGGGTCCTTGTTGAGGACGAAGTTGGGGTTCTCGGAGCCATCCTCGTTGAAGCGGAGGGCGTAGAAGAGGGCACTGCCGAGACCGGTGCGCTTGATGGTCTTGAGGAACTGCTTGGGGATGATGGCGTCTGTGTCGACGTTGGACATCTCCAGGGGGGCGGCGATACCCTTGAGGTTGGTGAACTTGGGAAGACCCGTGGAGCTACCGGCCGAGATGGTGTTGGTGTGGGGTTCGTTGTCCTCGGGCTGGTCGGCAATGGCCTCCTTCTCAGAGTCGCTCTCCTCGACCCGCTCGTCGACCTGGGGTTCGCTGTCGGGGGTGATGGTAGCCTGGAGCTTAGGGCTGGTCTGGTATCCCTCCAACTTTCTGACATCAGCCAGCTTGCCGACAATACCGGCAGCAGCAGCCATGACGGGGGACATGAGATGAGTGCGGGAACCGGCACCCTGGCGACCCTCAAAGTTTCTGTTGCTGGTGGACGCGCATCTCTCCTTGGCGGCAAGGATATCGGGGTTCATGCCCAAGCACATACTGCAACCAGCCTCACGCCACTCGAAGCCAGCGGCCTCGAAGATCTTGTCCAAGCCCTCGGCCTCGGCCTGGGTCTTGACGAGACCAGAGCCGGGGACGACCATGGCGCGCTTGATGTTCGCCGCAATCTTCTTGCCCTTGACGATGTGGGCCGCGGCGCGCAAGTCCTCGATACGGGAATTTGTGCAGGATCCAATAAAGACCTTGTCGACGGGAATGTCCTCCATGGGGGTTCCGGGGGTCAGGCCCATATACTCGAGCATTCTGCGGCCGGCGGCCTTCTTGTTCTCGGTGGAGAAGGTCTCGGGGTCGGGGACGACGCCGGTGATGGGAATGACGTCTTCGGGACTCGTGCCCCAAGTGATGGTAGGGATGATGTCCTTGCCGTCAATGAAGACGTCAATGTCGTACTTTGCGTCGGCGTCGGATTGGAGAGACTTCCAGTACTTGACGGCCTTGTGCCACTCGTCCGAGTTGTACTTGGGCGCCAGGGGGCGGTTCTTCAGGTACTCAAAGGTGATATCGTCGGGAGCGACCATGCCGGCTCTCGCACCGCCCTCGATGGACATGTTGCAGATGGACATGCGGGCCTCAATGCTGAGGCTGCGGATGACGGAACCGCAGAACTCGATAACGGCACCGGTACCGCCAGCCGTTCCGATCTTGCCAATGGCGTGCAAGACAACATCCTTTGAGCTGACGCCGGGGGCCAGCTCTCCGTCGACCTGTATCCGCATGTTCTTGCTCCTCTTGGTGATCAAGCACTGGGTCGCAAGGACATGCTCTACCTCACTGGTACCGATTCCGAAAGCCAGGGCACCGAAAGCGCCGTGGGTCGAGGTGTGACTGTCACCGCAGACGACGGTGGTGCCGGGGAGGGTGAAGCCCTGCTCGGGGCCGATAACGTGGACGATACCCTGGCGCTTGTCGCCGAGGCCAAAGTATGTGAGGCCGAAGTCCTTGACATTCTCCTCGAGGGTCATGCACTGGACTCTGGAGTCATCCTCGGCGATGAAGGAGCCGATGTCCTTCATGCCTTTCCGCGATGAAGTGGGAACATTCTGACCAGCCACATGTTAGCGATTGTACCACCACCGCTGAACTGAGATTGGGCGAGAGCGATGCTTTTCGCATGCGCACGCACGTGTGGGAAATGGGAGAAAAAGAAGACTTACGTGATCGGTGGTCGCGAGGGTGCAGTCCGGTCGGCGGACCTTGCGGCCTGCATTCTTCAGACCCTCAAATGCTTGCTGCAGCCCTTTGTTAGCGAGGTGTCATGGTGGGGTCGATCAACCGACGTCATTCGAGCCGGAGTGCGAAGGCGGCGGTGGCAGCGGATAGCGAAGGGGGACGAGGGGGGGGGGGGGGGAACAGGAGCAAGCGTCAAACGTACAGGAGAGGTGACCTCATGCACGAGATGTCTGTCTGCATTGCGTCTCATTGTCAGCGAATGAATTCTTTCCCGTTTCCCGCGTAGGATCAAGATCAGATCGTAGGAGTGGTAGGTAGCATGACGCAGGACTTACCAATGTACAGCAGGATCGTGCCGTCCAACTTCTCGTCTACGACGTGGGCCTGGAGGACCTTGTCGTAGAGAGTCTGCGGGGTGCCTTCGGCAACGGGCATTTTGTGCAACTCGGGGAGACGGGGAGAAGGTTCAAAAGCTCAAGTCGGCCTCAATTGTAGGGACCTGTTTGAATGTGCGAGGGAGGAGGTTCCCAAGCTTCCTTATCAAAATCAAGCTGGTGTGAGAGCAGTCGATGGGTGTGACTCTGTTTGTATGCAATTGGGAGTCTAGAGTAGTGGATGACGGAGAGGGAGGGTTTGGTGAGAGGTGATGGGAAGTGTTCGTGGGATGAGAGGCGTTTGGGGAAAGGGAAGAAGAAAAGGAAAAAAGGGTTACAAAACGTAGAAAAATCCTGAGTCGGAGGGAAGGTGTGGCCAGGGGTGTGGGGGAAGAGCAGCTCAATATGTATCTGCCGGACCGGGGGGCCTTCGTCCCTCTGTGTGTCTGAGGTAGGTGCTTGCTTTGCTTAGAGTTGGGACACCTGAATCAAATTACTCGGTAAAGAGATACATAGAGTCAGAGAGAGAGAGAGAGAGAGAAAAAAGAACAAGGTACGAAATCGGAGCGAGAAAGAGGTGCGACTTGCAAGGGCGACAAGGAAGAGAAGCACGTACGCCCGCCCGCCCCTCTTGCAAAAGTGCCCGCAAACCGCAGGTACCTCGAACCCTTTCTTCCCACTACGCAATGCAGAAAATACACCCGAAATTGACCTAGCTAGCTGCTACGTCTCTACCTGGGGCCAAACGAAACAATCAACTGTGACCACCTACCTTAGTACCTGGTGTGCTGGTGATGCTTTGGGACGAAAAGTTCCCAAGTGTGTCCGATGATCGGAGGTGCCAGCTCCAGCCAGCAGTGGGTCCGGTCGACGGAAGACCTGTGAACGCGGGGTACAGCGCCCTGATTTGCAAATGACGCCCGCGGATTGGCCCGCCGCCGCAAGGTGCCCTGGCCCGGGGGTCCCGCATCCCACTCTGAGCGCCCTGAGAAGGTTGAGAACCTTCCAAATGCTGCCATGAACTCGGGCCATTTTATGTATCCGGACAAGACCTCTCAACACACGCCACATTATCACAGCCATCTTCCAAGTCCCGTCTCCATCTCTACAGTCTTGGATGTTTGGCGAGACGGGCAAAACTGGACACGTCAAAAAGGGGAGCCACATATCCACCATGAGGTACTCCGTAGACCACATCAAAGTGTGACTCTTTTGATGCTTGAAAAAAAAAAAAAATCATCTCTCCCAGTCTCGGAGAGGATACCGTTAATACGACGGCACTTGACATCTCCACCGCTTGACTACACGTCCCGCACGTGAGACGCAAAGAGCCCGCAATCTGACGAGTAATATGGGCTTTCAATGGGCTCAGCGCCGCCCAAAACAGCAACCCGTTGAATTCTCATGTGTCCGACTTGTACTCTATGCCACGCTGGGCCCAGTCACCGTCTCCGTTTTGTTCCGCCGTTTGCCGTTGCTGACTTTTTTCTTGTCTCTGGCCCTTATTTTGCTGTGACTCTCAAACCGACTATTTGCTGGCTCTAGCTAGTTAGTGGTATCACATCTGTACTTCGTACACGAATAGTAGCACTCAATCCCAAGACCTCCGAGAAAAGGAGTACGTGCCACATTACGGAATCACGGAGTGTCGCCCGTCCATCCAAGCAAAAGTGGCAGTGAACCAACAATCCCTGAATCCCATCCTGGAGCTGGATGCAACATCCGCCCGCCGAGGCTTACTCGATGATGACGCTGCAGAACTGCGCGATAACATGATAGGGCCTCGATCGCCCGCCGCTGCTGTCGCAAAACGCAATGTCCAGGTCCGGCATGAGGCAATGGCAGCTTCACCGCATCGGCCGGTCCTCTCACGGTCATCCCAACAAGCGCTCCAAGCTAATCCGGAGAACATCTACCCTCCCCAATAACGTCTACCCGTATCCGTACCCGAGCCCGAGGTGCCGACTTCATTATGCATTTCAAAAGCATACCCGGGCTGCTCGTTCTGTGGTGCAACTCTGTTTGATTAATGAGAATAGCCATACCGGCATATCAATACTTGGTGTCAACTCGTCAACAACCCGGCCACCTGCCATTGCCAACCTCGTCCAAGCACTCGAGAAGCAAGGTAGGTAATCAAGTCTCAAGACTCAACAGTGTTGATCTCCTTCAAGCTGCATGCTTGGCCTACCACTACCCCACACAAGCTCAAACAGCGCCCGTTCGACTCGTATCATGTGCATTTGACACTGCGCTTTCGGCCTCCGTCTTATCAAACATTGCTTTCCCCCAACCCAGCCGATGTACGGAGTATGGCCGTCGTAGCGCCTCACCCAGCCGACCTGGTCCCTACAGCGCCGATCGGCGGTTGGTCGGGCTCCAACGCCAAGCTTTCCTCCACAACCTCCCTTTTTCGTCACCACCGGCTGTCAGGAACCGAGAATCGCAATCAAACCCCCCAGCAGGCCTTGCACCATCTGGATCACCCACGCAATTCCCTGCGCGATCCGGACCGCTGCCGCCAATAAGACGAATCCGCTGCTCAGCGCAACGAGAAACATCCCAACGTCCGTCCAAGTTGACTCGTTGACATCAAGTCGCTTTCTGACAGGCGATGTCGGGTCAAAGCAAGGTGATACGGCTCTCCAATACCATCGAGCCAAGCTCCCCGCAATCTGCTTGCCGTCGGTGGCGCACTTTAGCACACGCTTATTCAACACGTCTCTTCTCAAACGACCTCCGGTGTCGCCGCCTTCGGAGTCGCTGTTCACCAGGGTCGTTGACGTGCTGCAGCCAGCTTTCAACTTGGCTTGACTGGCTGCTGACAATTCCTTGCTCTCCGTTGGTGTATTCTGCGGGTTGCCGTTTCTCCCATTCATGACGCAAAACGCCTTCAAACTCTTGTGGCTGTTGTCCGCCTCTATAACGTTGGCCACGGTGTTGTTTGACTTGGACGGGCTCTTGTTCGAGAACCTCATGATCTTGAACTTGTTCCGCAATCTCCTACTCGGAACAGAGTCGGGAGGAGGCTTCCTGAGACTCACAGGCAGCGTTCTGGGCGTTCCGCTGGCTTGGAGGCTCTGTTTCCGAGTTTCCGCCGTCCTTTTGCCCGAATTGGTCACTGCGGCCCGCGCCGCCCCCGTCGATGCGATCTTGCTTTGGCCCTGCTGCGTGGCTTGCTCCAACACGGCTAGGGGTGATGTAGACGTGGACATGTGTGATGTGACAGGGTCCTCGGCTTGGCTCTCCTGCTTGTCGCTGTCTGCCAAATTTTTCGCAGAGTATTTCCCGACCTCCTCCTGGATCGCATCGTTTTGATGCTGGAGGGTCAGCGTTTGGCTTGCTTTTGGTGCCAAAGCCTGGGTCCTTATTTTGACAGTTCTCAGATGCCGCACTTTTTCGGTCGATATGTCTTCTGTTGATGTTGACATCTGTTCGCCGCATCGTCGACTCACGCGTCGATTCTGCAACATGCTCCAGCTTTCGCTGAATTTGCTCTCGGGTTGCTTTTGGCATAGGTTCGACTGTGAAAGACCTTGGCCGCAGCCAATAGTGGTGGTGATGGGTGTGGTAGCAGCTTTTATCTTGAGAGCCTCCGTCTTTCCTACTTCTCGCTGATGTATCACGTCCTCGTGGATCTCCATCCTTTCTGGAGTTATTGCTCGGCCCTCGAAGGTGAGACTTTCCAGGATTGACGGCTTTTGGGTCACCCTGCAAAGGCTGTCCTGCAGCGCGTGGATATGCTCTCGAGTCAACGGGTTCTCTTGGAGCGGGCTTTCCAGATCGTTCTGGGATGTCAACGATGACTCGAATGGGGATATGCTCGCTGTGATTGGTAGGCCATGAGTCTTGGCTGCCTGCTGGTCCTTGAGCTCGTGAGTTTCCCCGGTCAATGAACGGCAAGCCACTACTAGTGGCGCTACTGCCAATTCCTCTTCGCTGTCCAGGGCTTCCGTATCTCGGATCAGTGGGATAAGTTGTCTTGCCTCCCAGTGGTTTAGTGTTGTCTCCTGCTGGTATTCCAGTGCTGGACGTTGGTATGTTTCCCGCAGGATATGACCTCTCGAGATGTTTGTAGGCGTCAGGCTTGCGCTTGCTGGTACTGTTCTCGAACGACGGATGAGGATTTTGTCTGGAGTTGGACACAGGTTTCTTGAGGATTCCTTGCTGTGGTATCCCATCGGATCCTGATCGTCTGCTTTCCGCAGAGGCATCGGGTTGAAAACGGCCCGGAGAGCTTGCCGGCCTCCCGGCTCTGTCTCTGGGCACCGCTGGCCTAAAAAAGACACCGTCTTTTGAGGCCCTGGCGGTAAGGGGGGCAAGTCCTTTTCCGTAATTTTGCCCTTTCGACTCTGACTGGTGACTGCTTCTTGGGGACCGAAGTGATTTGGCCGGCTTTTCTCACTGGTGCCGTGAGGCGAGTTCAAGTTCCCAAACGGGAGGGGCATCTGTGCAGGTCCTCGGTCTCCGCCCAAAGTGCGGCCGTTTCTCCCGAATTCCTGGGCCGTGGTGGATGCCAAAGATGATCGCCTACTTTGGGGGGTTCGTATCACAGTGTCAGATGAATCAGCATCGTTTTCTTCCGAGATGATATGTTTGGGCAGATGAGATTTGGGATCAGTATGGCCCATTCCCAAACGATGAGGGCCTGGTTGCTCGGGCAGATTTCGGGCGTCTTTCGCTTCAGAACCTGACTTATTGGTTAGTACACGAGCCCAATGTAGACGCAAGCTAGCTTACCGCGCGTGGATATGCTCTTGGTTGACTGCGCAATCGGGCTAAGGATCGGCTCTTTGGCAGAAGACCACTGCTGTCTATGGCGTTGCCACTGAACCTTGCGCTGTGCTTGTCGTATGGCCTCCTTTTCCCGATCTTTCCGGGCAAATCTTTGCTCTTCTCGCTGCTGGAGCTTCTTGGTCACCTCTTCTGTTAACAGTTTGGCCCCTCGGCGCGTACGTCGAGACTCCGACTTGTGTCTAGTTTCCAGCTTTTGGTCGAGAGTCAAGGAAGCGGAGCTGAAGCTGGTCGTAGATGGTGTCTCAACGTCTAACTCTCCGGTGACTGGGTTGATTCCTGCGACACCAAGATAGTCTCCGCTCTTCTTCAAGGCTCTGCGCTCCCGGTGAATCAGTCGACGTTCTTCCAGTGTACGCTCTTCTCTTGAAGATATAGTTGCTGGTGTATGGGCGATCGTGTTGGCTCTCCGGAGAAGATGCTCAGGTTCAGATGATCGAGCTTTCCGAGAACGGCCCAGTTCCTTGGCCGTGTTCCAGCGAGTGATACGGTCAGAGCTCCGACCTACTCGAGGAGGACTTGTTGGAGAGTGTCTAGATCTCGAACGGGGTTTCTCGGCGGTTTCCTAGTACCCTTGATTCCGATGGGTGCTACCCTTCTCAGCCCGGCGGCTTGGAAAGACGGCCCTTAAACGCGCGCTTAGAGTTGACCTCCGGCCAAACCCTTCGGACACTTGTTGTCCAGGACGTCTAGATAAGACTCGAAACGATGGTGCATCGGGCGGTCGACCGGTGGCTGGGGCTGAGTGGGTTGACATAATTCAATTCGAGGAGATGCGGGGATAGAAATGCTGCATGGTCAGACAGGCAGAGAGTAAACAAACAACGATGCCACCAAAAGAACTCACGAACCCGTTGCCAGGTGTGTCCGGCGCCGATGTAAGAGATCGGAAATGATGGGTTGCGGTTGGAAAGGGAGATCCTTGCTCAGGAAGGGACGACAGGTTTGAGCAACCAATCTCACAGAGGCGCAACGACTCGATGAACTGCTGCTGCTATCAACCCCTGACTCAAGGTGCAAGGCAGTTGCTTGTAAGTTGGCGACGCTCCTTCCCGAGCATTTAAATCAACCCAATTGATTTTCTCACTTTCCCTTCCCCTTTCCCATCGTGCTTTGTCCTCTTCATTCTATTGCTGGCTGTGTACCAGAACATCCGTCACTTACGCCTGCGCAATGCATTTCCACCTCTTTGGCGAGTTGCCTCCAGAAATTCGGGCCGAAATTTGGAATCTGTCACTTCCTGAAGTCGAGCCAGAAGTTTGCATTGTTGAGTCGTCATGCGATACACCGCAGTCGTTGCTGGTGTACACTGCCTTCCCGGCGCTGATGCATGTTTGTCACGAGTCTCGCCAATTCGTCCAGAACTCCAGACTGAGTGACATCAAATTTACGCGCCCGGACTCGGCCACTGACAAAATCGAATTTTCTGTGCCTTTTCGACATTATCAACCAGAAATGGATACCCTGTTTTGCCAGAACCAAGGTCCGGCATCTCTGGAAGACATCGCCAGCGAAGACGACTTCGAGCACGTTCTCCAAGAAACAAGGCATTTGGCTATCCCCGGCGAGAAGGAGTTCTTAGATCTAGTAGCCTGGGTGCTCACGTTCTACTTTCCGAAACTGGAGACTCTGTCCGTGGTCGTCAAGAATCCCTCCCATGACTCTTGCTTTGGCTCCTATTTCGACGCACCAAAGACACGCTGCAAGCTACGCCAAGTATCTGCGGAAGACACACATACATATACCGTTGATGTGAAGGATCTTGACGGATCCGAAACCTGGGACCCATCGCACCTGTCGAAATCCATGAGGGAGTATACGCAAGAACTCGAGAAGATCATTGAGGAGTGTTTCAACGACATGGACGGAACATTACGCAGAGCTCATCGCTGGTGGAATCGTGAATCGAAGACTTTCAAGAGAGTCCAATACTTGATACAGACGTTTGTTGAGTACGAGACAGAAAGTGCCTTCCGTTTGGCAAAAGCACTCTCATAGCATAAACATGTCAATGAGGTTCGTGCAGTAATGAACGAGAGAGGAATCAAATAGGCATCGCTAAACTGTTCTTTACAAGAAAACGAAGATACCAATCACACGGATGAGGGGCACATTTTTGAATGCCTAACGGTGCTTCTTGCCTGTGTCTTTCTCAATATTTCAATAATTAGATGGGGGCAGGTGCAACGTATTGGACATACCTGCCTTCTCTCAAGATTTATTTGAGCATCGAGGGTGCCTTCCTGCCGTAGCAGACTGACCTCCTTCCACAACGTCTCTCTAACTCACAGGGTCCTTTCTCCTTTTCTTCTCTCTCGCCACCCCAACATCGCGACTCCTGTCATTCTTCGTCCTACGACTGGAAGATTCCTTTCCCTTCCATCTTCGTCCCCATCATTGTCTCCTTTTCCTTCGCCTAGGCTTTACAATCAACTCCTTCCATCTCTCTACTCAGACCGCATATTGAGCCTGACTGTTTCTGCCTGGACTCAATCTAACATCTCACTTCACTCAGCTCAAGTTAGATCTCCACCAAGTATGGCTTCTTTCAGGAAATTCTCCCACCTACCCATCGAGCTCAGACAGACCATCTAGAAACTCAGGCTGCCTGACGAAGACGAACCGGAGTTATGTGTAGGCACAGACTCCTCACGATTCACAGTCTACACCGCCTTCTCTGTCCTCATGTACGTCTGCCAGGACTCCCGCCACTTCGTACAGAACTCGAGGGCAAGCGGTATCGAATTTCGCTTCTCCGAAGACGCCAACTGTGACGTACCTATCAGAAAGTTCCGCCCCGAGCTGGACACGGTGTATTGTCACAATCGGGCGACACTGAAACTTCTGCGGCATGGAAATGGCCTGCCTCTCGGACAAATACGCCACCTGGCGACACCACTTCGCTGGGGGATCTTCTCGTCGATTGCGACCGCTATCATGACTGATCCCAACTTTAGGCTCCTGCACAGTCTATCAATATTGGTCTTCTGCCCGGAGGATGGCTATGCGATTACATACCGCACTCCACGCCCCAGAGGACGCTGCAAATTACAGAATGTTCCACGCCTCACCAAGAACTTCAAATACGTTGAAGCAATCATCGGACCTGCAGAAGAGGATATACATCCTTTAGATGATATCTTACTTCAGTGCTTGGAAGACATGAGCGCTGTTGCTCGCCATTATCTCGAGGACGCGGCAAGCGCAGGCGAGGAAATCGATTTGGAGACTTGTGGGGAAGCTTGGGAGGATGAATAAGCAGGCTTTGGAGGGTTAGTTGTCACTGCAGGGCAATTTTTGAAATACACTTCGGGGACATGGAGCAAGGCATGGTGCGAAATTTGAATCCGCACGAGGGGACAGCGGGAAAGGCTGATTGATGGAGGCGGGAACCAGAGATTGGCAAGACATCATTTGAGAACGGGTGACATGTGCCTGTGTTAGCTAGCTTGCTCATTGAGCTACTGCGAGGGAAGAACTGGTATGGGTTGGGGGAAATAAGACTGTTCAAGGCTTAACTATATGCCTGCTCTTCTTCGTTTCCATGTGTAAAGAGGTTGATCAAAGGCATCCGGAACCCATTCGAGCAGATTGGAGTGCAAAGGCTGCGTTCGACAGAATCACGAATACCTAGCTA